AAACTACTCCGTAGCACCCCGTTTCTTAGTTTGCAGTTGCTAGCTTCCCTCGGCTAACATCACTGGTGGAAATTTTGCGTTTATGTTTTTCGACGCATATAATGTCTCAGTTCGACTAACAATTAAACATCGATACGGCAACGTTCGCAATGTTTACATTCCCACAATGCATATAAGTTGTAGAATGAAAGAATTCACGTGTTTGTTATGAATGAAAAAGCAGTTCCGTCACAACGTGACCTAATTGAGAGGTCATCGGTTATCCAATCAAATCGTTCGAATCTCAGGTCAAGTCCTTACGACACAGGTCAACGCGATACGACCCTCGGGTGACGTACGAGATTAGTATGCAACTACCCATACTTTCACCACGTGGGTAATAAAACGTTATTTTCACGGCAAGAGCGTTATCATGTGTTGACGCTTCTCTTCACACTTTTTAGCATCAAAATTAACAGCCTCACTAACGTTCTGAACAGTTGCGTTGATGGGTCCCTTTTCGTGGATGACTTCAATATTTCATGTCGTGGTAAGAACATGCACACAATAGAAAGGCAGCTACAACTCTGCCTTAACAAAATCCAAAAATGGGCCAATGAAAATGGTTTTAAGTTTTCAAAATCCAAAACAAATTGTATTCATTTTTGTCGTAAATACAAATCACACAAGGATCCAGACCTAACTTTAGATGGTACTCCCATCAAGGTAGTAGAAGAGGCCAAATTCCTTGGACTCATATTCGACCGCCACCTGACATTCTTACCACACATAAAATATTTGAAAACCAAGTGCTTGAAGGCTCTAGACTTGCTAAAAGGAGTTTCAAATACAGAGTGGGGAGGGGATCAGACCACCCTACTTCACTTGTACAGATCATTAGTTCGCAGTAAACTAGATTATGGCTCCATTGTCTACGGTGGAGCCTGCAAAAGCAATTTAGAAAAATTAGACTCTATCCACCACCAAGGACTGAGGCTCTGCCTGGGAGCTTTTAGGACCTCTCCGGTAGACAGTCTATATGCAGAGGCCAATGAACCTTCCCTTGAACAACGCCGCATTAAACTCTCACTGCAGTATATCACTAAATTACGTTCAAATGAGCCCAATCCAGCATACAATTGTGTTTTCAACCCGCTCTATGAAAACTTATTTCCTAAACTGCCAAGCCTGGTTCCACCACTTGGAATCAGGATCAAACCACACATATCTGCAGCTAAAATTGATCTCGACATCATTGCACCATACCGACTTCTGTCCTCACCACCATGGCAAATGGTGAAACCACAGGTCGAACTTACCCTCACCAAACTCAAAAAGTCTGAAACAAATCCCTTGGTGTTCCAACAGGAATACAACCAGTTACGTACGAAGTATAACACTCACAGATCCATTTTCACAGACGGATCCAAGGACGATGGCCAAGTTGCCAGCGCTACAGTCATCGGAGCCAAGACTGTCTCCTCTAGGATCCCCGACAACAGTTCCATTTTCACCGCTGAAGCCAAAGCTATCTTCTCAGCTTTGACCTACATTCAACAGCAAAATCAGTCCAAAACTTCATCGTATTTACAGATTCATTATCCTGCCTTCAAGCACTTCTAAACGTGACTTCAAGTCACCCAATCATCCTGGACATATTAGAACTGTACAACGACCTTTCTACTGGCCAATATGACATCGTCCTCTGCTGGTTGCCGGGTCACGTCGGCATAGCAGGTAACACAAAGGCCGATGCTGCAGCAAAAGCAGCTCTTGAAAAGCCCTTATCTCCACTGCTAATCCCGTACAGTGACTTCAAACCCACTATCAAAAGCTATACTCGGGACCTGATGCAAAAAAGGTGGGACACTCAAGTAGGAAGAAACAAACTCCATGAATTGAAGCCAACAATTGGTTATACCTACTTGGGTTGTCAGTCAAGACGCGATGAGGTAATTCTACGACGATGTCGTATTGGCCACAGTCGATTTACACATGACTATCTGCTGAAAACGGATGGGGATGGACCCCCCCCATGTGTGTCTCTTGCAATGAGGTGATCACCGTCAAGCATATTCTGCTTGAATGCGTGGACTTATCGCCTGCAAGGGACTCACATTATGATGCAACAAACCTAAAAGATCTGTTCTCACGCGTGAGCGCCCATCTGATACTGAACTACCTGAGGGAAGTTCATCTGTATCATAAATTGTAACTGTGAAATGTAACAACCATAAATTGTAACTATGAAACGTAACAAACCGCCTGCCTTTAAATTTGATGCTATGACTTTTTCTGCTTTTGAATGACAATGTAATAAATAAATGTCTTTGAAATAAAACTCACTCCGAGTGTGTACTTACAATGTTTACTAATGCAAACTTGTTCTCGTCACTATATGGCTGGAAAAATGCCGATGTGACGTAAAGCTCAACTCAACTCAACTCAACTCTTCTCTAGAACTCTAGGGGCGGTGGGGGTAGTGTAGTGGTTAAAGCGTTGGCTCGTCACGCCGAAGGCCCGGGTTCGAATCCCCACATGGGTACAATGTGTGAAGCCCATTTCTGGTGTCCCCCGCCGTGATATTTCTGGAATATTGCTAAAAGCGGCGTAAAACCAAACTCAGTCAGTCAGTCTCTAGAACTCTGTTACGTCGGTCCAGTATGTTACACGATATAACGTTATCTTCACAGTAGGAGCGTTATTATAAGTTACCATGTGTTCGCGAGTTTGATATGAAGATTTATCATGTGTCCGAATGAGTTTGATATTAAACTCGGACACATGATAAATCTCCATATCAAACTCGCGGACACGTGGTAACGAATTTATCCCGAAGAGCACCCTCACTAAATGCTTTAAATATGGACTGAAAGAATGAGACAATCAAAATGGGAGACGGTTGCGTTGGCATAACGTTTTTCTTTGTGAACTTACAATTTTTGGGTTCACACCATTGAATTCAGCACGAAAGGTTTGATCTAGTACCGTGCAACGGTTCTAGACTGAAATAAAGGATTTGTACAAATTAAGCAAAGCGGTAGCTGAAACGGCGATTTCTTATATGCGTTTGAACGGTTAGGACACCTCGTGCAGTCATTCAACCTTAGAAACTGGGCAATCAAACGTTCGAAATCCACACTGTCATTCACTGTCAAACGTTTTAATTTTCAAGAACTCTTTAATAACACACAACGACATAAGCAATTGCAGCTCTATTGACATGAAACTTTTATCAACTTGGGTATCGAGGTTAGGTCAACATAACCTGTACTGGAATGCACTCTGGAGACTACACTCGCATTAGACTCAGCCAGACATGTTCTGGTCAACACATGGACAATATTTCTACTTTCTGTAGTGAATGTGCAGATTGTTTATTGTTCACCGGTACAGAAGTGGCATTTCTGGCCTAGAAGTTACAGCATTTGTGTCGCTGAATTCTCCAAAGAGATATTCCATGCTGACCCCTCTCTGGTGGAAGTCAACGCTTCGGTCATGATCGCCGCTAGGAAGTGTCATGGCGGACAGCGGGACCGGGCGAGAGACGTTTTGGGATGCTGGCATCAAGGCAGGACGAGTAGAAGATTGAGGAAGAGGTGGATTTGTGCTAAGTTTATTCTGGATGGCTTTTACCGTACATTCTTTCTCAGAATCGCCAGCTCGCTGATAAACAGAGAGAGACGATACACTCTTGTGGCCAGTGACGGCTATAATTTGAGCTGCACCGAAGTGACACCTCGACAACAGTGTGGCCCCAGTGGCACGGATAGAGTGATTGCTGTATACTGTTTATAGATTGCAACTCTTTCTTAGTGATGGCATGTATTTCAGGAGAGTATTGTCTCCAACCTGACGTAGCAATACTAAATTGCGTCGTCATCTAGGAAACAAGTCTAGGACTTTCGCGAACCCTTTTCTTTTAGATAGTCCTTTAAAAGTCGTGAACTCTGATCATTTGCCTTGGCAGTGCTTTTGGGGATGTAACTTTTTCCGTTTTTCATCAATTTCCTCGACACTATGAGATGAAACGCTTCATTGTCATATTCCCTTTGATCTAGCGTTTGTTTACAAATAATGCAAACAAGGGAAATAACTCTTGGTGGTATGTTGTTGCTTGGGACGCGCGTGGTCCAGTTTAACATAGAACAATATACCTACGGCACGTGACCGGTTTTGACCAATGGGTAGCCGACATTGCTGTGCAAGTCGAGATAACAAGTGTTGACGCTTCTCTTGTCTAGAACTCTGTTACGTCGGCTTCGTATGTTACACGATGTAACGTTTTTTTCACTGCAGGCCTAGGAGCGTTATCAATATTGTTGACGCTTCTTATATTTGATGGTCAGGTTATGCCACTTGGGTGACTTGATGTCCTATAATCCCTGACAGTGTTAACCTGTATATAATGTCTGGATTATATAGTTTAACACGAACTTGCGATTCGGTTTGATTATAACTACTTCTCCGGTAACCACAACACAATCTCAGTCTCGTTGCTGGGCAGAATTAGAACGGAATTTAAAATGAGTTTATCAAGGGAAAACAATTTTTAATTTTCTGAACTATCAGAATTTCAGTTTTGACATGTTATACTGTATTCTTGCGAAGATTTATAAGTGCCACGGTATTCAGAACACGTTATTTAGCCCATATTTTGGCACACAAATACGTCATGGTCATACCGAAATATATACAATGGTATTGCGTCATACAATTATTCAGTTTAATAATACTTCATTAACTTGCACAATGACTAGACACAACCTGCTTCAAGCATACAATTATTTTTTTCACATTACATTGGTGAAAATGATTTAAAAAAAGATGATCTATTTTGTTGTTAGGCATGGTTGAATTGGCAGCTTGATAATTGACTTTAATAAATTGTCCGTGTTCAAAAGTACACACTGCATTCCAATCATACCGTCATTGTTATGCTAAAGCGATAATATAAATTTATGGATCTCAAAATTAATGAAGTGAGATACGAATGATTATATTTTAATGTATTGTACTCCATGATAGAGCTAACTGATGGCGTCAACCCCAAAGCAAGCGACACCATCGGGAAGGTAAACACTGACCTCGTGCTACTCGCGTGTAGGGCAACCAGCTTATGCACAATCACAGCGCTTGTTTTGAGCTGTGTACATAGAAGCGACAAGGAGCGCATGACCCATGAGCTTGTAGCTGTATCACTGAGAACTGGTCTTATGTCCGGTGAGGATGGCTTCAGATGAAGGATGGTCGTGGGTGGTATTGGCAGGTAATAGATGTCAAATCCATATCTTTCGTGACTTCATTTAACATGTCTATTTTGTAATAACATGAATGGCAAGGTGAGTGAGTGAGTTTAGTTTTACGCCGCCCTCAGAAATATTCCGGCGGTCTGTAAATAATCGAGCCTGGACCAGATACTCCAGTGATCAACAGCATGAGCATCGATCTGCGTAATTGGGAACCGATGACATATGTCAACCAAGTCAGCGAGCCTGACGACCCGATCCCGTTAGTCGCCTCTTACGACAAGCATGCGTTACTGAAGACCAATTCTAACCCGAACCTTCACGGGTGAATGACAAGGGACAGGTTGCTCAAAAGAATGTCACATTTAACACACGCTGAAAACGATTATCACATATCAAATACCTATAACTCTAAGAAAAAGTAATAATCCGCCCAACGAAACGTTGGGTGTTGAACGGAAAATGATCACTATGATGACTTTCGGAAATGGGGGACGCCGTAATTGAAACGTAGAACGAATGGATTTGAAGTAGTGACACGAAGTGATTATTTTGATGGTTTTTAAAATGTCCGTCGGTCCTGCTAACGGAGTAACCAGCTCCACTTGACCTGAGTTCTAAATATAACTACGCTGACCGACGGTTGACCTTGATGATGGTTTCCATAATACCGTAGGCAGGTTTGAGGTTAGACATGAACAAGTCTCTACGGTAGTAACGAATAGTTGAAATGATATTTTCTAAAATAAAATATATATAACAGACTGCTGTCCTTAGACTGGGGTCCTTATTGTACTGTACTAGAGACTGCCTCGGTGGTGTAATTGTTAGAGCGTCCGCCCGGAGAGCGGAAGGTCAAGGGTTCGATCCCCAGCCGCGTCATACCCAAAGACCGTTAATATATGATACTTGTTGGTCCCTGCCTGGCGCCCGGCATTAATGGGCACGGCAGGGACTGATCGGCACGGAGTGTGTTTGAGTGGGGTATTCATGCTTAACAGACATGGAATCTCAGAGAGCTAGCTAGCACTATAAAACAAGCTTAAGTCTGGGCTAGTACAAGCAGCCACACATACACACGTACGTCGTCATATGTATCTATTTCTTGTACCTGCTGTGTTTATATTTGTAGTTTATAGAATATTGCCACTATTTCTTCATGGAATGCTATGCAATAAATATCTTTATCTTTTATGAGCGAAATATTCCTATAAGTACCAGTTACACTCCATTTCACCTCAACTCACCGTACTAAAATAACATCACGTGCATGGTCTTAGCACTCAGTACAGGTCATACCCTACTTTGCCGGACAGCTGATGTGATGATAACGGATTAAGAGTAACGGTCTGGTAGTTTGCTGGCTATAGTCTGTTTTCAGTGAGCAGTTGTCACCCATAGTCTCATTTGGGGGACATGAGTGTTTGGCAGAGTTCGAACTCAATAATTACAAGGCACCAATTTGTTTTGTGCGAACTCGATGTCTAGTAACTAATTTGAGTGAAATAGAATTATATCAGCTGCATTGAGTGAAACTTATTCAAATGATTATTTCTGCCATTGTGCCTGTATATAAAGAATGTAGACATGGTTCCATCATTGCAAAATTCAGTTCATTCCAAATTCTAGGGGATCTTGTCTCAGACCTAGTTGGTGTCCCTGTGTTAGAATGATTATTATTTATGTATATTTATGAACAAAAATCTTTATGTATATTTATGAACAAAAATCTTTATGTATATTTATGGAAAAATATTTGTGCATATTTATTTATATGTCTTCAGTTACCATTTTCTCATTTTCTGAAAATGTACGAAATGTGTATATATTAATTTTATCATGAAGAGAAAATACACAAAAAATGTTGAATTGCTGAAATGATAACATCGAGATGAAGTTATAGTGTGTACATATAGCCGAAAAAGACTATAAGTTAATCCCCTTGTTTAAGGTTTATCGCGCGTCAGTGAATTTTTATCTAGAACAAAATCGTCCGGCAAAACGGGACCCCCCCCCTCAGTACAGCCTTGGAGCAGGGTTAGGTGAGGTGGAGCTACTGCTATAGGTTTGAGTGCTATTTGTTAGTTGCAGACACTACTCACTTTGTAAAATAATAAGCAAGTGAGAGAACCTCTCAAAATAGAATTCCCTTTTGTGAAAGGACACCACTGAGTAATGCAGACATTTTACCACGAGTACGGTTCTGCTAAACTGCCAGGAGACTGTACCACCTTGTCATCACAGCTCCTTATGATTCACAGAAAGCTCATCTTTGGTAGTCATTGGCTCTGTTTGTCACGTGTCCTTTCTGCTGCCCGGTCGTTTTATCTTGTAATTACATTTATTTTATACCCCCCATATTGCAGGCAGTTTGGGCTATGGGTAATAATGCCCATCATCTCGTATGCGCTTAGATCTTGTCGCTGCTGCGTTGAATTCATCGCAGTATAAATGGCCTTGTTATAAATACCATTATTTATGTATAAATGGATAACAATGATAAAACATGCAAAAGGTATTGGGTTTTCTTGTGTATTTTGTGTGTGTATTTTTTTTGTAGTTGTAACACACTCGTTCAAAAAGGAAAAGACAAAAAATACAATATAATTCTGTGAACAAGTTATCTTTCATGACTGAGTGCAGTGAGTTGGACTCCACCTTGAACAGTACTTCAGTCATGTCACGTTATGAGAATGACGTAAACTACATTGATGCAACGAGCGCAGTGATAATGCTGACGCAGCGGGAATAACAATTAGGGCTAATGCTGGTTCTGCACTAATGTGATCAGCGAATCAACAAGGGAGGCAACTCTTCAATGCTTGAGAATATTTCGCTCATATGACGACGTGCATGCGTGTGTATGTGTATGTTCGGCTGCTTGTACTAGCCCAGACTTATGCTGGTTCTATAGTGCTAGACCACTGAGATACTATGCCGCAGTGAAGCATGAGTACCCCACTCAGACACATTATACTGACATTATAGCCGACCAGTCCTTGTTGTACCGATTAATGCCGAGCGCCAGGCAGGGACCAACAAGTACCATATTTTAACGTATTTTGGTATGACGCGGTCGGGAATGAAACATGAAATCATTCAAGTAGCTGATCCTTCAGTATGTACCCATGAAGGTCCGTGTTATAAACCATTTTTGTCGTATGAGTCGACTAGCTCGACCGGGCGGTCAGCAATATTCCAGCTATATGGCGGCGTTCTGTAAATAATCGAGTCTCTGGACCAGACAATCCAGTGATGAACATCATGAGCATCGATACACGCAATTGGGACACGATGACATGTGTCAAACGGTTCTGTTCTGAATCGTCCGTAATTCGCTATATGCTATTTGATCATGAATTGACTGTGATTGAATTTGCATTTGAACGTTGGAATTACCCAAGAATGGTAAGCCATCAAAGATTCACGATTCTGACATGTTTCCATTGTTTTCAGCGTGTTTCTTCATGAATGTTCTCAACGCTGGATACATCAAATGTTTCGGAATACTGTTTGTGGAGGTGGAAAAAACGTTCAATGCAACAGCGTCTGTAGCATCGCTGCTGATGGGCGTCAACGCCGCTGCTTACAGCGTCACAGGTATGTATGACGTTGTTACATACTCACATAACAATAAATGATTCTCATCCCCGTAGTGAGTGAGTGAGTGAGTTTAGTTTTACGCCACACTCAGCAATAGTCCAGCTATATGACGTCGGTCTGTAAATAATCGAGTCTGGACCAGACAATTCAGTGAGCATCGATCTGCGTAATTGGGAACCGATGACATGTGTCAACCAAGTCAGCGAGCCTGACCCCCCGATTCCGATAGTCGCCTCTTACGACAAGCATGGGTTACCGAAGATCAATTCTCTAACCCGGACCTTCACGGGTCATCACCGTAGTACTTAAACTAAGTTGACCTGTGCCATTAATTGTAACTGTGCAATGTGAATGACGGATTGCTTGTTTTTGAATTTGGTGCTATGACCTTTTCTGTTTGGAAATAATCAATGTAATGAATAAGCATGTTTTTAAAACCCAACTCATTTAAGCTTTGTACTTAAAATGTCCATGTATGCAGACTTGCTCTCGTCGCTCTATGAAATGAAATAATGCCGATGCGACGTAAAACTCAGCTCAACTCAACTCACGCCGTAGCTGGTTTACGTCATTACGAGATATTTCAAATAGATACATATGTAACGTGTGTAAACATCATAATACAATCACTATGATCTATTTTTCATCAACAATACGCCACACGAGCATAATAACTCACCCAGAGTTTCAATCAAAGAACTGAGAATTAAAAGACTCGGGGGTTTATGCTGCTTAGTTGTATTGGTATATTGGTAGTTTCAAAGGTGTTCAAAGATACCTTAGCAAGTTGCTTCCCTTAGTCATGCCTGGATCTGCTGATCGAAGGTTTGATTCCCTTTTTGACTTGATCATGAACAATTTTCTGTCAGAGTTTACCATCGGTGACCTCAGGCTTAAACCTGACTCACTCACTCATTGAGTTCTGTTCCAGCACTGTTCGTCCTCAACGTTGTCTTGGAGAAAATCACCATCCGGACAACGACTATACTAGGAGTGTTTATACTCGCCACCGGCGTCTTGACCAACTCCTTTGCAAGTAACGTCTATGTGTTGATCTTTTCCCAAGGAGGATTAGCAGGTTAGTTTCTGTTTTTAACAGCCCTGCCCCTGTTAACTACAGAACCCTCATTGGTTCCGGTAACAATTGAAACCCCACAGTTATTTACTGTGGACGTGTCTTAATCACTGTGCTTACAGAATAATTTCTAGAAGATTTAAAATTATCACTGTTCACATTATTTTCAGGAATTGGAGCAGCAATGCTCTACGGGCCAGGCTTGGTCATGGTTGGCAAATACTTCACAAGGAGGCGTGCTCTAGCTACTGCCATATGCAGTTGTGGCGTCAGCACTGGCGGGATGCTGCTGCCGCCACTTGTCCAGTACCTCATCCAGGAGTACGGACTGAGAGGAGCATTCCTCGTCATGACAGGCATGATGCTGCAGATTCTAACTTTCGTAAGTCTCTATCGACCACTGACGTACACTTGTACCGAAGCGAAGAAGAAAGATCAGGATTTGTGTTCCATTAAATCGGGTGGATCATGTGAGAGAAATAGTCCAGTTTCTACTGTTGCAGAGGTACCTGATGAGGAAACGAAATGTGGAATACGTGATTACCTTGGCATTGATGACAATTTGGAGGGAGCTGGATCCCGAAAAACATCTGTTCCTGAAGAGTTCGAGCAGGATATGTTTCTTCCTTCTGACACTGAGCATGGGATGGATACAGCAGCGCATACTGCTGTATCAAGCTGCTACAAAGCGCTGAACTTATCATTTTTTAAAAAGCCACTGTACCTTCTTATATTTGGATTTACAGCTTTTGGGTTTCTTGGTGTGGGTTTACTGCAGACATTTGTGCCACCGCTGGCGAAGGAGAAAGGTCTGAGCGAAATGCAAGCAGCAATGCTTTTGACTATTTTCAATGGCTTGGAACTGGTAAGCCGTCTTCTGTCGGGCGTTGTTTCAGAGTTGCCCTTTATAAAAAGACACCATCTTATTGCTTTCAGTATGGTTGCACTGGGCGTACTAAACCAAATAACAAGATACCTCAACGGTTTTGGACTTATCTTGTCCTATATTGCAGCATTTGGAATTCTTAATGGAATATACCCAGCTCTCCATCCAGCCGTGATCATAGACTTTGTAGGAATGGAATATTTTTCAAAAGTTTTGGGCTATGTTCAGGTATTCCACGGTGCAATGATGGCGGTTTGTTATCCAGTTATGGGTATGTACATGCATAAACCACTTCCACGCAAACAGCTGTAGTTTTAAAGAATGATATCTTTAGCATCATCTTCAACACAACAGTGCTCCTTTGCATATGTTTGTATTAAGACATTGACGTTATAGATAAACAGCTAACATATACACTGTGAAGGTTAACTGTTTAGACGCAGACTGAGGACTGGACACGCAGGGATTATGTAATTATTTCGAGACAAGCGTAATTTCCACCGTAACCCCTACAACTTATAACAACAAAGTTCATGGTCCAGTGCACTGCTAATCTCCTGCCTGTTACCTATTTCATACAATGGACCAGCCCCAACACTTAGCAATTGAGAGAATGATCTTAATGAGCAATAACCAAACTAAGAGTTTGACAGAATAGTTTTAATGGATGATAACAAAAATATTTTAACCAAAGCTCAATAATATTGAGGTTTAGTTAACTTCACTAAATATCATAATGTCATAACGTATTAAATGTTGTTTTATGTTTTATTTTTCTACTTATTATCTGTCAACCGCAAGCAAATTGGTTTCCCTATGTTCAAGCCCCACGATCCCCATTTTGTTTGACTTTTTACCTTGGTACCCCCCAAAACGCCAAATCTGCAATAAATGCATCACAACCTTCAGGAAACCAAATATGCAAGGAACATTTTGTGTGTTTGAGATAGGTAGTCCGCTAGAATCAAACTTCGATACTGAAGTGCATAAAAAGGCAATTTGAAACTACAGTCACTTGTTAAAGTAATTCCCCCTTTACGTTTACTAAAAGAGCTTGTTTTGGATACACTACCCAACCCCTTTCAGATGACGTGATCATAAGGACATAACTTATTCTCATAATTCATTCTCAAAATATTGTAACCAGTCCCAGCTTAAATATCTGCACACAGTTTTTGAAAGATTAAAATGTTGGTGTCCTTGAAAAACAGGACAAAATGTAAATCAAACAATCTAAATCTTTGAATGTTGATTATGACGGGTAGTCATCAATTATTATACTGAACATATTTTATATGAATCATAATATCATCTAAGGGCATGCCATTATCCAAGAGGTATCAAATGATAGATCGTTTTTCCTTTTTTGCAAGTTTTTAAAGAAATACTATACCCCATTGTTTTGTGATATGTAAAATTTTGGATATTGTTTTGCTAATAATTTCTTCAAAATAAAATGGAAGCTTTTCAAACGGACATTGTGAATTTAGTTAGTCTGACTACTTTTTAAACGCCCTCGTATACTCCACCCTGTAATCTCTCCTTTGGGTCAGTTCATAATGCCAGACAGGTAAATGCCGCTTTAGACTAATAGATGGTGGGCTGTAGGGGTTGTGGGATGTGGGGAGGGAGACAACCATTCCCACTCATTAAAGTTAGACATAATGGTCTTTTGAAGGTAGCACCTGAGAATACAGACAGTTGTGGCACTGACAGACCTCAAATGAAACCCTTTGCCATTTACTGGGCGACGTTAGATAAACCATTCTCTCAGCTCTGCATGTTTGTCATTACCCTCGCATTTATGTAAAACAAATTTTGCTTTATTTGTTTGTAGGTGCCCTTAGAGATTTCTCAGGGAGTTATGCTGCCTCCTTCCACTTCTTGGGAACATGCCAACTGATGTCGGCTTTCCTTCTGCTACTTCTTCCGATAGCAAAACGAAATATAGCATAAACCGGCAGGGTGGAAATAGTAGAGGAGACACCTTCCCCTGGCAATGTGCACTGGAGTTACTGGAGTAAATTGTCAAGTTCCACCCTTCGTGTGTGGGTCGTCGCGCAACCAGTCGCTGTTTTGAGTAATGTCCGTCTATGTTGTAGCGACTGACCAATCAGTTGCCACCTTCCACTTGCACTTGCTCTTGTAACGGCGGCGTCCGATCTTTATCAAAATGAAAAAGGTCTAAAATCGAGGAGTGCCTGAAATCATTTCAGGCCCTGATTAACAAACAGGACAAGATCTGGAAAAAAATAGTCGACACTCCTCTCACGATTTACATGCAGTCCAGTCCTGCAATTGTTTTAATGTTTTCCACAACAGTCGACGTTTAGTTTATGACCCGGATGTTGTTTTCGTGGCGCGAGAGTTGATTTGACTGCTGAGACTTATAGTCCAGCCAAAATACATATCCTTAAATCAAGCCTAGTTCAGCAAAGTGTAAAATGAATTTTTGTAGTCAGTTAAGTCGGGGCGACGTGAAGAGGAACAACCTTAACTTTACATTAGGTCTGAACGCATGAAGGGAAATTCTCCTGCATAAACTGACTTGACTGAATTTGGTTTTACGCCGCTAGCAATATTCCAGCATCACTTTCTCAGGTAATGGGCTTACCTGTATAATGTGGGTATTCGAACCCGGGTCTTCGGCGTGACGAGCCAACGATTAAACCTCTAGGCTATCCCACCGGGATAGGGTGGATAGCCTAGAGGTTAAATCGTTCGTTCGTCACATGGAAGGCCCTGGTTCGATTCCCCACATGGGTAAAATGTGTGATCCCAGTTCTGGTGTATCCTGCCGTGATGTTGCTGGAATATAGCGAAAAGTGACGTAAAGCTATAGTCACTCACTCGTGTGCATGAACAAAACATTGCCGAATGTACAACCTGCAAACTGAGAGAGGACACAGATCTAAATTGCAGACCTTGTTTTTATGTGCATTCATGCTTGTTTCAAGAGGCTTGTTTTCAATTTGTAAAAGATTATGTGTGTCAATCGTATGGTCCTTGTACAGAAGTATATCTGGACCACATCTTCATAATGCTGTGAAAGAGTGAGTGAGTTTAATTTTACGCCGCATATAGCAATATTCCAGCAATATCACGGGGACACCATAAATGGGCTTCACACGTGCACACTGTACCCATATGAGGAATCGAATCCGGTCTTTGGTCTAATGAGCGAACGCTTTAACCACTGGGCTACCCCTCCATCTCTAAAGTTTTCACAATGCAATTGGAAGGCTTTTTCGGATCATGTTTTCTGTGTGATCTGACTGATCATATAAATTCTTTACCGTATCTATCGTTGCTTATTCTCTCAGAGTCAAAACACCGATCAATATAAATTCATATACCATCCTAGTCACCCTAATAACATTGGTAAAATGTTGGTCAATCACCGTCGTATGACTATACATTCTTCGGATATAGTCAGGAAACTGCTGGAATTCAAAAAGAAGTGGGTACAATGGCACCATCAAGGCTTGTTGAAACAATACAGATTGATACTTGATCGATGAAAATCAGAATCGAACGGTCACGATGGCAGATGTTGCAATATGGAACATGCAGCCGCAATAAAGCCGTCCATGTCGTCAGTTTCATTGCCATTTACACATGGTGCCACTTGGCTTGAAGCTTAGCACCGCACCAGTGAAGGTCCGGGTTAGAATATTGATCTTCAGTAACCCATGCTTGTCGTAAGAGGCGACTAACGGGATCGGGTGTTCAGGCTCGCTGACTTGGTTGACACAAGTCATCGGTTCCCAATTGCGCAGGTCGATGCTCATGCTGTTGATCACTGGATTGTCCGGTCCAGACTCGATTATTTACAGACCGCCGCCACATAGCTGAAATATAACTAAACTCACTCACGCACTCACGCTTGAGCATGCAGCAATATCCCAGCTATATGGCAGCGGCCAGGACCAGACAATCTAGTGATCAACAGCACGATCATCGGTCTAGGCAACTGGGATACAATGACATGTATCAACCATATCAGCGAGCCTGACCACCCGATCCTGTTAGTCTCCTCTTACGATAAGCATGGGTTACTGAAGACCAATTCTAACCCGGGTCTTCGCGGGTACAGAGTTACATGTACGCTATTCAGCAAGTCTGATCACCCGATCATGTTAGTCGCCTCTTCGACAAGCATGGGTTACTGAAGACCAATTCTAACCCGGGTCTTCACGGGTACAGAGTTACGTGTACGCTATTCAGCGAGTCTGACCACAGGATCCCGTTAGTCTCCTCTTTACGGATGAGATTTCCAGAAGAATGCGAAACGATACCATGTTGAACAGAAGTTGGTAAATCAACCTTCCAGGCTACTTCATCAGCCTGATAATGGAACATGATAGACTAAGGCTTAGTCTCTGAATATATATAATTTTGATAGTAACAAATCAAGCCCATTTATAAAACCTGAGGAAATCTAGACTTGCTTTATTTAGGGCTTTAGCACTGCAGAGAGGGCTTGGCAGTAGGGAAATTAATGTGGTTCAGGGACTGTGAGACAGACTAGTCGTCACTCTATCAACTCAGTTGTACCATCTTTCCGTCTATGTCTTCACTCTATCAACTCAGTTGTACCATCTTTCCGTCTATGTCTTCACTCTATCACCTCAGTTGTACCAGCTTTACATCAGATTAGCGCGCGACCCCAATACTCGACCTGTGAGCCTCTTAACTGAGATGAAGTTTCAGTTGTTTCAAGTTTCAGCACTTGATCTATGACAAGTTTAAGTATAGGTGAAGGAAACCCCTCCGAGAAAAGAAGTATTGGAGCTGTGTAGTCACCGGATGCAAAGCGTCAGTGATTACCTAGAATGGCATCCTTCAATAGGTCTGGCAGGTAAGAAAAATATTATCATGAATTATTATAATATTAAATGTATATCCGAATTTGACTAAAAATTGTTTGACTTAAATTTGTTTGTTGTTTGACTTATTTGACTGTTGTTCCAGACGACCTGCTAAAGGAAATACCTTCCTTCTCATCACTCAAGACCATTCTCTACAGACAACGGCACAAAACCATTCCTCGACTCCCTGTCACCGGACGTGAGATTCAGCTTGAGGGGCTCTGGACCTTGGCCGAAGCAGGAGAACCCTTCCTCCATCGAATCGACGACAACATCATCATCTTCACGACAGACAAGAACAATGAGCGCCTGTGTACAGCAGATACAGTGTATGGCGACGGCACCTTCTCCTCAGCTCCCCGGTTGTTCGAGCAGATCTACACACTGCATGCTGAGTATCAAGGCCACATGTTCCAGTTCGTCTACTGTTTGCTGTCCTGGACTTCACTGATCACGTCGTTGACCTGATCCATCAATATGACTTACCGGTGAACAGCCTGTGGCTCAAACATTTATGGTTATTTATTTATTGAATTTCTACCATGACTACGGTATCAAACGACTCACATTTCTTTGTTTTTCTTGTGTATTGAGAGTCCCGTGAACGCTAAATTCAGTGTTTACTGTAGCTTTGCCGTTCCCGCGAAAGCCACACTTAAATTGAGGAGGTTTAGTCCAGATTTCGCTTTCCCGGGCCGTAACCCACTGACCACATGCAATTTGAACTTAACACCTATCAGGCTATACACCATAAACAAAACGCATTGATTTATGGCCCGAGTTCGGTCTCTGTCACATTATGTAATTACACAGACAGGCAGGTGTGATACTTGACATGTTATGATGTCTGTTGATTGCATCTCTCTATACACACACACACAATGAGGGCATCGGCAAATGGGTGTATTCTGGTGGGATTGTGAATGTATGTATTTATGCACATAAATATTTATTTCTGGTGTGCCATTTATTTATGTATTTGTTGATTTAAAACTTCATGACATAAATATTTGCACATTATTTCTAACGCTTATTTATGTATATGTGCCATAAATATTTTATGTATTTGTTGATTTAAAACTTCATGACATATGTCAGATAATTCATTTTGTAAATTTGTATATGTGCACATAAATATTTATTTCTAACGCTTATTTATGTATTTGCTGATTTAAAATTACATGATATGTTTCAGATAATTTATTTTGTATATTTGTATATGTGCACATAAATATTTATTTCTAACGCTTATTTATGTATTTGCTGATTTAAAATTACATGATATGTTTCAGATAATTTATTTTGTATATTTGTATATGTGCACATAAATATTTATTTCTAACGCTTATTTATGTATTTGCTGATTTAAAATTTCATGATATATGTCAGATAATTCATTTTTGTATATTTACACATAAATATTTATTTTAACGCATATTTATGTATTTGCTGATGTTACATGGAATATTTGTAAACTTTAAGATGTCACCATATTTTCAAATGACTCATATTGCCGGCATACAAAATGTGCCGGCATACTTGTGATACAAGTGCCAGCATACTTGCATTTCTGCTACAGACTATAGCTTTAATCCCCATTGTTGGAAGGATTAATACTGTCCAGTAATTTTAATCACTAAACAAAACGTGCCGGCAAAAAGAGAACACCCCGGCAAATGAACCAGCCGTTACACTTGAGTGCACACCCACCCGCTCTAACTGGATTCGGTATCCAGGATGCTTCGTTTCGAGGGAAGTAAACCCAAGTACAAAATATTGCACTTTTGATTTGCAATTGTACGATTATAATTTTGTTTATATGTTTTTTCATAATCAGCAATGTATGTTATATGTCATGAATAAGTGATAGTTGTGTTTTAATTATGTTTGATTTTTTGGTTGCATGTGACCTTTAAGCATAATCGCTTATATGACGACGTTTATGCGGGTGTATGTGTAGCTGCTTGTACTAGCTCAGACTGAAGCTGGTTTTATAGTGCTATCTCACTGAGATACCCTGCCGCAGTTGAGCATGTATACCCCACTCAGACACATTATACTGACTCCGAGCCGACCAGTCCTTGTTGAACCCATTACTGCCGAGCGCCGGGCAGGGACTAACAAGTACCATATGTTAAAGTCTTTTGGTATGAGGCAGTCGGGAATCGAACCCGCGACCTTCCGCTCTCCGGGAGGACGCTCTAACCACTTCACCACGGAGACTGTCTTACTGACTTAGGACTCTGAACACCAATGAAACCGACTAGTTGTTTGGTTAAAAACCTTTATTTTGACTGATATTTAATAATGCATGCATTTTACATCACATCAAACTAACGCTCTCTTAAGAAACGAGCTGGTAAATAGGACATGTTTTGAACCCAATCGAACTCTACAACCTCGTTCAGTCAAAATCATACTGACCATATCGAGTTATCCGGAGTTCCAGATAAGAGGAGTGTCATCATCACAAAAGACCATACCTTCGACAACAATATTCATATTTTAGGGTGATCTTACAAATGTGTGCCCACATATAATTACAGGTATACACCAGTTGACGTGTGTGCCTTTATCAGGAAATATGAGCAAGAAAGATAATCTCACCTGACGTTTAGCTCACCTGAACATTTTCTCCTCAGAAACCATAATATTCCGAAGTGTATTCAAGGGTTTCCTTTCCGATTGTCACCATAGAAAGTATTTTGTGAAAATGTATGTACCGAATCACTACTGTTCTTAACATATTGAGAACCACCCGCCCCCACACAGACACACACCACACACACACACCCCGAGTGTCTTTTAATATCAAATGAGTTTAGTCTTACGTCGTTTTTAGCAATATTCCAGCAATATCACTGCGGGGGACATTATCACACATTGTGCCCATGTGGAGAATCGAACACGGGTCTTCGGCGTGACGAGCGAACGCCTTACTACTAGGCTACCCTACCGCCCTCAAAACTAATCGAGATATTTCCTTACTAAAAATCGGCCAGGTGAGCTAAAATTTCCGAAAATTTGGAGAATGATTGCATGTAAAGGAGGACAAAACAAACATATATACTTCCTCCATAAAGTAATAAAGTTGCACAACACAGAATACTACAAAAATGTTGTTTTCTTTTTACTATCTGACAATGAATAATTAAAATGTAATAATACTGTCAAATTCTTATTTACACACACAACATTCAGAATACTGACCCTGTTAGGCATTGTGGGAATAAAAGTCAGTTGGGTAAGTGTACCAATAAAACCACAAAAGTTATAAAAAATGCATTATAGATATCTTAATTGAAACGGCAACACGGCTAATGTATTATAAAAATTAAAATAATGAGTGTCTCGCTCACAAACCAATTATTTTACCAAAACATGATTATCAAAGTAAAGAGTCACATTGAACATATCCGTTTCATGTGTTGAGTGAACAAAGGGAGATAATCATCAACTGAAAAATTAACATACTCGCCAGTATGAACATTTGGGTGTCACGGGAATCGTTCTAAAAAAACTGACTCAACGACATAGATAGCACGGAGGATTGTCAGACATGTTGTCTGTATCCTATCAATATTGGTTTTTCTGATGTTCAAAACTGTTCACAACACTTATCTAGTCCTACTTAAAGCAACATTTGTTTGTTAACCATAGAAGGTTATTACATATACAGTATTCATCAAATAACACAGTCGTGTGATCAAAACAAAATACATGTAGATATAAACATACAGTGAGTACAATAGAATTCACAGACTATCCTCAAAGACAGATTCCATTTCGTGAAGGGGAGAAGGGTAAGCGTGACCTGACCAACCGTTATCAACCGCTATTCACAAAATTAATAAAACTTGAGTTAATAACGTTTGAAGAATTGACATGGCAATATTATCTACTGCTGCTATATCAATATAGCAAGAAAATATCAATCAATAAAATGGAAAAAGCCACATGAAATTAAAAACAAAACAATCTTGGGAAGACAAGCAACACTAACTAGAATAACAGCTTGCTATGCTATATGTAAAAAATGAATGAAATACATGACGAGTGGCTTATCAGAAAACTCAACAAAGTTGAAAATGAATTATTTTAACACAATTCCAAAAGCCATGTAAAATACATTCCTCGATGTTCAACATCACAGTTGAAATGCATCGAATACAAGTGGTTGGTAAAGGTATTGTGGTGACTACTTGTCAAACAAACTAGTTTCATTACAGGATAAGATAATTATCCTGTAATAATGTTGATCCATATTTACATACTGGCAATAACAGTAATGCTTGAAGACAGTTTCGATTTCTCTCCACAACACACCGGAGAGTCTTATGTCGGTATTGACGTCAATGTGAAACAAGAAAGCACTGTATCCAAACAGCCAGGGGCGTCAGTGTATGCAGGTGCAGTCGTATGTCGTGCACATCGCGATCAGCGGCCACCAAACTGAAGCTGCAGAGCAAGCATATAGTCTCTCTCCTCAGACCACGGCGGGTCCTCTGCATCGTCCATCTCAGGAGCCCAGGCATTGTCCTCTGTTAGTCTATGAGCAGCCCCTCCTATAGATCCTCCACACTCGGGACACGTGGCCTCCTCGTATGCTCTTCCACATTCACCGATAGCATAGACATGACCTGGGTAAAAACATAAAACAACTATTAAATATGTCAGCAATACAGTCAAGTTAATTATCCATTACAATCACGATGAAATGCATGAACACTTGTTATAACAATGGACAAAATAATTATTCTAAGTTCGGCGCATATGGGATTCGAATCATAAACACTGCCCCCCATTGCAGCTAAAGGGCTCAAAGCTGCAGGCAGGTGTCTCGACGAATATTTATCTTAGTTAAGATTCAAATGTGATTTATAACACCAGTCTGCAAATCTTAATATAGTGTCACACTAGCTGGTGAAAACTTAAGATATATTTCAAACCCTTAAAGTAAAACCAAACAAAACTTACCAATGCACCAACTCACCTCTCTTACACTTGTACCATTGTCCTCTGTTGAGTCCCATAACTTCTACAATCATCAGTCGTTCCTCATCCGTCACTCCGATGCCTGACCCTGGCACAAACTCCTTTACATCCTCCTTCATTTTCTTTGCATCCTCCATTTTGCCATCCTCTATTTTTGCGGGACATTCGAGCCTCCTGATCGTCGCTACCAAGTTCCTCATAATCCGTACAGCAACGTCCTTCTTATCAAGATCTATCCATTCCCTTGCGTCTATAAGGTACTTCAGCAGACTCAAGCGCTCAAGTTCCCTCTGTGCATCCTGAACCTCCTGTTTGCTGAAACAGGACCTTGGAAGAAGGGCCCAAGCTTTGAAGTCTTTCAGACACTTTAATAAAGTTCCATACGTTTCACTACCAGCTTGTTTGAATTTTCCGAGACTCTCCTTCACTGTCCTTTCAATGCAGGATATTTGCTTAACGATACGGATCTGTCGATCTTGGGTTGACAGGATAGTCACTGAATGAACCGAAAAAGATTTTAAGAGGTCATTCACAGGACCCAAGTCATCTGGACGAAGCCGATTTTTCATCCTGTCAATAGAGTCTCTGAGCTCCTTCACATTCTTGTTATCGCCAATAACCTTCCTCTTTGCTTTCTCAATACATGACAGTGCCTGCTTAATGACGTTGCCATATCTGAGATTCCTTCTGATTGGTGTGAGACATCTAGGACATTCCTTCAGTTTAACTAATGTCTTGTCCTCGTCTTCAGATGGTCCGTCCATGAACAAATCCAAATCTCTGACTTCAAAAATGTGTTTGCAGTCTTCCAGTTCAATAAATCTGGCCTTTGGCTCATCTTCTCTTCCGAGGAACACATCAGGCATTTTCTCCTTGTCACATTCTCGGCACAGCTTTGGACATGGTTCACCACAAACGCCAATGCAGTAATGACCACATGGTAGTTTATTCCTGCACCAATCATTGCATCGAGGTCTGTCACATTCATCCCCACACGGCATGCTGCATTTGAAGTGGCGACATTTCCACTGGCATTGCTCCTTACAGGAAGCACAAGGATCTCCACATTTCCTGGGACATTTGCTGTGGTTGCATCTGTTCTCGCACCTCCTGGTACACGGTGGGCAGTTACTGCAAGACGACTGACACTCGTGTCCACAAATGAGGATTCGTTTACATTCCGAAGGACAAGGCTGATGCAGACGCCCTTGGTGACATGTACCACACTTACCCTTGCATGGATCACCGCAGCTGAGAATTTCACCACACTCATGATTGCAGGCAGCTGTATCTCGATCACTGCAAGCAACAGCTATGGTATGAGCACATGGCTTGGAGACTTCAACTGGTATAGTACATGGCGGATGAGGCTGTCCACATTTGCCCTGGCATTCATGGCCACATGGTAGGCTCTCCCTACAAGTTTCCTGACATTGGAAGTTCCCCTCGTCCGTTTCACAAGGAATCATTTGAGCGTGTCCACACCTTGGTAGGGTTTTCTGCACGAGTACAGGGCAGGGTCTGCACGGCTTGTAACAAGGGAGGTCACAGTGGTAACTTTTACATTTCTGACATTGTCGTTTACATGGCTTTGAACAGAGGATGGATTTGTGCTCTGCATCAATCACGTGACACATTCGTGGACACACATGACCACACAAAAGTCGGAAAAGACATGGTTTGGTACAGCCTCCTTCAGGGACTCTTTCAAAATCACTTGGATCACATACTCCAACTCCCATATCACCAGGGTGATTTTGACACGACAGCTGCAGAGCAGGGCCGAGGCATCTTTTCGCAGATGCATTTGCTGCAATGTCCTTTAGCAGTGGGCTGTATGTAGTGATGTGATTGAAATTTCCAATAACATACAGTCCTTTCTTGGCCCTTGAGAGTGCAACACATACCCTGTTGTTTTCTTTCAAGAACCCAATTTTCGTTTCATCTCCACTGCGGACAAGAGACAAAAGTACAATATCATTCTCTTCTCCTTGATAGCTGTCAACAGAAACAACTCTCACCCCTTCAAACTGTGATTTTGGCATCCTATTCTTTAAGCAATGCATTTGGGCGGAATATGTTGTCAATATTGTAATTTGCTCCGCATGATAACCTTGCTTAAAAAGGTATTTGCAGAGACCTATTAAATATTGAGCTTCATATTCATTCATAAAGCTTTTTGTCTCTTCATCATATTCATGTGGGTGCTGATGTTCGATGAAGTACACATTGTGTGCAATACCCTTCACATTGTCATACTTCTTAACACACTCGTCATCTTTCAGATCCTTATAGAGTGGCCGAACAACGTCCGCTATTTCAGGGCGCATTCTGTGTTGCCAAAGAAGTGTATCATGTGGAATACCAGAGTTCACCATCCTCTCAAACAGGGATATTTCCAGGTTGTACCTCTTTGCAAGCTTGTGAACAGTTGGATTTGGCCTGAGCTGTAAGTGATCGCCAATGAGAATTAGATGTTGACATCGCCGACTGAGAGTGCCTATAACATGAGCCTCAAGCACTTCAGCTGCTTCTTCTACAACAATAATCTTGGGACCAATTTCGTTCAGAACCCTCTGGTATCTTGCTGCACCTGTTGTTGTCATCCCTATGATGGAGCAGCTCTGAAGGATGGTTCTGTCCTCTTGCATTAAGACCTCTTTGTATTGTGTAGTCAGACGCCTGTAATCACCTTCTTTGTCTCTGATTTCACCTTTGGCCTGTCGACAAAGCACATCCACCCAATATCTGTACAACCTCCACCTGTCTTTTAGGTGCAGTCTCCAGATGTTATGTACATTCACAGCTTCGCGTGATGTCATTCTGTCAGTTGAACGCAGTTTCGCGCGGAGACTGACTTTCAGGGATCTCTTCTGCCTCTGTTTGTCCTCCTGGATTTTCTTCTGTTGTTTTGACATGAACATTGTAACTGTGGAAGCATCGAGGTTAGTTATGTTTAACCCTATGCATTCCCTGCGAACATGCTGAATATCAGCATCTAATGATTGTGCTTTGGTAAGTACATCATCGAAGTCATATTCATCATCTGAATCAATCAAGTCTTCCTCTAACCTTCTCTGGCTGTGATTTACTTCGATATTAATCATCTCTTCTTCTTCTTCATACTCTTCTTCCTCCCCTTCATCTGCCAACTTCCGCTCTTCCAGTTCGTGTTGAAGATACTCACCCCTATCTTCAATATCAAACAATCGCTTCTTGATCCCTAACCAAACAGCTATCTGGCAAGTTTCATAGTCATTCCCAACAGTGAAGCAGCTTGCTATGGCTTCTGTCATAAAGCCTTTCAAACAACGTTCATGCAAAATTTCTCTCTCTGCCACTTCAAGTTTGGCTGCTGTGGTATGAATTTCTGCCTTCAGGCTCTCCATTGCTCTTAGAGTCTCCAGTTTCCCTGCATGAACAGTCATAGGCAGGGATCTAAGATCTCTTACTCTCTGCCTAGCATTCTTCAAGGAATATTCTTGCATGGTTTCACTCTTACTTCGAGCACCAACGCGTATGAGTCTACCTTTGAAAAACTTCAAAATCCCTTCTAAGAACTGATCCAATGCATGGTTGGTATAGCATACAACAAGAATTGGCAGATTGTCCTGTCCTTGAAGCCACACTTGTGAGTTATGGAGCAGAGTCTTCATGATTTTGATTCCAAGGTATGTCTTGCCTGTACCTGGAGGTCCTTGTATGAGAACAAATTCTCTCATTAAGGCATTTTTCAAAGCTGTATGCTGGGAGACGTTGAGATGTAGAAAATCTGGCATTGGCCAAGTTGAAATGTCGTCAACATTCACATCCTTTGCTATATCTGATCCTGCTGGAAAAGCCCTATCTGAACTAGCAGTGTCCGCTAAATCTGTTATTTTGTGATCGTCATCCAGAAGAGGTCGCAAGTCATACAGAGCATGTTGTTGTTCCCGCAAGTACCGCGGTTTCTGAACATCATTTTGACACTCGACAATGTACCGCTGGAATGGAAAGTTTCTGTCTGTGAGATCTTTCATTCCCTCTAGTATATATCTGTAGGATTCAAAGTAGGCAGGAGACTCCACCATTGCAAACCTTTCGTCCCGAGTTATCCGTGCCACCTCATCATACTGGGAGATGAACTGCACATCAACAAGTCCATTCTTTAGGTTTTCCTTCTCCCTTTGATCAACTGTGGCAAAGAAAATGTTATCTTTGAAATTGTCTGAGGACAAGCAAAGTAGTGACCCAAATAACAGCCTCCTTGTTGCATCCCAGTTAACACGTCGTAGCGGTTTGGTATCAAAGGCAAGCCTGTACCCAAGACCATTGTGTGTGCAAACAGGTCTGATAATCTGAACATCTGTGTAGATCCTGTATCCAACTGACGTGTTTTCAGAAACAGTTTGAAAGTCGACAATATTTTGTTTCAGTGGTATGATTACATCTGCTCGGAAAAGACGAAACTGGCATTCAAGATAATGTTCAAGGTCCCTAAAAGGACCTTCCACTTTATTTGGGAGAAGAAAAACTTCCGTTGTCCCATCCAATTCATCTTTCCGAGGAATAATTGGTAGTTCACGAAAGTTCTCAGGCGGTGGTTGGTTTTCATTCTGTGCATTGACACCTGGGCCACCTGTTGCTCCTTCTGCTGGTGTCGGAGGAGGGGGTTTAGACTTCAGGAGGAGGTCGGAAACTTCAAGCATGTTTTTATTGAGATCTTCGTCTTTCATGCCACCTTTCTCCCATAGGCTCTGCACTAAGACAGCAATCGTCTGAACTTTGCCCCAACCTTCTGTTGGCATTTTACTCAGCATCTCCTTCATAAGTGGCAAACAGTCTCTGACCACACCATTGTCGCCACGTGGTTCCATAATCAGCTGAGTGAGGAGACGAAGTAAAGTAGATTCTAAAAATGGTGTGAGGAGGACGGTCATGATCATCGTATTCAATCCCTCGGGCATTGATTCACACAGACAGGCCTTACTTAGTGCGGCTAGGGCTAATTTGGTTCCATCGACGCTGAGATCCTGCTGCTTCAGAAACTCCATCAGTCCACTGTTGGGTCTGCTCAGCCGGGTGAGTACTTCAGCAGGATCCTGAGATTTCATGTCTCTTAGTGTACCAGCTGTAATCCTTGAGGGACCCCTTGGTGTATTTTGCCTTCTTTCTCTTCCCCTACCCGCACGTCCACTAGTGCCACCTCTGTAAACATTGCAAAAGAAGTATTACGGTTGTGAACAATCTCGCTTTGTGTTTTTGTCTAAATACATGTATTTCCGAACTGGATGTTGTACGAGTGGCTTTGTATAACAATATATATGTAAATATAATAAACCTTACATTTCTTAGGTATTTCCTAATTTGAGTAGATACCTTTTGATGCTTTATGCAGCTATATTAGTTACTTTCATACTATATTATTCTGTAATGTTGTAAGAGGCGACTAACGGGATCGGGTGGTCAGGCTTACTGACTTTGTTGACACATGTCATCGGTTCCCAAATTAGCACATCGATGCTCATGCTGTTGATCACTGGATTGTCCGGTCCAGACTCGATTATTTACAGACCACCGCCATATAGCTGGAATATTGCTGAGTGCGGCGTAAAACTAAACTCACTTACTTACTCACTCACTATGAGAAAGGATATTTCTTGAGATAGTTGTTTAATCAGGCAAGTTTCAAATATACGGCCAATACTTGTATCATATAATCACTGTTACAGCAGCTAAACATATATTCTTCTTGTGTAATAATACTAATATAATAATTATTTATAACCTCAGAAATACCGTTTCTGTGTACATGTATATTTGTATGTCACGCTTGTCTGGGTTGTCATAGTTACCTCCTCCTTGGCAGTGCTTGCTCGTCCGCGCTTTCTTCGTCCATAGTTTAGGGATCCGTCTTCACTTGGTCTTTATAGGCTGTAACAGAAGTTCCATGTGAGGTTGTAACAGAGGTTACATGTGAAGCTGCTGGTTACATGTGAAGCTTAGAAGGAAGCTGTAACAGAGGTTACATGTAACAGAAGTTACATGTGTTACATGTGAAACAGAAGTTACATGTGTGAAGCTGTAACAGAAGTTACATGTGAAGCATATTCTCGTTGAGTACAAATGCAAAGAATCCAGCCTAGAGTAGTATGACATAATGACATTGTTGGGCAAAAAGTAAGTACATAAAAATATATCAATTAACCGAATCAGCTGCCAGTTTCGAACATGTGACTGACATGGATACGTTCCCGACACAGAGATATCGGCTTCACTGAAAACAGAGCCACACGAGTTATCTCCCTTGACATTGCCACACACTTTCCGAAACTGACTGACTGACTGAGTAAGGTTTTACGCCGTTTTTAGCAATATTCCAGCAATATCACGGCGGGGGACACCAGAAATGGGCTTCACAAATTGTACCCATGTGGGGAATCGAACCCGGGCCTTCGGCGTGACAAGCGAACGCTTTAACCACTAGGCTACCCCACCGCCCCCTTTCCGAAACAATTCACATTGAGGGATATATATTTGCAAATTAAAGATTGTTTAAATTTTGAAAAGTATCTAGTACATATTGATATAAGGAAATATAGAATTGCTCTTACACGGTTCAGATCGAGTTCACATACACTGATGATTGTAAAGGGCAGACGGACTACACCTAAAACACCATTACACGATCTCCTGTGTCCAATTTGTGGGAACGATTTTGAAGATGAATACCACATCTTGCTTATTTGTCCAAAATATTTAAGTATAAGAAATCGTTATCTACCAAAGCATGTCATTGCCAGACCAAGTATGATAAAGTTTGAGAACATGTTACAAACAAATAATGTACAACTATTGATTAGTAGTGCTAAATGTGTTTATAATATCTTTAAAATTGAAAGTACAATGAATATGCTGTAATTATTTACTCTTGGGTTACCATCCCTCATTTCTCTGTTAAATTATTGTATATCAAACTATATATGTACATCCACAAATACCCACGACTGTGCAATCATACACAAATTTGGTAACCGGGCCCATGGCCTAAATAAACCTTCTCTCTGTCTGATATCGAAATCATCTCCATGTGGCCCAACAAGCCTAACACCTGATGTCGTCACCGACACTTACAAGGGAGGGTAGATGAAGACAAATCTAACTTGTTCTAACTTGGATGCTAACGGGAGATTCAATCATAATGCAGGTAACTTTATTCTACTGATGGATATCGTTTGACAAATCACTTTGAAATGCTGTAAAGTAATAATGAACAAGCGGGATGACTAGTGTGTAAATAAGAGTGACATTTGATGAAAAGATACCTGTATCATGGTGTCAATTAAACGGCAAATACATGTATCAGCATATCAAATAAATGGCAAATACCTGTAACACTGAACACAGTAATAAACACATACATACTGACATTGTTGAGCAAATCAACCTTTCCATGATCCAAATACAAACAAGTAAGTATATAGAAATATATCAATTAACCGAATCAGGAGCAAGTCTCGAACGTGTAACTGACATGAATGCGTTCCCGTCACAGTGATATCGGTTTCACTGAAAACAGCGCCACACGAGTTAACTCCCTTGACAATGCACCACTCTTTTCCGAAACACTTCACTTTGACGGATATCAACATGTCTTCTTGAGCGGACGGCCAATAACAATTACTATTTCGAAGATGATTAAAGCTAACAATCACACCACAACCAATCACCACGCCTTTCCAGCTATCCATGATAGAAATATGAAAACGTATTGCGCAGTAATATATTCTAACCACATTAGCATATACCCGACTTGACGCATTGCTGGTTTCTATATTTGGACAACATTCAACATGACATATCACCCAATACTGAACAAATACATATCAGTCTCAAGGCACACATTCTGTCAACTGCTCACATACACCTCACATACATTCTAATACGCATGACGAAACATTTCTACATCACAAATGGCATGAAGTTGGGATCTCTGAAGTGAGTTCTTTGCACGACAAAGATATATATCATTATCGAAACGACATACGACCTTTGCCAAGACGGAATGAACAGTCGGAACTTACTGCGTGTGCTCTTCCGTCGCCATTGTCGAGCGCCATATATGGCTCCAATGATCTCTTCTCGGAACAGTAGGGATTTCCCCGAACAGAAACCGAAACTAGGAATTTCATTGGTGACTCGTGTAAGTTGCATGAGCTGTGCATTGAGTCAGAACATTGCATTTATTTTAACATATGACGTCTATTTCTGATTCCAACATCTTTTTGTACTTTCATTTTAATGTTTGTTTTGATTGTGGGCGTGTAAAGATGTTTATGGTATTGTAATGATTAATTTAAATCCCAAATAATGTTTTTTTCAAAGTATCCTAAAACTTTTGCTTAAATGTGCACTGATCCAGTGCGATTAATGTTTGGTGCCAAAAATCTAATCACGATGTCTTGGTGCCAGGTGGGGAGCACCGGTTCCCTCGACCGTGACGGACACGGGGACTGAGAATTTCTAAACAACGGGACAATAAATACTGTGTATAACAGATGCCGTTATTTGAAAATATATCCGGTAATTCTACACTGCCTGTAATATACATGTAGCATCCCTAGCAGGGTAAGCTTCTTCTCAGATTCTGATACGTAGATGGTATGTGACTGATCCAATTTGATCCCATTTCTGTTTTTTTTACCTCCACATTTAGTCATGACAAAGCAATGTGAATTCTACTGACCTATGATATTAAAAACATAAATTTGAACCTGTAAATTGAAAAAATACTAAACTTATGCTAGTATACAGGGCAGGTTTTAACTTTAGTGCATATTATCAAATGCTTATAGGTATTTATTATGCAACAATGTATGTTTAAGCTACATATTATTAGTCGTACGTTAACGTACGTTTAGGTACGTGTGTGTGACGCCTAATCATATAGTTACACAAAACCAAATGTTTTCCTATGCATTTATATAAAACTGTTTTAATTACGCTTTCAACAGCTGTTACATGTTTATCTGTGTACAGTTGGCTTCAGAGCAGGAGAAATACATTAATGACTAGCCTAACCAGTTCTTTTCCCGAGTATGGTTCCTTTCAAAATGTCACCCGCCTGAAAATACTTGGTCACATTCAGCATAAGGGATTATGTTAATATATACAACAGTATTTAAAAACGTGGTTAGTTTTATTTATGGGGATGTGCATTTTGAAACATAATCTTACACGAAATCTCCCAAACTCATCTACTGGCAAGAGTTGCCTCCCCTGAGCTGGTTTGCAAACATCTTCGATTGATTTTACCAAAATATAGTTCTGGGTGTGAAATAGACTAACAACTAGTCTCTGAAATGAACATATTTTACTGAAAAAAGTTCATAGTAAAAAAAAAAATATATAATGAAAAGGAGCCCTGAGACTTTCTTCATTTTCAGCTTGAAGCTGCGGAAATCTAGACTTGCCACATTTTCTAGACTTGCGTGGGCTTTCTTGATATGTTTGCTTCAGGGTCTGTACGAGAGACTAGGTGTGAAAGTGCTATGCTTGTGTGTGGGTGCCCTCTGCATAACATAGGTCCGAAAAATATCTTCACATTCAACTTTTCAACTCGACTTAAAACCTTGGTATTATTTACATGTACAACACATCAGTATACGTCTAATTACAGGATATACTCGTGAAGAAGTTAGCATTGGTCTCAAGCAACATTGGCCTTAACCTTGCGGCGCTACACTCTGACTTATTATATGCGAGAGACTTTATTTGGATGAAAGCCCTCTGAAACTATGAAAGTTTCCCCTCAGTCATCTTATTTTATTCTGAAACCATTCATTTTCAAAATGGGACGCGCGGTAGCCTAATGGTTATAAGCGTCCGCTCGTCACGCTGAAGGCCCTGGTTCGATTCCCCACATGGGTACAATGCGTGAAGCCGATTTCTGGGGTCCCCCGCCATGATGTTGCTGGAAACTTGTGAGAGCTACAATGTAAGATTGATGCACTCTTTCCAGCCTCGACGGACGTGATGAGATCGATGTGTCAGTAGGCAATCATGTCCCAAAAGAAATACCAAGTTTTTATCTGATGTTATAGAAAGGAATCAGTTATTTGGATTGTGCAAGATGTTTGCAAAGTTGTATTTTTCTTGAATCTTGAATTATCTTATCCTAAGATCTGATGGTATTATGAACGCTGCACAAACTCTCATTCCAGATTTTGAGATGCAGATCAGGTTACTTTAAATGGCTGCAGATTGAAACATGTATGTATGTATGTATGTATGTATGTATGTATGTATGTATGTATGTATGTATGTATGTATGTATGTATGTATGTATGTATGTATGTATGTATGTATGTATGTATGTATGTATGTATGTATGTATGTAGCGCTGAATATGTATTATAACCGTGATATGGTGGTATCCGAGGGGCGTTGGCAGCGGCATTGCATGTCGACCCCATCTGCACCATCCCAATGGCTCTTTCTCTCTCTTCAGCTGTTAATCGTGGCATATTTCTTGTACTTGTGTATCATATCATGAATTCTAGTTTCTCTTTATACCCTATAGAATCATTCTACACGTGAAATTGATGCAAATACTGCTTGAATATTGCTACGTTTTGGCGATTGATATTGTTATGTGTAAACAGTAAGTAAGCATGTCTGTATGGATGGATGGATGGATGGATGGATGGATGCATTGTATTGTATTGTATTGTGTATGTGTTGTGCATCCATGGTATGTGTGTACGTATGTGTGCATGCATGCATGGCATATGTGTCTGTATGATCGCACATATGCACAGTATATGTGCATGCATGCATGGTATGTGTATGTGCATGTATGCGTGCATGCATGCATTGTATGTGTGTACGTATGTGTACATGCATGCATTATTTTTGTATATGTATGTATGCAGGCATGAATTCATGGTGTGCGTAGATGTATGTATGCATGCATGGTATATGCATGTATGTGCGCATGAATGCATGGTATGTGTGCATGTATGTATGGATGCATGATTGCATGTTATGTGTATATGTGTACGTGCATGAATTCCTGGTATGTTTGTAAGCATGCATAGTGTGTGTTTCTATGCATGCATGCTTTGTATGTGTGTTTGTATTGTGCATGTATGTATGGTATATACGTGTGCATGCATTGTATGATTGTATGTATATGTGCATGCATGCATTATATGTATATGTATGTGTGCACACACAGGAATATGTATGATTGTGCCTATGCATACTTCATATACAGATTCGTGCCCGTTATATTCGGACACTTGACGTAATCTTCATAGATTTACTTGTTATTTCAGTGTAGCATAAATAATTATCATGAAGAGAGCTTAGGATGGATCTTTGTAAATTTTGACAGGCAAATGTGAAATCATTTCTGCCCTGCGCACATAATTTCAGCTCAACTTTCCGACTACTAGTTAACTAATGACATCACATTTATCAACTTACGTAAGGTTCCACAATCCCATAGGCCATGTTAAAGGCGTACACGCCAAAAGAAACGTTACCCTCCTACCTTTATGAATTACTGAAAAACTATCAAAGATATGTTAGAAGGTATTAGTTTACAAGAAAGCTTAACAACACAGCTTTATGCAAATCATTAAAAGGAATTCTCAAATCTTTTCTGCTGATTTGCATTAGTGAAAACAAGTAAAACGTGTCTTTGGTATTGTGAAAAGGTGTTCAGGGACATCTAAAATTAGCTTTGTTAACATTTTTGCTTGCAAAGTAACATTTTTCCACTTTCTGTGTACACATAGCAATATCAATCGCCAAAACAAAGCAATATTCATGCGGTATTTGCATCCATTTCACATGTGGAATCACAACGCCAGCTGAAGATAGGTACCTCGGTCACTAAGGCAGGAGGGTAACGTTCCTTTTGGCGTTTAGTGTACATATATATGTTGATTAAATTGTTTCCATTCGATAATTAAGCAACGGAAAATTAAACAAAAATCATGTGTTTGTAGGTAAGATGATTCCTCACAAATGTGCAAAATCTGACATGAATCTTCGAAAATTAATATCATGAAAATTATTTTTGCTACACTAAATTAACATGGAAGTCTATGGAAACTGACTGACTGACTGACTGAGTATGGTTTTTCGCCGTTTTTAGCAATATTCCAGCAATATCACGGCGGGGGACACCAGAAATGGGCTTCACAAATTGTACCCATGTGGGGATCGAACCCGGGCCTTGGGCGTGACGAGCGAACGCTTTAACCACTAGGCTACCCCACCGCCCCTCTATGGAAACTACGTCAAGTGTCCGAATATAACTGGCACGAGTCTGTATATGTTGAGCACTCGCGCCCAAATTAAAACTTAAACAGAACGCTAAATATTTTCGACATGTTTCATCCCTACCATCATGCAGTCTGAAGTAGCACCTTCAGTTCAACCACGGCGGTCCTTCTGGTGACAATATTCAGGTTTGTGTTTTGTTCTATATTTGAAACATATAGGACTGAGTATATTGCAAGTATGAGATCAAAATAAGATCAACTCCTGGGGCATAATAAGCCACAGCGGGTAGTTCTTGGTAATGATTTAGTGAATATTGAGGAAAGAAAAGTCATACTTCGGGTTTTCTTTTCCTTTAATCCTGTACAAGTTGAAAACTAACAAGGCATTTCACTACAACATGATTACACGAACAGTCTGATACATTTGGAATGCTAACGTGAGAATATTTGTACATTCAAATTTTCACCATTTAAATAGCTCTGAGATGGAGTTCAACTTCATCCAACTATCAAGCAGTTTTACACTTTAAACATGTTTGTGGCCCCTGTTCCCTGTAAAGCACAATATGAATAATAACAACGTGATAACAGTTACTATAAATACCAGCGCCTTGAGCATGCACTGTTTGCCTGGATATGTGCGCTATATAAATATCCTATAATAATAATAATAATAATAATAATAATAATAATAATACTTTGTGTGAAAAATAAGAAAATAAACACAATACACTCATAATTTACATAAATATTTCTTAGAAGACGTTATAGAGTACACGACAACATCAGATTAGATGTATGAAATGTAATCATAGTAAGCGTTAGTCCAACATCTGACATGTTAGACGGTCAAGGTTAGCACGTAAGAAGGCAACTGGAACCTTCGCGTTGCCTTGATAACATCACGTGTTGAAGGATTTGAGAGACACCTGTTTTAAGCGTTAGTCCAACATGTGACATGTTAGACGGTCAAGGTTAGCACGTAAGAAGGCAACTGGAACCTTCGCGTTGCCTTGATAACATCACGTGTTGAAGGATTTGAGAGACACCTGTTTTAAGCGTTAGTCCAACATCTGACATGTTAGACGGTCAAGGTTAGCACGTAAGAAGGCATCTGGAACCTTCGCGTTGCCTTCATAACATCACGTGTTGAAGGATTTGAGAGACACATGTTTTCCCTCAGGAATATAGACTCTCTGTCCATAACAAACATGCACTCAGCAGCGGGGTCGGGCGTAACTGTGCTGCTGGCATGATCATTGGGGGATTCTGTTTTCATGAATGTGATCCTGAACAAGGGCTGCAATGAGAAATTAAAATGTTATGCAAATGAAAATGCTGTTTAATAATTAAAGCATCAATGGCGACTGTGAACGGAATACACGCAGTGTTTTTGAAGGTGGATTACATGAACGTGAATTATTGTTAGTGTTTAACGTTGATAGGTTGATGCTTGCGCGAGGGAGTGAGTGGTGGGGCTTGTGACACAATGCATTGGTGCTTAATGGTATCTTTGTGTGAATGGTGTGGCTTGTGACACAATGGTTTGTGCTTAATGGTATCTTTGTGTGAATAGTGTGGCTTGTGACACAATGCATTGGTGCTTAATGGTATCTTTGTGTGAATAGTGTGGCTTGTGACACAATGCATTGGTGCTTAATGGTATCTTTGTGTGAATAGTGTGGCTTGTGACACAATGCATTGGTGCTTAATGGTATCTTTAGATGAATGGTGTGGCTTGTGACACAATGGTTTGTGCTTAATGGTATCAATGGTGTGGCTTGTGACACAGTGCATTGGTGCTTAATGGTATCTGTGAGAGAGTGGTGGGGCTTGTGACACAATGCATTGGTGTTTATTAGCATCTTAGAGTGATGGGGCTTGTGACACAATGCACTGGTGCTTGATGGGATATGTGAATGAGTGGTGGGGCTAGTGACGTAATGCATTTGGTGCTTCATAGTATATGTGAGTGGCTGGTGGGGCTTGTGACACAATTAATGCATATAAGTGCATCTGCGTGTGTCTGTGCTTGTGTGTGTGCGCGCTCGTGTGTGTAGGAGTGCTGGTAGAAGAGAGAAAATTGTGACAGAATGCATTGGTGTTTAAAAGGTAATGTGAGTGTGGGCTTGTGTCAAACGCATTGGGGATTGATAGGTGAATGAGTGTATTGATGATTGTGTCTTTGAATGAGCGTATGTGGTAAAGTTTGTGAGTGTATAGGTGATATGGTTTGTTAGTGAGTCTATTGGTGATATGGTTTGTTAGTGAGTGTATTGGTGATATGGTTTGTTAGTGAGTGTATTGGTGATATCGTTTGTTAGTGAGTGTATTGGTGATAGGGTTTGTTAGTGAGTGTATTGGTGATATGGTTTGTTAGTGAGTGTATTGGTGATATGGTTTGTTAGTGAGTGTATTGGTGATATCGTTTGTTAGTGAGTGTATTGGTGATATGGTTTGTTAGTGAGTGTATTGGTGATATGGTTTGTTAGTGAGTGTATTGGTGATATGGTTTGTTAGTGAGTGTATTGGTGATATGGTTTGTTAGTGAGTGTATTGGTGATATCGGTTTGTTAGTGAGTGTATTGGTGATATGTTGGATATTGGTGTTTGTTAGTGATTGGTGATATTGGTGATATGGTTTGTTAGTGAGTGTATTGGTGATATCGTTTGTTAGTGAGTGTATTGGTGATATCGTTTGTTAGTGAGCGTATAGGTGATAATGTATTGGTGATATCGTTTGTTAGTGATGGTATGGTTTGTTATGAGGTATTGGTGATATCGTTTGTTAGTGAGTGTATTGGTGATATCGTTTGTTAGTGAGCGTATTGGGTTTGTTAGTGAGTGTATTGGTGATATGGTTTGTTAGTGAGTGTATTGGTGATATCGTTTGTTAGTGAGTGTATTGGTGATATGGTTTGTTAGTGAGTGTATTGGTGATATGGTTTGGTTAGTTGTATATGATATGGGTGTAGTAGGTGACATGGTTTGTTATGCTGTTAGTGAGTGTATTGGTGATATCGTTTGTTAGTGAGTGTATTGTTAGTGATATATGGTTTGTTAGTGAGTGTATGGTGATATCGTTTGATATTGGTGATATGGTTTGTTAGTGAGTGTATTGGTGATATGGTTTGTTAGTGAGTGTATTGGTGATATAGCGGGTGGTGATAGGGTTTGTTAGTGAGTGTATTGGTGATATGGTTTGTTAGTGAGTGTATAGATGATAATGCTGTTAGTGAGTGTATAGGTGATATAGTTTGTTAGTGAGTGTATTGGTGATAATGTTGTTAGTGAATGTATAGGTGATATGGTTTGTTAGTGAGTTTATTGGTGATATGGTTTGTTAGTGAGTGTATGGGTGATATGATTTGTTAGTGAGTGTATTGGTGATATGGTTTGCTAGCGAGTATAGGTAACATGGTTTGTTAGTGAGTGCACAGGTGATATGATTTGTTAGTGAGTCTATTAGTGATATGGTTTGTTAGTGAGTGCATAGGTGACATGGTTTGTTAGTGAGTCTATTGGTGATATGGTTTGTTAGTGAGTGTACAGATGACATGGTGTGTTAGTGAGTGTACTGGTGATATGGTTTGTTAGTGAGTGTACTGGTGATATGATTTGTTAGTGAGTGTATTGGTGATATGGTTTGTTAGTGGGTATAGGTGATATAGTTTGTTGGTGAGTGTATAGGTGATAATGTTGTTCGTGAGCATATTAGTGATATTGTTTGTTAGTGAGTAAAGGTGACATGGTTTGTTAGTGAGTGTATGGGTGATATGGTTTGTTAGTGAGTGTACTGGTGATATGGTTTGTTAGTGAGTGTATTGGTGATATGGTTTGTTAGTGGGTATAGGTGATATAGTTTGTTGGTGAGTGTATAGGTGATAATGTTGTTCGTGAGCATATTAGTGATATGGTTTGTTAGTGAGTAAAGGTGACATGGTTTGTTAGTGAGTGTATAGGTGATATGGTTTGTTAGTGAGTGTATTGGTGATCAGGGGTGTCACGATACACCAATCTCACGATACGATACGTATCACGATTTTAAGGTCACGATACGATACGTATCGCGATACATAATTTTCGCGCCTTTTCATAGCATTACCTTACAGGCAATGTACGCGCTCGCTGATTGGTCCATCAAAATAGTCTAGCCAATCACAAAAGCTGTTAGTTTCCAACCTATTTTTTAAGTACAGCTAGCTACATCTATTTATCGGAGCGATCTCGTATAATTTTACTATCAAGACTTCGAAAGAGATGGATATAGCATACAAATTTTAATCGATAAAGTTTTAAAATAGGAATCGATACACGGAAGCATGTATCGCGTATCGTATCGTCAGTAAAAAAGTATCGATGCATCGATACATTCGCGTATCGCGACACCCCTATTGGTGATATGGTTTGTTAGTGAGTCTGTTGAAGATGTGGTTTGTTAGTGATTGTATTGGTGATATGGTTTGTTAGTGAGTGTATAGGTGATAATGTTGTTAGTGAGTGTATAGGTGACATGGTTTGTTAGTGAGTGTATAGGTCGATTTAACCTTGTATGTAAAATAATGTGATGTTGTTGAATAAAACCTTACGAATTTATCCATTAAGTTCCTTGTCTAGCTTTAGTGCAAGCTCATGGTCACTCTCCTCAGACCACGGCAGGTCCTCATCATCGTACATCTCGGGAGCGAAGGCATTGTCCTCTGTCAGACTTTGGGCAGCCTCTCCTATAGATCCTCCACACTCGGGACACGTGACCTCCTCGTAAGGTCTGACACATTCACCGATAGCATAGACATGACCTGAGGAAACGTAACACACAGTACTTAATGTCTATACAATGGATAATGCAACCAATTTCCACTCTTGTCCGATAGTTTAAAACTTGCTTAGATTTATCATTGTGCAATTACAATCTACAGTCCACTAAAGACTCTGATAGCACTGGTCAGACGATGTATAAGTATTACCATTAGACATACTCCAATACAAGCAAGAAAAGTAAGCACATGTGGCTTATTATTACACATAATACAAACATACAAAACATACAATATACCTACCTTCTTTGCACTTGTACCAGTGGCCCTGCTTCAGACCAGTCGCTTCTAGAAACACGACCCTCTCTTCATCACATGCTCCAGTCTTGGATTCTGATACATGACCCTTGACTTCTTCCACCAATAGTTTGGCGTCAGGCAGAACTGATTCGTGCTTCTCTGACGACGCTAGGCGTCGAATGATATCTTGAAGCCGCATATTCATGTCAGCACTAGTTCCCTTCCCTGCTGAGTCAACCAACTGGGATGCGGTAATGAGAAAACGGCTCATAGATAGGCGTTTCATCTCGTCATCACTATCCTGCCTCTCCTGCTGCCCAAAACAAGACCTCGGAATTACAAGCCATTCCTTGAAGGTATGTATGGCTCTTAGAACTTGGTCATACAGATCAGGGCTGTACTTGGCGGCATCTGATCTTACAAGTTTCTCAAGGCGAACTACTCTCTCCATGATTCGCAACTGATTGACCTGTGCCGACAAGCGACCCTCCGACGGAACAAGGCTGCCTGTTGTCAGTCGTTTTACGACCCCCCTGTCTGAGCCTTGAAATCTGCTTTGCATCGAAAAAATTAATTGTTCCAACTCCTTCACTCTTCGTCCATTTCGACTGACTTTCAGTTTGGCCTTTTCAATGTCTGAAAGAGTCCCTTTTATAATGTTCACATAACGCTGGTTCCGTCTAATTGGGGTCTGGCAGCTTGGGCATGTTTTAAGTTGGACAACTGTTTTCTCATCTTCTCCTGAGTGTCCTTCCATATATTCATCCATGCCTTTCACGTCAAATATGTGAGAGCAGTCTTCCAGTTGAATGAACCTGGTGTTCCCGGAGATTTCAGTTCCAAAGACGTCCAGACCTTTCGGTATTTCCTCTGGGTTGCATTTTTGCATACGCTTGGACACGGGGCATCGCAAAGTCCAATGCAAGGGTGACGACATTTTAGTTTCTTCCTACATATATCATTGCACTTTTTCTTGTTGCACATGTCTCCACAGGTTGAAGTGCATTTGGCATGCCTACATGCAATGTCACATGGATTTGAACAGGGAATACATGGATCTCCACAGGATGAAGTGCATTTTCGGTGACTGCATCTGTTCTCACATGGTTTCTCGCATGGAGGACAACTGTTGCATGTTGACTGACATTCATGACCACATATTAGGATCTCCGTGCATTTCGCAGTACATGGCTGGTGTAGCCTTCCGTTGTGACAGGATCCGCATGTGCCTTGGCATAAATGACCACAGGTCAGTTGGGCCTTACAGGGATTGTTGCATGCGTCAGTATCTTTCCTTCCACAAGCAACGGAGGAAAGGTGGCCACATGGTTTAGTCACAGTGATAGGCTCAAGGCACTGGTACCGTCCAGCATCAATATGACAAGGAACATCCTGTGTGTGTCCACACGCTTGTAGTTTCACCTGCACAGGAACTTCACATGGAGTGCACGATTTGTAGCAAGGCTGTGTGCAGACTGAATGCCCATTCTTGCATGGTTTCTGACATGGTTTTGAACATTGAAATTCAATGTGTTGGGGATCATTTGAATGACACAACTTTGTGCAAATATGACCACATGGTAGACGGTAATCGCACTGTCTATCACATCCACCTTCAGGAGCACTTGAAAAATCGGTGGGATCAAGAGCTTCAATGTAAGCCGTATCTGGGTGTCGTTGACAACTCAGTAGTAAGGCAGGGCCAAGGTAATCATAAAGCTTTGCCTTTTTGCATATTTCCTTCCATAGGTCACTGTGTTCTGCAATGTGTGTAAAGTTGCCAATGACATAAAGACCGATCTTTGCTCTTGACAATGCAACACAGACACGGTTCTCTTCTTTTAGAAATCCTATTGAGCGTTTGTTTCCACTTCTTACTAGTGACAAGAGAACTATGTCATTTTCCTCTCCTTGATAACTGTCCACTGCAACAACGCTCACACCTGTTATTTGTTGCTTCTTCATCGTGAATCTGAGACGGCGTATTTGCGCTGAGTAAGTGGAGAGAATGGTGATTTGTTCCCTCTGATAGCCTTGCTTTAAGAGGTACTTGCAGAGGCCAACAAGGTATTCTGCTTCATGAGAGTTCTCAAAGCTTTTAGTCTCCTCATCATAGGAGTGCTGATGTTGATGTTCGATGAAGTAGATATTTCTGCTTACTCCCTTCACATTGCCATATGCTTTCACAATATCATGGTCCTTCAGCTTTGGGTATATAGGCCGAATTACTTCAGCTATCTCGGGGCGCATTCTATGCTGCCATTCTAAAGTATCACAGTGTAGACCAGATTTTACCATCCTTTCAAACAATGAAATTTCAAGGTTGTACTTCTTTGCAAGTTCATGTACCGTGGGGTTCGGTCTAAGTTGCTTGTGATCTCCAATCAGTATAAGGTGTTCACATCCTTTACTCAGAGTACCAATAACATGAGCTTCAAGAACTTCAGCGGCTTCTTCAACGATGATTAGCTTAGGTCCTATCTCATTCAGTATTTTTTGATACCTTGCCGCAGCTGTTGTGGTCATTCCAATGACGTCTGCCTCTGCTAATATGAGCTTATCCCCTTGCAACAAAATTTCTTGGAATCGAAGAGAACAGGTTTCATATTCGCCCTCTTTCAGAGTAATTTCTTTCCATGCCTGTTCGCAAAATTGATCAACCCAATACCGATACAGACGCCATCTGTCTTTGTACGGTAGTTTCCATATGTCATTGATACTTGCTTCTCCAGCCGTTGTCATTGTGTCAAGAGACGTGATTTTATTCATCAGACTTTGTTGAAGCTTCCTTTTCTTTTGAAGTGTTTCTATCTTCTTTCTTCTCCCTTGTGCTGAGTCAAACCGGGATACTGTGCCGTCTCCTAGTTTTGTCACACTAAAGGCCACAAATTTCTGTGAAACTTGATCTTCTGTCTCAGGTGGTTCATTCTCATCCAATATGTCTTCTGTGTCTAAGTCGAAGTCAAGATCTAATAGTTGTAGTAAGTCTTGAACTATTTCTCCATGACGTCTATTTCCTGGCAGGTCATAGTCAGTTAAACTGGCCCCCTCGTCACCACTATCTTCTTCATCGCTGTCATCTTCTGTTCGGTAACTCTGATCACCAGTCCTGTCTGTTTGGGCCAGATCAGCATCAACACCAAGCCACTTCATTATGATGGACCCCCTTGGTGACAGACCCTCTTGTGGAAATTGCCTTCTCAACCTCTCGTCCATGTAGCTTCTCAAACTGTTCTCATGAAGAATTTCTCGCTTGGCTACTTCAAGTTTAGCTGCACTTAAATGAATTGTCCTCTTCAAAGATTGCATCTTTCTTAGTATTGTCATTTTTTGCTTCATGGATATGAGATGGTACTGCCTTCTGTTTCTTTACTCCGTCCCTGGCATTTTTAAGAGAGTGTTTCTGCATCAGTTCTGTGGTGAAACGCCCTCCAACGCGAATAAGTTTACCCTCAAAAACGTTCAACATTCCTCCCAGAAACTGGTCCAAAGCATGATTGGTGTAACAAACAACAAGAACAGGTAGATGTTTTTGCCCACGAAGCCAGACGTCTGAGTTATGTAGAAGAGTCTTCAAAATGTGTGTGCCAAGGTAAGTTTTTCCAGTTCCAGGAGGCCCCTGTATCAAGGCAAACTCTCTTGTCAGAGCATTGTGTAGGGCTTTTAACTGGGAAGCATCTAATCCATCAATCTGAGGCCAAGAACTTTTATCTTGAATCTTTACATTTCGAGCAGACTTTGATTTTTTTAAAGTTGTTTCAGTGTGGTGGCTTTCCCCTTCTGTCAGAGACTTTGAACGTTTCATCTACAAGGGGTTGAAGATCATACAGTGCTTGGCTTTGTTTTTGCAGATAGAGAGGTTCCTTCACAATGTTTTGACATTGCACTATATACTCCTGGAAAGGTAGGTTTTTTCCAGTCAGGTCTTTCATACAAATCAAAACATCCTTATAAGCTTCAAAATATGCTGGTGATTCTACCATATCAAAGCGAGCTCCTCTTGTTCTGTATGCGGAATATGGTAAATCTGACAGAAACCTCACATCAACCAATCCCTGTTTTAGACTTTCAGGATCTCGACTGTCAACAGTTGCAAAAAGGACAACGTCAGTGAATTTATCTAATGACAAACACAGTAGGGAGCCATAGATCAATCTTTGACTTGATTCCCATTTGACCCTTTGCAGATGTCTGGTAGAAAAAGCGAGCCTGTGGCAAAGACCATTGGGTGAACAGACAGGACGCAAAATGTGTACATCGGCATATGTCCTATAGTCTGTAAAAGTATCTGCGTCGGCCCTTTTGAATGCTTGAATGTTTTTCTTAAGAGGCATAATGACATCAGCTCTGAAGAGGCGGAACTGGCATTCAAGATAGTGTTCCAGATCTTTGAATCTAGTTCCAACTTTATTGCGCAGAAGGAAGATCTCCTCAGTTCCATCGAGTTCCTCCTTCCTCGGAATCACTGGAAGTTCACGGAAGCTTTCTGGTGGTGTTCCAAGCTCTTCATCCTCATCCATGTCCTGCCTGCCAGTCGACACATTCATTTCAGGTGTTTCTGGTTTAGTTATCCGCAGAAGCTCATCCAATTCCTCTGCGCATTTAATGACATCAACATCTTTTATGGCATTTCTTACCATCAAGCCACGTGATAGCAGAGCAACAGTGTTCAGAACAGGCCATCCCTCAGATGGCATCCGTTTCAAAATCTCTCTGAAGATTGGAAAACTCTCCAAAGTCACTTGTCTTGAATCATTAGTGTCCAGATGTGACAGAACATTTGTGTAAGATGTCCGAAAGAATGGGGTAATAACAACTGTACTGAGAATGACATTGATCCACTCTGGCATTGATTCACAATGAACTGCTTTACTCAGGACAGACACAATCAGCTTAAAGTCGTTGGGCGTCAGGTCCTTTCTAGACAAAATAGTTTTAAAACCTCTTACGTCCTGATTGATGCGTGTTATTATTACTGATGGATCACAGTCCTGCAATCCCTTTAGTGAAGAAAGAGTCAGCCTTCCTGGTCTACCATGTATTTGGCTGAAACACAAAATTTGAGATGCATGGCCCATGTAATGTATTATCAGATTCAGGAGTGAGCAATTAGTTAATTTAATATTGAATTCCGGCAGAGACGTGGCTCCAAACAGCATTTTCTTTTATTACAATGTAAAAAGAATCATTCCATGTTTAGTATTGATATTTTCTACTTGTAGACCATGACTATCTAGACTGGAAAACTTTCGAATTTGTGTATTTTTTACCTTGAACGTGACATACTGAAGGCTGCACCACCCTGGGAATCTAAATTGATAAATAACTAAAGTGAACAGATGAAAGAAAGCGAGAGCCACATAACAACTACATGACTGAGTCAGATTTTTTTTCCCTTAAATCGTTATGATTTAAGTGATCATGTTTAACCATCATAAAATGAATATCATATATTGAAAAGATCATAAGTCAGTCATTCTACCTGCTGATGATACTGGGTCAACACTGGAGGATAGATCTTCTTCAACCTCTTGTGGATCTGAAGGATCAACCGATGAAGATTGACTGCTGTTGTCGTTGTCCCCGTTGCCCTCCTCTCGCACTCTCACAGTCACATCTGACAATCCACAAGTCTTATCTACAGGAATGGGATCGGTGAGAGATGTCCCAGCCTTCTGGATGCCCTCGTTGCCCTCCTCTCGCACTCTCACAGTCACATCTAACAATCCACAAGTCTGATCTACAGGAATGGGATCGGTGAGATATGTCCCAGCCTTCTGGATCAGCTCCTCTGGAATGCTCAAGTCAACAGTAACAGTAACCTCTTTACCAGCAATCATCTTGAAGACAGACTCTTCGCTTAATAGTTCCTTGACTATATTATCAAACTGTCCATTCTCAATTGATTCCAGCAGTGTATGAATAGAATTACTCGTTGTTGGTCGTAACTCTATTACAATGGACCCTGGTGTTATCAAGTCAATGGCGTAGTTTAACCGATCAAAAAGGTTGTCTAGATTTTGTTTGAGTCTTGTCCTAGGGCGATGATAATTGGCAAACACGGCATCCATTGCCGACGAATCGCCTTCCATATCTATAGTTATCCTGAGCTTCCGTTTTTCTTTGTGCGCTGAAATGAAAAATCGAAATGTTACATGAGTGAGCGTGTGTCCACCATGAATATTTTGGATGCTTGACGAAGAAAGCCGTGGTGAAAGTAACACATCTAAAACTGTTATTCGGGCTTTCTTTGGGTGTTTCCCTTTAGCCACATGAATAGTAATTTCATTTCATCATGAGTACGTCAACATTTGAAGTTTTGCACTAATAAAATCAACAATAGTTCATAGTATAAATAATGATATGTTACATTATTTTTTTGGGAAAACTGTTATATAAGACTGAAATGTACTCACATTCAGTTGAGGGTTCTGAAGTAATGTTGTACTTAATGTTGACTTTTGTATTCCCTTTCATGCAGACGTTTCTGATTTTGACGTGAGGTAGCATGACATTAAGGGTATTTGACGGTCCAACCATGGTCACGGAAAGGTTGCCTCCATTAGAAGTCTCCTGAGCTTGATCATCCTCATCTTCATCCTCATCATCAAGCCCGCAGGTAGACGCCTCACTTCCCAAATCCAAGCTCTCTGCGGGCGCGTGGCTCTCCTGTGTGGAACATGCACCGTCAATAATTATTTCAGTGTCGTTCTGAACCTTGTCTATCATGTCAATACACTCTGTGTCTTTGGAAGATGCGCTTTCACCCAGCAACGGATTCACTGAAGATTCAGAGCAATCATCTGGTGACTCAGCAACACAGTCCACATCAATGGAACATGGGCTGTGATTGAGAGTGTTCTTTGGTCCAACCATGATATGGGAAGCATCACTGACTTCACAAACCGATTCTTCCACATCACACGTGGACATTTCCGCAGATGGTATGCTTGTTTTGTTTCACCGTGCTCTTGTTTAATGTTTCCTGAAAATATCAGATGATGTAAATGACATTGCATTTTGAGCATGGTATATATCATAAAGTAAAGAGTACTCAGTTAAACCTTACCAACGACAGTATCAGGCATTAAACACACATCCTCACAGAAGCAACGCAAGCATAAAATCGTATAAACACAAATACCTCACTGTAGATCTGTGCATGTCCAATATTGTCCATCATCGACATTATGGTACGTCTTCATACCGTGTCATATAACAACAAATGCCGCATCCAATTACTATAACCTTATATCCGTGAAGATCCTAGTTAGGATTAATCTTCAGTAACCCATGTTGTCGTAGTAGGCGACTAACGGGATCGGGTGGTCAGGTCGCTGATACATGTCATGGTATCCCAATTGTGTAGCTCGATACTCATGCTGTTGATCATTGGAAGGTCTGGTCCAGACTCGATTATTTACAGACCGCTGCCACTTAGCTGGAATGTTGCTGGGTGCGGCGTAAAATTAAACTCACTCACACTATAACCTTAAGTCAGAGGACACAGCAGAAGGTATATGTGATGGTTGTTTTCACCTAACCGAGTTCATAGGCGGTTGCAAGGTACATGCAGACGAAACGGGTACGACAGAGTTCCCTCCCTTTCGCCATTGATTAACGTAGTACTGCACTGCAGCCAAAAAAATACTGGCAATACTTCAGAAGTGTTTTCCAGTAAGAAATCACTATAATTTCCTGTAAATACCACTGTATATATTATGTCTATAGGGACCACTTTATAATAACCTCCTTTATCGAGTGATTAACCTCTGCATTCCGGAACAGCACCCAAAATGACAAATTGACTATTTCAAGTAATTACATACTAACAATTTCTAACCATTGACAAAACTCACGTATTACACATTAGCTCAGCCTACGTCGGTGTTAACAATTTTAGAATGTTAGTGGTATCCATGTTATGTGAGTAACTTTTGCATTACTGGTATGAAGAAGGGTAAAGGAAGACTTACATTAGCTGACATGACCATCCCATCAAGCTGACATTGAACACATTTCCTTGAATTCAAGTGTACATACTCGTGTACAATTTTCAGACACAATTAATGTCTTTGCCTTGACTGAATTTGACGAGTGAAAATGTATTTTTTCTTTGTTGGCCATAGTTGGAAATACCGGGAAATGGAAAAGGAAAGTAGACCTGTAACGATTGGCTGTTTCCATCGCCCGCTAGCTCTGTGCTTCGTCAACACACACAGTGTTGCTGTCATGGGTGAATAAGTGTAGGCTGGCTGTCCTCGTGACTGCTTTCGGTGATACGTACACGTATGTTTATTAAAAGATATCCAGTGCTATGAAATGCACGTGAAAGTAGGCGTATGCGTAGACGTGTTGAAAAATCGACATTATTTTCAAGGGTAAAGAGAGAGCAGAGTGTATGCTGGTCGGCGACAACATGGATAGGTAGTCAGGTGGGACAGGGTGGATAGGTATTCCCACAGTATCGATCACTGAGTGGCGGAGGCTGGATTTTATTATTAACACCCCGTCTTCACAAACAAGTAGATAAATTATATTTTCATTACTTCTTCTGTATGTATGTATGTATGTATATATGTATGTATGTATGTATGAATGTATGTATGTATGCGTGCGCTTGTGCGTGCGTGCGCGTGTGCGTGCGCTTGTGCGTGCGTGCTGTCTTATATTGTGTGTATGTGTGTGTGTATGCGTGCATGCATGTGTGTGTATGTGCATGAATTTATGTATGAGTATGTGTGCATGTGTGTATTTGTGTATGTGCGTGTATGTATGTGCGTATGTGTGCGTGTATGTCTGCATGTATGTCTGCATGTATGTCTGCGTGTATGTCTGCATGTATGTCTGCTTGTATGTCTGCGTGTATGTCTGCGTGTATGTCTGCATGTATGTCTGCGTGTGTATGTCTGCGTGTATGTCTGCGTGTATGTCTGCGTGTATGTCTGCGTGTATGTCTGCGTGTATGTCTGCATGTATGTCTGCGTGTATGTCTGCGTGTATGTCTGCATGTATGTCTGCATGTATGTCTGCGTGTATGTCTGCGTGTATGTCTTCGTGTATGTCTGCATGTATGCATGTATGTCTGCATGTATGTCTGCATGTATGTCTGCATGTATGTTGGTGCATGCATAAGTGGGTGGACGAGTAGGACACGCCGTTCTGACGGAAATCTTTTGTCGTTTCCTTTTCTGGGGGAGGTTGGGTAGCCTAGGAGTGAAAGCGTTCGCTCGTGACGCCGCGTCGTTTGGTAAGCAACGGCCAACTCAGAACTGGCACGGACCAGGGGAATCCGACTGTCTAATTAAAATTCATTTCTAGTGTATATTGCTGGAATGTCTATAATATGTCTATATATGTATATGTATGCAAACAAATATTTATGAATATTTATTTATGTCTTCAGTTACCATTTTCTCATTTTCTAAAAATGTACGAAATGTGCATTTATGAATTTTATCATTAAGAGAATATGTACCAAAAATGTTGAATCGATTAAAGAAAACAAATCGAGATAAAGTTATAGTGTGTACTTCGTTAGGCCGAAACAGACTATAAGTTACTCCCCTACTGCTTAAGGGATTATCGAGCAACAGTGAATTTTTATCCAGAACAAAAGCAATACGAGACTAATTTCATGGATAACACCTTCTTGATTTATTTTTCACAACGTTTTTGGGCTAGTTCTTGCCCCTTCGTCCGGTAGATGAGGATGAGGATGAGGATGGCGGTCAGAAGCAGTTTAATCCACCTGACGAAGGGGCAAGAACCAGCCCAGAAACGTTGTGAAAAATAAATCAAGAAGTTGTTATCCATAAGATCTGTCTTTTATTACTACTATTACTACTAAAACAAACGCGTCCGCCAAAATGGGAACCCCCTGACAAAGGTCATCGGCAAGACTTTAACGATTAAGGCTACGCTAATATAGCAGTTTATGAGTACTTCGATGGGAATCACAAATCATTGTCGACAAACAACACACACTCGAATGCTGAGCTCACCTAGCCCCTGACATGACCCAATGGGGGTATAGTTTAGTTTGAACTTTAAATTTTATTCACAAAGTGAAAAGGATCAGGGACAAGTTCTTACAAGTTATAAAAACCCTCCCCAAAGATATTTACAATAACTAAATACACAACATGCAATTATTAGAAACAGAGGAAGATTGACAGTTCAGGGGAAATGTTTTAATACAAAGGTGTATAGAATTTAGACTACTGGAATCGTTTAGATTTGCATATATGCTGATGTACATTTTTGAATATAATTTGGGGGTATCATTATTAAAACAATACGAGACACAGTGAATGTCATTTCTTTTCTCAGAAACAACGAATGATGATCGTAGTATTGTGACCTTGTTTTATCTTGGCGACCATTGTGCCACTGGCATGTGGCAACGTCAGAGCCCCATTCGTCTTGGTTTCTCAACTCACTATGCATAGTTCAATCTCGTATTTGGACAAGAACCAAACGTTCGTGGATTCGAAGACCAGGTTACAACTGATGTCAAGTTTGTCTGCACCATACACAACATGCGGTGCTCATGGGGTGCTCATATGGAGTATGTCAGAGCTGCATCGCTTCAGTGATCCTACGTTGTAGAAACAATATGATATACAATAGATAATCACACCATTTAATAAACCTATTTATTGCAAATAAAACTCATATATACAGTAATACTGAGCATATTTATCACAGGTGAGCATTTTGGTTTGTGAATTCAATATATGAATACAATATATACTATATATATATATGCATATAGAGAGAGAGAACGTATTGGAAGCATAATGAAAATGTTCAAATAATATAATTTCGGAAAAGTATTTGGAAAAAATACAATAATCTATTGCATACAATCATATTTCTATGGAAATATTCTCAACATCACTTGGCTTATTTCTTCTCAAATTTGGCTTGCTAACACAATACCATTGTAGGAAATTGTAAAATTAATCTCCTTTGAGTACCACTTACAAATCCCCATCTCCCTGGTGTTTTGGGTGCAACAATACTATATCACTTAATGTCGCCTGAGGCGGTACCTAAGATCACATCATTCAAAGCATGTTTTTCCATTGCTAGGCTTTTAATCGCAGACGTCTTGTTATTTTAAGTTTGGCTAAATTTGCTGATTATCGCCAATTGCTAGTTGGTTGATGTAAATACTGCTGGGGTCCATGCAGGTAGTAAAGGTACCGTACGTTCCCATGGTCCCTGGTATGATGATCTCCCTTTAGCTGCTGGTGATCTATAGCCTGTTTGTACATTGCACTGTTACATATGATGATATGAGTTATTTTCCAATCCTTTGGTGCCTGGATCCAATAATAACAGCATTTATTTACTGTGTATGCAAAACTTTTGTAGTCACGGTATGGATGAAATACTACCGATGTGACTTTAAATTTTAACTCACTCACTCACGTAATGTCGGAAGGTTTTCAAATGTAGGAGTTGCATTAATACATCAGAAACTACAAATATCCTCCGAATCCACTTTTTTAATATGTGGGCCTCAGCCTGGTTTCCTTATATTTACATAGATCATAAAATGGTTTCACTTTATCAAACAACCATGGGAAGAGATAAAACCCTTGTATGGCCATGGCCTCTCTCTCACTCACGGAAGTTGCGTGTTTTTGTTTTTATTTTTTTTATGCATGTTGTATTGACACACCAACTCTGTAATGTAATGGAGGAATCCTGTTGATTCCGGCAGTGGAGAGCTGATTCTACTTCCGGTATCAAGTAGAGATGTCTCTGATTCAACCATGTTGTTGTGTGCAATGGGCTGTAGTTGCCACAGTGGTACTTGCTTCAAAGAGTGAGAATAGCCAGTACATAATATAAATTCCTGACTCACAATCAACCACAATTATTATACTATTATGATACTTAAATTTGTAGTGCACTCCAAAGTGCACGAGAACACCTTCATATCGTCTAAGTATCTACTAAGTACAGTCTTTCAGCCAACATTTTCAAACATACAGCCAATTGTTATGTCACTTTTGACAGAGAAATTGTGTCGCGTTATTACATATACACTTTCCAACTTATCCTAATGTATTAAATGACGAATATGTACAGACATCATTAATCATTATGTAATGTTGTTACCATCATGGTAACCAATATCTTTAAACGACAATGTCGTGCCATGCATATGGCAAGTATACAACAATAAAAATAATTTCTAAGGCCATAGACCCGTCATGATCCGGGTTAGAATTCGTCTTCATAACCCATGCTTGTCGTAAGCGGCGACTAACCGGATCGGGAGGTCAGGCTCGCTGACTTGATTGACACATGCCATCGTATCGTAGAACGAGGTTCATGCTGTTGATCACTGGATTGCCTGGTCCAGACTGGATAATTTACAGACCTCCACCATATAGCTGGAACATTGCCAAATGCGTCGTAAAACAACAACCAAACCAATATGGTTGAGTGCATCGTTAAACAAAAACAATCATTCAATCTGAGGGACACAAAACACTCCCCGATTCAAACTCCAAGGACATCCAAGTGACACAACGTAGGTCTGTGTAGTGAACGATCACATCATGAACACGATATACTCGTCTTCCAGACGTGTATGCAACTATATGTATACAAGTTGTTATATTCCTCAAATACATAATGTCCATGTTGATACATATTCCTGATGGACGAGTACAACCAACAGTACTGTTCACGATTGGCGATCCATACATTTCCGTTGGATTCAGACATCTACCCTTGAGTCCTTTGAGTCTGAAAATAAAATCAAACACCCGGTGATGTTAATTATCGTAAAGGCCAGGCTGTCTATGATAACCACATAATTATAAGAATAGAAAAGGAAGTTCAACCAATTTGGCTAACTTCACTCTTAATCTTAATCAATTAAAATTAATCTTACATAGCTTTCAAAGCGAAAATACAACTTAAATACTCAGACACAGATGAATATCTACCTTCACATGTCTTGTGTTCCATTGAAGCTCTGTCCCGAACGCACATATAACATTCGTCTTCCACCTCGCCGTCTTCAGCATAGTAGACGTGGTCATCGGCTACAACAGGTTACATACAACCTTTTCATACGAGGGGTGGAGGATGGTAAAAATGCGTTCGGAATTCTCGCCACAATAGTACATGGCTGAGTCCCGCAACACGATAGTTCCCTCAACATTTACCTTTCAAGTTCAAAATCTATATCTTCATATTATTCAAACTTATGGATAACTTCATTTTTGTACTTCCCACCTTCTAAAGTGCCACTCAGTGAAGACACTCGTTAGTTAGGAATACAGTCGAAACATAACCAGATATTTACAAAGCACACGATCACTTGAAAGTATTCTCAAAAACAAGAAAAGTGCCAGATATGTGTTCTAATAAAGCATAAATTAATTCGTTAGACTGTGTGTCTACTTGCATAAACCTGCATAAATGTTCCGTAAGTTAATTAACGGTTATGCATGCTTGCATTCTTACTTTGAGTAATTATTATCAACCGTCGTATACTCACAGACTGGGCACCTGAACCAATGTCTTAGTGCCGCTTTCAGGTGTCTCCAGACAGGCAGCTTTCCTTTCGAGTCATTTCCATAAAACATCTCACTATCAGGGAAAAGGTTGCAAACCTCATTCTTCAATTCAGTAACGAGCTGATATTCATCTTCAGTAATTTTTTTCTTCGCCTTGATGACAGCCCTAACCTTTTGCAGCAGTGCCATGGCCGAGGGTAGCAACCCATCTTTTGTTTCGTGTGATAACAAGTCATGTAAAAACACACAAATGGTAATCCTTTGGAATTCGTTCCGAGCGTCTGAGATTTCCTGCTCAGTAAAGGCATCTCGCTGGATTTTCAGCCACTGCTCAAAATTCGCGATCTCCTGCCAAATTCCTCCTTGATCATCCACCTCTCCTTGTTCACATATTCGTGCCTTCAAGTTCTCCATTCCAATGAGAAATGTCTTCTGGTTTTTAACTGCCACCAGGCGAGATTCATCTTCTCCAGCACCTGCTATCAGTTCACATACATCAGCTTGACATTCAAGACCATCTATGTCAGTATGCAACACCATCTTTAGGGTTGTGAGCCTTTCTGTTGTCATCTCACCCAGGGCAGCCTTTTCTATTTCTATTTGTTTGTGTATCTGATTTAGTAGAGCCCCATACCTGGCATTACGTCTTATAAGAGTGTTACACCATGGGCAGCTTGGAAGTTGTATTTGTTTGCTGGCTTTGCATTTCTCCATTATTCTGTCCAAAGAATGTACCTCGACAATGTGTCCACAGTTTTCAAGGAGAATAAACCTGGCTGTTGAAATGTCTTCTGACTCAGTAAGAAAGGGTGAAACATCATCTTTGTGGCATATTCTACAGAGGCGTGGGCAGGTTTCTCCACAAAGACCAATACAGGTGTGTTTACATTCGAGCTTTCGCCGACAACGTTTGTCACAGCGATCTCTATCGCAAATGTCTCCACACATTTGTGTGCATTTGAAATGTGCACAAGCCCATTTACATGGTTTGTCACATTCCTGACATTTCTGGCCACAGGGATCCTGGCATTTTCCATGAGAGCAAGCTTTCTCACAGTCAAATGTACAGGGGGGACATTTCGAACAAGAGGCTCTGCATGCATGGCCGCAAAAAGAATCTTGTCACACTTCCGTTTGCAGGGCATATGAAGCCGTCCTTCGTTGCATTCATAACATAATGCTTCGCATGAATGTCCACATTGCAGTATTGCATTACATCCCACAAGACAAGGCGCCTGATCCTGCTCTGTACACAGTACCTCTCCTGTGTGACCACATGGCCATGTTTTGGAAACAGTCTCATAGCAGATGTGTTCATACCCACACAGATTTCCACATTTATGGCCACATTCTAACATTTTGTCACACGCATTGGGACAAACGTGCAACTCCGGATCCACGCTGCATGGTATCTCCAGTGTATGCTGACATTTAGGAATAGTTTTGACGACTGGGAACTCACAGGGAGGGCATTCCTCTGAGCAAGTAGCTGGGCATGGATGACCAAGTTTGCAAATCTGCTTCTGACATTGTTTCTTGCAGGAAAACAACACATGATTTGGGTCATATGCATGACATTTCAGAGTACAGCTATGTCCACAGTCCAATACATAATGGCACTGCTTCATGCATCCACCCTCAGGGACCAATTGAAACATTTTTGGGTCAGTGACAACAATGCCCTCTGCACTCGGATGGCTCTGGCAGTAGAGTTTCAAACCTGGTCCAAATTGATTTGAATCTTTAAGGTCTTGGGTGATATTTTTCCAAGTTTCACTGTGCCGACATAGTAAATCAAAATTCCCAATAACATATAGTCCTATCTTTGCCCTTGATAGGGCGACACATATTCTGTTGTCGGTCTTCAAAAACCCAATCTTTTCTTCTTGGTTGCTGCGTACTAAGGACAGAAGAATGATATCATTTTCTTCTCCCTGGTAATTGTCAACAGCTGTTATCAGTAGACCTTCTTGTCTCTCTTCTTTCATCATTGACCTCAAGTGTGATACCTGAGCAGAATATGTTGACAGGACTGTAATTTGTCTGTGACTGTAACCCTGTTTCAGTAAATACTGGCACAGTTTCGAGATGTACTGTGCTTCAAAGTCATTCAGATGACTCATGAGTTCCTTGTTTTCTGATTCCTGAACAGAGTGATTAATGAAGTAAATGTTCTCTGAAACTCCAAGGACATCCTCATATCCAAACACAGATTCATGATCCTTCAACTTGTCATAGATGTGCCTTAATACCTTGGAGATGGAGGGTCTCATTCTGTGCTGCAGTTCCAGACAATCACAATGTAAACCATTGTTGATCATCCGTTCAAATAGAGACAGATCTAAGTTATATCTCCTGGCTAGTGCATACACGTTTGGATTTGGCCTAAGTTGTTTGTGGTCACCGATCAGGATGAGGTGCTGGCACCCTGGACTAAGGGATGTAATGATATGTCCTTCCAATACTTCAGCAGCTTCTTCCACAATTACAACCGGTGGCTGTATATCTGTAAGCAGGTTCTGATACCTCGCTGCCCCCGTTGTAGTTAAGCCAATCACCGAGGAATGTTCAAAGACGTATTTGTCGACCAAAGCATTTGCTTCTTTGTACCTATCAGCAGCATTCTGACATACTGTCTTCAGAGGTCCCATCAGGTGGTGCATCTTTTGGCAAAACTGGTCAACCCAGTACCTATACAATCGCCATCGGTCAGCTATTGTCAGAGCACTTGCATCATCCACGCTGGATGCTTCATGCGTTTCCATTTTTGCGTGGGACAAAAGTTCCTTTCTCAAACGTGTTTTCAGTGTTTGTCTGCTATCCCTTTTCATAGCCGTTTTGTGTTTAGTTTTCCACTTGTCATCTGTCAAATCACAGTCATGAAGACTAACAGCTAGACACTGATTCCTATACATGGATAAATTTCTTGTTTGTAATTGCAGGTATTCATCAATGTCATCAAGCTTCCTTTCCTTTTCTGTCTCATCCTCTTCTTCGTGTTCATCAACCTGCCCAACGTCATCCTTCTCTACGCTTGCCTTGGCTGCTGCTGTATGAGTGGGGCGCGTTGAGACCTCTTTGCCTATTCCTTTAATATCCAGCCATTCCAGGAGGGCAGAAAAACGGTCCTTCTTACCGAATGTTTTGGTAATCTTCCTAAAATGCTGCTTCATAAAGGGCCTTAAATAGTCTTCATGAAGGACTCCTTCTGTTGTTGCATCAACTTGTTGTCCATACTCCTCTATCTCCCTTTGGCACACAAGGAAGTCGTCCTTCAATTCATGTCGGATTTCCAGAATTTCACTGATGTCTTCATCTAGGAGGGCTTTACGCCTGAACAGCTCAGATCTTTTGCGATTGAGGTTATGGTTAACCAGTATTTCACTTTTTGATCGCCCACCCACTCTGAGAACCTTCGCTTTGAAAAATGTCAAAATTCCTTCCAAGAACTGATCGAGTGCATGATTGGTGTAGCAAACAACCAGTAATGGTCTCGAGTTATCAGGGTTCCATGCATGTCTGTTTTGCATCAAGGCTTTCACAATCTTCAGACCAACATAGGTCTTGCCGGTTCCAGGAGGCCCTTGAATGATGGCAAGTTCCTTAGTAAGAGCTGTATGGAACGCATTGAACTGGGATTCGTCCATTTCAAGATCGCTAGCAATAGGCCATTCCACTTCCTGGTGTACACATACAGACTTGAATGAAGCTCTGCTGACGTCTTCTGACGTCTTTGCAAGACCACTCATATCATAGCTGATGGCGTCATCTTTGGTCAAATACTCTGGAGGTGCCAGTGTTGCACGACATTCCACAAAGTATTCAGACATTGGAAGTTTGTTACTCTCTATCTGCTGAATTCCGATCAGCACATGTCGATATGCAACAAACAGAGCTGGCGTTTCCACCATTGTAAACTTCGTTCCTGGATCAAGTTTGACTTTATTATCAAACTTGATATCAATTCTCCCTTGTTGAAGTTTCTCAGGCTTTCTATCACTAATTATTGCAAACCGTACTGTCTGGAAGTTGTCAGATGAGATGCATACCATTGATCCATACATGAGTCTCTTTGTATTACCCCAGTCAACATGTGAAAGTTTGCTTACATCAAATTGTAATCGGTATACGATTCCATCTTCTGAGCAGAAGAAGCGCCTGACTAGTACATTCTGATACAGACGTGTTGCTCTTCTGTCCTTCATGGCCAATAGGTCTTGATACTCTGAAACCCCTTCTCGTAAAGGCTGAATGAAGTCTTCCCTGAGTAGCCTGTACTGAACATCTAAATATTCATCAACGTCTGTGTATTTGCCGACTACCTTGTTTTTCTTCAGGAGTGGTTTCATGGCGGGATTTATGTCATCATTTGTGGGCATGAGCTTTATTTGACGGAAATTGTCATCCTTATGCAAGAAAGTATCTTCACATACTTTGAATCTCGCGTCTCTCAATGACCTCAGATCAAGGAGGATCGCCTGTAGTGACTCTTCAGGAATTGTCAACTGTTTAGCTGCAGCAATAAGAATTAGAGTGGGTATTGCTGTTGGATCAGTACCAGTGTCCTTCACTCTGTGTACCATCTCTTTCAATATTGTCACCATATCTCTGAAAAAGTTTTGAATTGTCAATGACTCAATTGTTTGCACTCTTTCTGCGAGTCGTGTAGTTAGGGAGCGTAAATGTTTTGAGACAAACACTGTCATCTTTGTAAGGATTTGCAATCCAGTCTTTGGCACAACTTGACACTCACATCCTCTGGAAATCAGAGACAAAAGTAGAAGACAGTCTTCTATGTCAGATGCTTCATCATTCAACAGATCATCCAGATCAACATTCCTGGCAAGAGTCAGTGCTATTAAAGGGGATGGCTGACTTTGTAAAGACATCAAGAGGGACAAAGAAATCGTTCTATCGGTGAGTTTTTTATGAATCCATTTATAGTCTCGCTCCACCGGTTCATCTGAACTGTCCGTGTCATCAGGCTGGATAGTGGGAATGACTCGCCTTTGAGTCTTTCGTTGTGCTGGACGTTTAGGCGTTGAGATCTTAATGTCTAAAGCTTTGGAAATTGTACTCCCTTTGTCGCTTTTTGTGTTCCGACTGGGATTCTTTGTTTTAAATCCCAGTATCTCAACAGGAGCAGGCACCATGTGTGTCTTGTGCTTCTTCCCCTTCTTTGAAGGTTTGTTGCTTTTTTTGTCTTCTGTCAGTTTATCCACAAGGACGTGTGTTTCAGAGACACGTGTTGCCTCGACAGTTGAGATTGTGTTGGTATTACAGTCATACCTTTTGCCTGCACATGGTCCTCCTTGTTGAAGGCCTGGGTTATATGCCAGACTTCTCCCCACATCGCCTTGGTCACTCATGGAGGGGTTTTCGATCATGTGGATTGTGCTGGTATGATTATAGCACAGATTTGAACTCTGATTTTGCTTTTCCAATTTCTGCATCACACTTTTCGCCACCGTGTTGGAGTCATCAAGGTATTCTAATTTGGGTGTTGCAGCGTCATCTTCAATCTCATAATCTGGCTTCACATTTGCGGGAGACCTCAAGGAATCTCTGATGGCTGTTTCACGCCCCTGGGCTCCATGAAGATTGCTCCCATACATTCCATGATGAGTTTCTGAATTAGCTGATGGAAGGTTAAAGTCTAAAGAAACAAACTTTCTCTTTTTCTGTTTTCCTTTTATCAATGGTTTTGACGTTGTAGCCTTCGTTCCAGTTCCATGCATATCCTGTTGAACTGTTGATAAGGGTGGTAAACTGATAGAAATGGGGCTCTGTGTTCTTGTGCTGTCACATTCGTCATCTGAAAGCTGTTCATCTCTGCCGGTTGTTTCCCTCTGTTCCAGAAAGCTTGCCAGATCTTTCAAACAAGGTTTACCAAGTGCAGGTGTAGGCTGTTCTTTCATCTTTTCCTCTTTACCTCTGGTCTTCTTTCCAGCCCTGGCTTCAGGCATCAGTGGTGGGAACTCCTCCATTTTGACCGTTTTGTGAAGTCTAATGCCTAACACTAGTAGCCCAGCAGCACCGCCATGACGCTCAATAACCTGAAAGATATCAACGCATTATTTGAACCAGAGGGCACTGTGAGTATAATATATCGTCACATAGTTCAGTGGTTATACGAGAGCAGGTCGTTTTGCCTTCTCGTTCATTGTCTACTTCATACGTATCGCTTATGTTTATGAACACACCCTTGACGAATGGTGTTATGTAAAGAGGTCACATGATCCCACAGCTGTAATGTAAACACCTGAATACCCGAGTTCCACTCTGTTCAGCAGGTCATACGTGTGGGTTTGATGCGTGAAATATCTTTGAACGATACAAGGTGCTACTGCATGTCACTCAACTGATTTTCCAAACGTCCAGTATATCAGTGTGTATACTGTAACGCTCGGAATACTTGACTACCCGAATCAGTTTCATGGAAATCCCTACCTCTATTCGCCGAACTCTGTATAAGGCATTCGCTTCATGCTGGGACTGTTAAATGTCAGCAGAGGACGCCTTTGTCAGCAATCGATCCGTTGCTAACGTTGCGCCTATTTATAGTCCTTGGCAGTCTCCCAACACGGTAATGTTATGCGTATGTGTCCTGAAGTATACTGACTGTGTGCAGTGTGCAGTGTGTGTGCAATAAAGCTGCACAAACAACTGTAGGTAATAGCTGTTGAATGCAATGGTATTTTCCTCATCGATACCAATGTCAAGGCCATAGAGCTGTCGATTGTCCTTTGATGTATTAGTCATTCAAACGAATTCAGATCATTACAAACTCTCATTCCCAAAAATGACTAAACATATCGTGGTTATAACCTGTCATATGTGTGCTGGTAAAGTGGCTAAACTGACCATTTGTATTATGTTGTGAAACTATTACAGACGTGGCATGAGTTGATATTTGAATATACGTTGCTTTTCTCGTGCTTACTGGGCGGTGGTGGAGTAGCCTTGTGGTTAGAGTGTTAGCTCGTCACGCCGAAGACACGGGTTCGATTTCCCATTTGAGAACAATGTGGGAAACGCATTTCTGGTGTCCCTCACCATGATATTGCTTGAATAGAGCTAAAAGCGGCACAAAACTAAACTCAATCACTTGTTTGTGCTTGCTACAAGAGTAAATATCACACAGTTTTATCAACACTGGACCTTGGCCCTGCTACTAAATATGCTCCATTGACATTCGGAGTTAGTTTCGGGAAGAATATTACACGACTCAGGCTACTGTTACTATTACATACAAGAAAACCGACTATTTGCGAACAGACGATATTACGAATAACAGGGTGTCCATTACTATTATTACAGTCACCCACAATTAAGTTGTGTTAAGTCTAGCTTCTATCGATTACGATACCCAAGATAATTTACAGTTTGAGGAATGAACATCACTTTATTCAAGCGACCTACGGATACATAGTTACAAGTACGTTTCGTCACCTACATAGCAAATCTGCGAGATTACTACCTTAATATGCGTGTTGCACTGTTATTCTAAATAGCTAGATTAACCAAATACTTCTGACACGATATTATAGTTTTTCACAGCCCTAAGACAATGAAGCACGGTTATGTTTTTTCATCGACAACCTATGACCATGATTATAATTATGACATGTCATACATATATCAGTTCGTATTGCACTTCACTTGCAAATGTGTTACACATAAATACTGTAATAATCAGGAATCACAATGTTGATAAGATATGTAAATATTGGCCTGACAGTGACATCGTTGTTACCCCGACCAGATATGTAGGGATAGCGTATGTAACACTCACCTCACATACTTCGAACCAACCTACAGGTTACATATCACCGCTGTGACTGTTCTAGTTTCGGATTCATTTCCAAGTAGTCCTACTATCACATTTGATAGGTTCAAACGTACATCGTGTGGTTTCGCCAGCAAGCCAAGCCATGATGAGGTAACAGCCGATATATATATATATATCTTTATGATGAATAAGCCGGTATATATATATATATATATATATCCTTATGAGGTAACAGCCGATATATATATACTGTATATATTCTTATGAGGTAACAGCCTATATATATATATATATATCCTTATGAGGTAACAGCCGATATATACATGTATATATATCTATATCTTTATGTGGTAACAGCCGATATATATATATATCCTTATGAGGTAACAGCCGATATATATATCTTTATGAGGTAACAGCCAATATATATATATAGCCTTATGAGGTAACAGCCGATACATATATATTTCCTTTTGAGGTATATATATATATATATATATATATATATATATATATATATATAATGTATACATGTACACACACACGGATACATACATACATACATATGCACGCACATATGCACGCACGCACGCACGCACACATATAGATTGATGGATGCATTTGCTGGTCACAGTTCCTCGTTCAAATGACAACATGTGTCAATTGTCGTAATATGGAAAATTAGATGTGGTCTTATCACATTGCCCTGAGATCTGTTCATCTGTCTGTGTGTGTGTGTGTGTCTGTCTGCGCGTGCGTGTCTATATAATCAGGTTAACTGGATATGTAATTAAATACGCTTTTTGCGGTCCCTATAATTATATTATGCATCACAATTATATACATATTGTATGCATAGAAAAAATAGATCTATCAATATATGTATATATGTGTATGTATATATATGTGTGTGTGTGTTTGTGTATTCTTATTATATTAGACGGGACTGTTTTTTGAGGATGGATCGAAGCTGACTGGATGCTTTTAACAAGAATCCTATGGTCTGTTTTATATTAATTCCAGAACAATTATGAAAAAAGAGCTGCATGTACTTCATTTGGACAATCATGTCATCGCTGAATACTGCCGCAATATGGAAGTATATAATACCGCTGTGTAATCAAAACAAGCATACATTGATATCCTTCTCAGGGTATCGGTGATTCTGATGTAGCTCCATAATGCAAAGTCTCATTGCATTTTCATGGATGCATTAACACGGAAAAACTGGACAACGTTTCACCAATATTTTATAACGATATGTGTTTTTGAAAACTTGAATTGTTACAGACTACTTGTCAACGTTTCATTATCTTAAAACTGCCGAGGGTCACCCTGATAAGTGGCATTGTATTTATCTATAGCATATGTTTCTATCACGTGGTCAAATCCCGTGCCACATATACCTTCGTGGCATACTCGCGACAGGTCATCGATGTTTGGACCAACTAAATGACATGCTCTCAAGACTATCGAGTGTGTCGAATATTTTATTTATCATCCAAAACTGTGTTCCACAGGAGATATCGCTTGTGTGAGATCAAACGATATCTCCTAGGAGATATCGTTTTGACAGTAGATTTTGTACAATGCCCTGACAATGCTATGACGTCATGTACTTGATGACGTCACAATGCTATGACATCGCTGCACTGCAAGTCTAATGGCAGTACCATGTTCAGAGATGTACATTTTCATTGACAATTAATGAAGAGTGATTTTGGATGATAAATAGAATCTCACCCTCGTGTCTTCTGATATCAAATATATCAACACTCATTGATAAAAGTAAAAATATCCTCGGCAAGCCTCGGATATTTGTAACTTTATCAACTCGTGTTGATATAATTGATATCAGAAGACACTTGGGTGAGATTCTCTATGTATTGTATTATGTAGTGAATACGTTGCTGTTTTGTAGATTGTATGAACACCCGCTGGGGTGAGGTGTAGAGTATTGAACAATTTTATTACGTTGTATACTATTGAATGTGTATCGTGATTAAGGTAGTATGTGTAACAAATGTACACATGATGTTCATGTTCTTTGACAGATGACTGCATTGTGAACATGCTGTAATAATATACTACCCATCAAAAGTTTAGACTCACTAGTGTAAATGTAGCCATGAAGCATCATCCTTGTGCAATTCATCTGCATAAGGTTTTCAGTTGGTTCCCCCAAGTTGGTGGAGAAATTCATCTTCGATGTAACCACATACATATACATAACATATAGTGAGTGCTTTAAGTGAGTCTAAACTTTTGATGGGTAGTATATATTGTAAATCATTCTGTTATTGCCTGACTATGAAACATATCGTTCAGTGACTGCGTTGTAATAAACTCCACGTTTATTTACTCAGGTGTTGTGTTGTGTGTGGGTTGGTATGGTCAGACCTCTTGCCAGGCGAACTCATTCCCCAACACTCGCGTTTTAATAGATGCGAACGTTTTTTTGTTCATTAAATGTGATTCATACCAAGAGGTGTTCCCCGATCACACAAAAGTCGGAATTTTGGTTAGAATATAACCCAAGCTCCGCTTCAGTCAACATGAGGGTAAGACACGAGGAGTGACTTTCCCTCTCCATGTGATTTGTTGACTAGTGATCATCAATCGTACTTGATAAATAGGAAACAACTTAAAACAGCAGTCGAATAGTAAGTGAATAGTAAGTATTTATTGTGAAGGCACAAATAAAGCTGATCAATCATTTTAACGAATAACAGAGGTGTCCACTCTAAAAAAGATTTCTGCGACAAAACTTCAAATTCACACACACACACACACTCTCTCTCTCTCTCTCTCACTCACACACACACACACACATTTTAGTATACTTAACGCGTATCAATATTCAAAATAAACCCCCATCCCCCACAGTCTTCCACCGCTTCCACAAAAAAAGCCATGGATAAAACTTTCTTTACATGTTCAAAAACATTACTCATAATCCTGGTGTTTGTCCATGACGGATATATAACACTATATTAAAGTAATGTTAATCCAAGATACATTGCCATGTGAAGGCAACCAGCAACATATATCTAGTCATACGAGGTTCTATACTAACAGATAACTTCGTGATTTAGTATTGCAGACAATGTGAACCCCATCAATCTTAATTTGCAAGTCATTCACGAGTAGTCAGCTGTAATCCACTTTAAGTAAAAACTAGGATGTCCCGGTAATTGCAATTCACTCAAAAATATGAAATTTGTGTATATCGCCATTCTGTGTTAAACAGTGAGTTATTAGACTTTGCAATGTAGGAACTACAAATCTTATGATATCTTAGCTGTTTACAAATGACATCATTTTATGCATTCAATTAACAGGTTATATTCATTTTTTTTCACCAATCAAAGTTTGCAAAATACGCTGTTTTATATTTTGCTGATATCTAGCACACACAGTCTTCAATTACACACTTTGGTTTATGTTTTCAACATAAAAGGTCCATATTTAGGGAAAATAATTTACAATTTCTGTTTCACAGAATCACTCAATACAATTACGATACTGTGAGGTTGTCTACACCACAGCGGAGAAAGACAATATTGTACTTGTAAATTCAAAGAAGCATTAGCATGTTGCCTTATCCTTAACCCTTTACTTTCGTCAGCTGGGTTGAAGTATGGATGGATATGTCGATCGCTATGGATATCCCACTTCCTATATCAACAGTACATGATGTGGTTTCCAGTCCAAAGACCGACACAGATGGTCACAGCATATCCAGGTTATAGTTCCCAAGATTGGCCTGCTCTGACCATGCTGCAAACGCAGCTCCGTCCATCTCTGGTGCAAGGGCGTTGTCGCCTCTCAGTCTGTGCCCGGTACCACCGATTGTAGCGTTACATTCTGGACACTTCGACACCATGGTTGCTCCACCACATTCTCCGATTGCATAGACATGCCCTGAAATCGAAAGTAACTAAGTTACTTAAGGAATCAGATTGTGGAATAGAACTTGGAGTGTTCGCTTGTCAATTCTCGAGTTCAATGGCAATTTCTGGAACCCAGATCTGTTGTCCTGTGCCATGATGTGGCTGGACCCCAAACACAATATCCTACATCCAAATGCTTTACTTCAAGACTAGAGATTCATCTAAAATATCCCATTTTTAGGTGAATAAAATTGTCAAAAGTATATGAAGTAACTGTCTGTCAACAACAATTATTTTCTTGAAATGGTTGTTTTCAAATGATAACTTCAGGTTTTGAACAAATAACAGTGATTTATAGAAATTATTAACTAAGACAGTGAAGGCCGAACCAGGACGATCGTATGTAAATTTAGCATCGAAACATAAGGAATTTAACTAAAGTCTAAAAGTGCATTTAAAGATGGGTAAATGAGAACATTACGAAAAATATATTACCATTAGGACATTTAAACCAATGTCCCTTTGTGAGTGCCATTGCTTTCACTATTTCCACCCTTTCTTCTTCAGATATACCAAGACCAGATTCTGGAACATGCTTCTTTAGAATTTCGAAGATATTCTTCACTCTTTCTTGCCGTTGTTTGGTAAACCTTTTGCCATATTTCAAAGTCCCCTGTAGAGCTTGGAGTTCTTTTTCAAAGCCTCTGGCATTTCAGGGTTTCTGATGGCTATAATTCTCTCTACCTTTAAGAGCCTGATGATAGCCTTATTCCTGTCAACTTCATCCTGGGCATCTGAGACATCCTGATCACTGAGGGATGATCGTGTCCCCATGAGCCATTTTCGGAATTGCTCCAGCTCCTTCATGCTGGAAATGGCATCCCTGAGAACGGGACGTAGAACGGCTTCTTTGCAGTCCTCTGCAAGCTTTTCATAGGAATCAAATAATTTGGACGCACGTTTCAAGAAACGAAATTGATTCTCAATAGCATTAAGACCAACTTCAGTGTTGACATAACCCTTTTTCAGCATATCCAGTTTTTCATTCCGTTCTTGTGGGTCAACTTCCCTGTTGGCTTCAGCTTCAAGTTTAGCTTTCAGAACACGTATTCTGTCATCTTTCCAATATAACGTTTTTTCACTGTGTCTATATCCTTCAGCATTTTCTTGATCAGAGATCCATATCTGGTGTTCCGTCGAATCTGCGTCTTGCAGTGAGGGCATGTTTTCAACTGAATAGCATCATTTTCAGGATCCATTTGCATGAGCCTGTCCATGGCAGATACTTCCACAATATGACCACAGTCCTCAAGCTCAACAAATCTTGCATCTGGCTCATCCTCTGTGCCAAACAAGATTGATGTGACTTCATCGTGATTGCACACTCTGCACAGACGTGGACAAGGCTCACCACATAGTCCGATGCATTGGTGACCACAGCGAAGGACGTTCAGGCAGGGTTCGTCACACGGAGGTCTATTACATGGCTCTCTGCATTTCTTGGTGCATGCATGGTGCAGACATTTCCACTCACAGGGCTCATTACATGGTACACAAATCTCGCCGCATATTTTGTAACATTTGCTGTGCGGACATCGGTTCTCACAAACATTTCTGCATGGGGGACAGTTGCTGCACATGTCCTTACATTCGTGTCCACAGACAAGGATCCTCTTGCAGTTCTTACGGCATGATACGTGCAGCCTTCCTTCATGACAGTCGTGACAGTTGCCAGCACACGTATGTCCACATTCCAGCATTGTTGAACATTTTGCCTTGCAGACAGCCGAGTCTTTCCTCATGCATTCAACATCACTTGTGTGTCCACATCTCCACGTCTTCTTCACCATCTGTTTGCACTGATGCTCAATTCCACATGGGTTTCCACATGGGTGTCCACACTTCAAGACCTTATCACATTTAGCTTGACATTCGTATTTCCTGGGATTCATGCAACAGGGGACAAGCTGTTTGTGTCCACAACGAGGTATCACCTTTTCGACTGGCACTTCGCATTTCTCACACTGCTGATAGCACAATCGTGGACATGGGTGATTGTTCTGGCATATAGATTTTGGACAGGGTTTATTGCATTTGTATTCTTCGTGGTTGGGGTCATAAGGATGGCAAAGTCGAGAACAGACATGTCCACATTCCAGTCTGAAGGTGCACTGCTTCATGCAACCACCTTCAGGAGCTTTCCCGAAGTCTTCCGGTTTCTTTGCAGCAATGCCCGTGTCCCGCGGGTGATTCTGACAATATAGGTTCAAGGTTGTTCCTATCTGGTTGTTAATCTGCAAATCTTTCTTTATTTCCCTCCACAGCTGACTTTCTTGGGCAAGGAGATCAAAGTTCCCGATGACATATAATCCTTTCTTAGCCCGTGAAAGTGCCACACAGACACGGTTTTCAATTTTCAGGAATCCAACGCTTCCTTCAGCATTGCTTCGCACGAGTGACAGAAGGATTATGTCATTCTCCTCTCCTTGGTAGTTGTCCACCACTGTCAATCTGACTCCCTGGAAAATCTGCTTTGGCATCATCTTCTTCAGTTTCAGTAGCTGTCCTGAGTAGGTTGTGAGAATTGTGATTTGTGATCTTTCATATCCCTGTTTCATCAGATATTCACACAGTGCTACGACATATCTAGCTTCAAACTCATTGGCGTGACTGACACGTTCAATGTCATGTTCTTCTTGATATCCATGGTTGATGAAGAACATGTTGTCAGATATCCCCTTGATCTTCTCATAATTGAGGACAGAGGAATGATTTTCAAGCTTGGGGTAGATTGGCTTCATTAACCTGGCAATTTCAGGGCGCATTCTATGCTGAAGAGCCAGCGTGTCACAGTGCATGCCATTGTTGATCATTCTCTCAAATAAAGACAGATCTAACTTGAATTGCTTTGCAAGTTTGTATACAGTAGGGTTTGGCTTCAGCTGCTTATGATCTCCGATAAGTATCAGATGTTCACATTTCTTGCTCAGAGTTGTGATGATGTGTCCCTCAAGAACTTCTGCAGCTTCTTCAACAACTATGACTTTGGGGCCAATCTCCGACAGCACCTGTTGATAGCGGGCTGCCCCTGTTGTTGTCATCCCTATCACTGTTGCAGTCTCCATGATCTGTTTGTCTTCAATCATCTGTGACTCTTTGTACTGAGTTACCACTGCTTTGTATCTAGCCTCCTTTGTTGATATGTCACGTTGCAGTCTTTCACAGAGACAGTGTACCCAGAATCTGTACAATTTCCATCTATCATTCATTTGGAGTGCCCAAGGATCCCGGACACGATTAGCCTCTGCTGATGTCATCCTTTGTGTGGATCTCAATCTTTTCAAAATACGTCTTTTAAGACGTCTTCGGGCTTCAGGCTGTAACTGGAACTGCATTGCATCTTCTTGTTCCTTCGGGTTCCTGTCCAAATTTGTCACATCAAAGGCAACATATCCACCTCGTTCATACTGAAGATGCTCAATCATTCTCTGAAGCTTGTCAAGTTCACTTTCCTCCATGTCACCATCGTCCATGTCATGCATCTGTCTCTGCTCTTGCAAGAGATCTGCTTCTTCCTGAACATCTATCAGTCCACCATCCTCGTCCTCATTTTCAATGTCTTCCCCTGGTTGCGGTTGCTCAGCTGGGTTCACCATTTCGCCAAACGCACCAATGCCCAACCACTCTACCATGACAGGGGTTGGTGGTGGCACATGGCCATTTGCTTCCTGCATCTGCATTAGCATCATATTCATCGCCATCACCATATCATCATAGCTTTCACCCATGAATGGTCGCAACACATCTTCATGTAATATCTCCCTCTCGGCTGCTTCTATTTGCTGACCAATCTTTTCAATCTCAAGCTTCAGGGTCATCATACTGTTACGAATTTCCCATCTCATCCGTCCAGTATTTCTCATATCTCTGGAACCGTGCAATTTTCGTGCCCTTTGTCTCTGTGCTTTGAGTGAGTAATCCTCCAGTTGCTCACTTTTGATCCTTCCTCCTACTCTGATGATACTTCCTCTGTAGAAGGATATTATTCCTTCAAGAAACTGGTCTAGTGCATGGTTTGTGTAGCAAACGATGAGCATTGGTGATCTGTTGTTTGCATTCCAGGTCTTTGTGTTGTGTAACAGGGCCTTCACAATCTTTAAACCAACATACGTTTTCCCTGTACCAGGTGGTCCTTGCATAATGACGAACTCTTTGGTGAGGGCTGTTTTTAAGGCTTTGTACTGTGACGGATCAAGATGCAGTTGGATGGCAGACGGCCAATCCAAATGATTCAGTATTTCAATGTTGTTGGCAATCTGTGATTCGCGACTAAAGTCGTAGCTCACCTCCCTTTTCTGCAGTCTCAAAGCAGTGTCTTCCCTTAGAACAGTTTTTTCATCCACAAGTGGGCGCAGGTCATATTTGACAGTCCTTAAACCCCGGAGGTATTGAGGTGACTTCACCTCACTCTCACATTCGACAATGTACTCTTCAAATGGAAGATCACCATCACGGAGCATCTGCAGACCTCTCAAGACATGTCTGTAGGCCTCAAAGTAAGCTGATGTCTCTACCATTACAAAACGGGTATCCAGGGAAAGGATGTCATCAAGATCTTCATCATTTTCAAGTAATACATCAAGTATACCATCCTGAAGTTTCTTTGGATCTCTATCAGAAACAGTAGCAAAGAGAAGGGTTTCAAAATTGTCATGTGACAAGCAGACCAACGATCCATATATCAGTCGCTTAGAATTTTCCCATCTGATTTTGCGAAGCTTGCTCATGTCAAACATGATTCTGTGGAGAAGTCCACCATCTGAGCACACTGTCCGCACGATCTGGACATCATGATAGACCCGTATGTCTTTCAGTCTCTGACCTTTCTCTCCTGGAACATTGGCAGCTTGATACTCTGCAATGCCGTTCCTCAAAGGGTAGACAAAATCTTCCCTCAACAAACGGAACTGGACGTCCAAGTAATGATGAAGGTCATTGTATCTACCAACATCTATGTTCTTGCGAAGAAAAGGTTTCTCCTCAGGGTGAATGTCCTCGACATTTGGAAATATGGACATATCTCTGAAATCACTAGGTGGTGTCCCATCAGTATACTCCTTTTTCTCATCCCCACCTTCTTCTTTTGTCGTCCTGTCAACAGTTGGCGTTTGCATATCCTGCAGCTGCTTCAGGTGTTGAAGCATCTCTTCATCTACGATATCAGACTTTAGTTCAAGTTCAGGCAGGATCATTTCCAGGAAGCTCTTCACTCCAAGAACATGAATGTATGAATGTGGCAGTCTGGTAGCCAGTTCCTTCATAACTGATATCAAGTCTTTGATGAACTGCCTCTTTTCTCTGGGATTTTCATTTGGTCTGTTTCTGATGTCGTTCAAAACATCAGGGACATGGTCGTAAAATTTTGACCGCTGAACAGTGAGCAAGAGTTCAATAAGGTTAGTCTGAGCAGATTTACATAAACATGCCTGTGCAAGGGCACCTACAATCGCATACATCATATGAGATGAAAGATTGTGTCGTTTGAGGAGTGAGCCGAGACCTGATTCCTGGCCAAGTGTCATAACAATTGTAGATGGATCCTTTGACCGCAGTTCTTGCAATTGCCTGTAATCAAGGTAATGACCTCCCCCTCTTCCACCTCTTCCTCGGAACCCTTGTCCTCGGCCTCCTCTGGCACCATCACCGTCATTGTGACCTCTTCCTTCTTCCTCTGCGCGATCAGCACCTCTTCCCCAGTGTCCTTCGCCCCTACCTCTGTGTTCTCCTCGCCCTCTCCCTCCAAACCTTCCATGATCCAAATTGTGTTCGTCTTCGTTTCGTCCACCACCTCTTCCCCATCCTCCGGCACCTCTAAAGCCTCGTCCGTGACCCCATCGACCTCGACCTCTCATTCGACCTCGTCCTCTCCCATCACCTTGATCTTGTCCGTAATCAGGTCTGTAATGGCAGAGATGACTCAACATGACACAACCACTGAGAATATGGATCAAACGGCGTTATTTAAAGTGACGTCTAAGAAAAGTGTGTCTTCGTTATCATCGAAAAGAAATGACATATGGGAGATACCAGGCCCTTACAAAATCTGCATAATAATTCAAGTAATTTTTGTTGCCCCAACCCGAACTGTTGAATACCAGCACCATATGGAGGTAGCGTCAACACTTGGGGGACCTACTATACAATCCACTGACAGCATCTGGATTAATAAATCCAGTGACGCGATAATTCATTTATACTTTGCATTACTTCTACATCAAGATCATGTTGCTTACAAGAAAATGTCTATAGTTTAGAATGTTAAGGTACCTTAAAACCAACAGAAAATATATCAAATGAATTCATTTGACAACATGAATACTTCGAATAATATTTGAGAAGATCATCTTAATCAAGATAAACTTGAAATAACATCCCACCTATGGACGTGGTCATCATCGTTGTCCATGGTAAAGAAGCCAGATGTGTTGTGTGATCTAAAATAGCAAAACGTTTCGGTTAAAAATACAATTACATGTATATCTATAATTAATATAAGGTATACATGGTTCTATAGGCATAAAGCAGGTGTTCCAACTTCCTGGTTCTATGGCATTACTGTTGCATGTGGTGTAAGCAGTTCCGGTTTTATCGGAGTTTCTTATAGTACGAAACAACCTTTACATTAACCGTGTTATCAACATATTTTTTTTCAAATAACTCATATTCATGAACATGCAAGGTTATGTGTTATTCCACTATCCATTATATCCGTCATATTTAAAAAAAATGGAAGGATTTTTTTCAGAAAAGATTCTGTCACAATCAGTGTAGTTCCTTCATGAAACACTGATAAATTATCAACCATATTCATAGCGCACACACGTGTGGTATAACAGATAATATGTCGGTGAATTTAAAATGTACACTTAAACGAGAGGAGCACAGGCAAATATTCCCTCAGACAAAGGATTATAACCAGTATTCACCGTTCGTCACTCCCTATTATATAGCAGTTCCAGTGACTGTGCTGACGCGGCTGATAGGTGTTTATCTCGTCGTCAAGTCCCGTTGCAGAAACAATCTCTATAAATAGGCTAGTGGTGTACTGGTAGTTAAAGGCATTGCATAACAGTTGTAGATATTCATATCAATAGTGTAATACATGAAAACTGTCTATGTACCACACACCGTGATATTATCTATCTATCTATCTATCTATCTATCTATCTATCTATCTATCTATCTATCTATCTATCTATCTATCTATCTATCTATCTATCTATCTATCTATCTATCTATCTATCTATCTATCTATCTATCTGCTGTTTATGTACCATATACTTTTAAAGATTCATACTATCTATGTGCCGCATTCTGTTATAATATATACTGTCCATGTACCACATACCGTGATACTATCTATCTATCTGTCTGTGTACCACATACCATGATACATACAGTCTATGTACCACATAATGTTAGATATATACTGTCTATGTACCACATACTTTTAAACATTAATACTGTTTGTGTACCACATACCATGATACATACAGTCTATGTACCGCATATTGTTATACATATATACTGTCTATGTACCACATACCGTGGTCCATACACACTGTACATGTACAACATAACATGATACATACATACTGTCTACGTCCCACATACTCTTATACATATATCCTGTCTATGTACCATATACTATTAAACATACATAATGTCTATGTACCACATACTGTGATACATACATACTGTTTATGTACCACATACTATTATACATATATAGATACTGTCTATGTACTACATACTGTGAAACATACATGTTGCCAATGGACCACATACCATGTAACAGTATGCATGAATCTTACCATGTGGCATGTATAAAGCATGCCTGAATCTTACCATGTGGCATGTATACTGCATGCCTAAATCTCACCATGTGGCATATATACGGCATGCATAAATCTCAACATGTGGTATTTATACAATATGCATGAATATCACAATGTGGCATGTATACAGTATGCAGTTATATCACCATCTTGCATGCATGCAGTATGCCTGAATCTCACCATGTGGCATGTATACAGTATTCCTTAATCTCACCATACGGTCTGCATACAACATGGATGAATCTCACCATGTGGCATGTATACTTTATGCATGAATCTCACCATGTGGCATGTATTCAGCATAGATCAATCTCACCATGTGGAATGTATACAGTATGCCTGAATATCACAATGTGGCATGTATACAGTATGCATGTATATCACCATCTTTCATGCATACATTATGCCTGAATATCACCATGTGGCATGTATAGAGTATGCATGAATCTCACCATATGGCATGTATACAGTTTGCATGAATCTCACCACGTAGCATGAACGCAGTAGGCATGAATATCACCAGATGGCATGTATACAGCATGCATGAATATCACCATGTGGCATGTATACTGTATGCCTGAATATCACCATGTGGCATATATACAGCATGCAGGAATATTACCATGTGGCATGCATGCAGTATGCCTGAATATCACAATGTTGCATACATACAGTATGCATGCATATCACCATGTTGAATGTATACAGTATGCCTGAATCTCACCACGTGGTATGTATACAATATAGATGAATCTCACTATGTGGCATGTATACAGTATGCATAATATCACCATCTGGCATATATACAGCATGCATGAATCTCACCATGTGGCATGTATACAACATGCATGAATATCACAATGTGGCATGTATACAGTATGCATGAATATCACCATGTTGCATGTATAAAGTATGCCTGAATCTCACCATGTGGCATGTATACAGATTGCATGAATGTCACAATGTGGCATGTATACGGTATGCCTGAATCTCACCTTCTGGCATGTATACAGTATCGATGAATATCAACGTGTGGCATATATACGGTATGCATGAACTCACCATGTGGCATGTATACAGTATGCATGAATCTCACCATGTGGCATGTATACAGTATGAATGAATCTCACCATGTGGGATGTATTCAGTATCCATGAATCTCACCATGAGGGATGCATACAGTATGTATGAATCTAACCATGTGGCATGTATACAGTATGCATGAATGTCACAATGTGGCATGTATACAGTATGCCTGAATCTCACCATGTGCCATACATACAGTATGCATGAATATCACCAGGTGGCATGTATACAGTATGCATGAATCTCACCATGTAGCATGTATACAGTATGCATGAATCTCACCATATGGCATGTATACAATATGGATGAATCTCACCATGTGGCATGTATACAGTATGCATGAATCTCACCATGTGGCATGCATACAGTATGCATGAATCTCACCATGTGGCATGTATACAGTATGCATGAATCTCACCATGTGGCATGTATACAGTATGCATGAATCTCACCATGTTGCATGCATACAGTATGACATGAATCTCACCATGTGGCATATACAGTATAGAGTATGTATGCCATAATCACCACCAAGTATGGCATAATGTATATATACAGTTTGCATGAATCTCACCATGTGGCAAGCACACAGAATGCATGAATCTCACCATGTGGCATTTTATACAATATGCATGAATATCACCATGTGGCATGTATACAGTATGCAGTTATATCACCATCGTGCATGCATGCAGTATGCATGAATCTCACCATGTGGCATGTATACAGTATGCATGAATCTCACCATGTGACATATATACAGTATACATGAATCTCACCATGTGGCATGTATACAGTATGCATGAATCTCACCATCTGGCATGCATACAGTATGCATGAATATCACCAGGTGGCATGTATACAGTATGCATGAATCTCACCATGTGGCATGTATACAGCATGCATGAATCTTACCATGTGGCATATATACAGTATAGATAAATCTCATGAATGGGCATGTATACTGTATGCATGAATCTCACCATGTGGCATATATAGAGTAAGCATGAATCTCACCATGTGGCATGTATATAGTATGCCTGAATCTCACCATGTGGCATGTATACAATATTGATGAATCTCACCATGTGGCATGTATACAGTATGCCTGAATATTCACAATGTGGCATGTATACAGTATGCAGTATATCACCATCTTTCATGCATACAGTATGCATGAATCTCACCACGTGGTATGTATACAATATGGATGAATCTCACTATGTGGCATGGATACAGTATGCATGAATCACATTATGTGGCAGGTATACAATAGGGATGAATCTCACCATGTGGCATGTATACAGTACGCATGAATGTCACAATGTGGCATACATACTGTATGCCTGAATATCACCATGTGGCATGTCAGCAGTATGCATGAATCTCACCATGTGGCATGTATACAGTATGCATGAATATCACCATGTTGAATGTATAAAGTATGCCTGAATCTCACCATGTGGCATGTATACAGTATGCCTGAATCTCACCATGTGGCATGTATAAATTATGCATGAATCTCACATTAAAGTATGTATACAATATGGATGAATATCACCATGTAGCATGTATACAGATTGCATGAATGTCACAATGTGGCATGTATACAGTATGCCTGAATCTCACCATGTGGCATGTATACTTTATGCATGAATATCACCGTGTGGCATACCATGTGGCATGTATACAGTATGCATGAATCTGCATATTGCTATGTGCCATACAGTATCTCACCATACATACATGGCATGAATCTCGCCAGGTGGCATACTGTATGCATGAATCTCACAATGTAGCATGTATACAGTATGCATGAATCTCACCATATGGTATGTATACAATATGGATGAATATCACCATGTGGCATGAATGTATACAGCTCACCATTCATGAATGAATCACCATGTGGCATGTATACAGTATACATGAATCTCACCATGTGGCATGTATACAGTATGCATGAATCTCACCATGTGCCATGCATACAGTATGCCTGAATCTCACCATGTTGTATGCATGAATCTACAGTATAAAGTATGCATGAATCTCACCATGTAGCATGTATACAGTATGTCATGAATCTCACCATGTGGCATAATTATACAGTATGCATGAATCTCACCATGTGGCATGTATACAGTATGCATGAATCTCACCATGTGGCATTTTATACAATATGCATGAATATCACCATGTGGCATGTATACAATATGCAGTTATATCACCATCGTGCATGTATGCAGTATGCCAGAATCTCACCATGTGGCATGTATACTGTATGTCTGAATCTCACCATGTGACATATATACTGCATAGATCAATCTCACCATGTGGAATGTATACAGTATGGCTGAATATCACAATGTGGCATGTATACAGCATGCATGATTATCACCATCTTTCATGCATACAGTATGCATGAATCTCACCATGTGGTATGTATACAGTATGCCTGAATCTCACCATGTGGCATGTATACAGTATGCATGAATCTCACCATGTGGCATGCATACAGTATGCATGAATCTCACCATGTGGCATGTATACAGTATGCATGAATCTCACCATGTGGCATGTATAGAGTATGCCATGAATCTCACCATGTGGCATGTATACAGTATGCATGAATCTCACCATGTGGCATGCATACAGTATGCATGAATCTCGCCATGTGGCATATTTACAGTATGCATGAATCTCACCATGTGGCATGTATACAGTATGCCTGAATCTCACCCTACCGCCCCTTTCGTTTAGAAGATCGTACCTTATAGATATCGTCTGATATCTCACAGTATCTCAAAGTGAAAATGGTACTCATCTGATAGATAATCAAATTAAACACAATTTTCGAACGATGTAAAACACAGCAAATATTTTTTTTCCTGGAGCATTTGCGGAAAAATGTATGGGCTCTCTACCAATGAACCGTGTTTACTGCTCATAACATCTCCCGCTTACAACCTTCACATATATTGTCAAACTAGTATCCATGTCGACAGACGATTGAATGACGGCCACAATAATTATTCGTCAATAATGAAACACATATACACACATTCCTGCATATCAGGTCGAACCAACACGGCTGAGTCGGGTTTCGGTGATCAGAGGGACAAGCTAGTGGGTATAGGTAGCTTCAAGCTTACTGTACTTACCATCGGCCTTTGACGGGACCTCTAAGTTCTGCCAGATCTCATTCTAGAGTTCCAAGAACTGATCAGTGACACACAACACCCCCTTGTATATACAAGTGACGACCACACGGGCTTTCCAGGAACTGTATTAGAGCTGTGACGTCATCAGAATTTCAGCCAAATCACTCTATTTTCGCTTTCGTTTTTGTTTGCGATAAGACCTATGAGCGATTACAGCAAGTGCTATCACATGCTTCATAGCATAGAGATACATGGAGACGTATTGTCATGTCACCAAGGACCGTGTCGGTGAAGGGCGCCTATTGAATTTCACTCAGCGTATCGACCGTACCTGGGATTTCCCAAGGTTACGTGACCGTCTATAAATAGCCGTGATGCTGGCAATGGAGAGGTGGGGTTTTATCACAGTTTCGTTGAAACCAGATTGAACAGACAGCCTTGTGAAAAAATGTTGGCTATCTCAATCACATGATGTGGTAACGAGTTTATCGAATTACATATCAGAGTGGTAGTTTCGTAATACCCATGTATGCTTACCTGAACTAGAGAGAGAGAAGAACAGTACCCGAGTCGGGGAGTGAACAACACAGATATGTGCGTAGGCGTATGCATTTGCGTGTATGTTGGGGTGTGAACTGTTAATGGCAATGGGGCTACAGGTAGATTGAGGGTGGAGGAGAAATACATGCCATTCTTTTCAGCATCGCAAGTGCAGTGACAAGCTATGTAAGGGAGGCAAGTCCGTACGCCTTATTTTCGATCTGTTAGGTTGAGTTGTTGTACAATATTTTCACCAAAAGGACGGGAGTGTAGTCTATGCATATGCGTGGATACATATTTTTTAGTGATGGATTTAAGCCTTTACGGAAAGGGGTGGATACCACTGCTCTTAATTCGAGGTGTAGTTTACGTTTATTAACGAAATTACTCACTTAAATGAAACAAAATAGTTGTAAACCCGTCTAAAATCATTATTAACAAGACTTATGTGTCAGTTAACTTGTTATGCTTTAAAACAATGGGATGCGCTTCTCTCTTATCTATGTTCGCCGTAATGTCTGTGTTGGTCTATCATCTACAGTCGAGCACCGTTGTCTCGATATTCATGGGACCAAGAAAAAATGTCGAGTTATCCGAACGTCGAGACATCCGACCAGGGCATATCATCACATATCACTATGAAAGAAAACAAAACGCTAAACTGATAAATTATGAACGATTTTGCCGGGACCGAGTTGTTATTTCGAGACAACCGAGATATCGAGTTATCAGAGTTCGACACAACGGTGCTCGACTGTATACCAATTTTTGTGTCGAACATATCCAGTTTCGTGATTGATATCCAAATCCAAGTAAAACCATCCGTATGAGGCGATATTTAAATTCTTAAACGAGGAAATCAATTATTTTGAAGCAAACCAGTCAAAATATATACACAAAAGCACAACGTCTCGAGATTACCTTCTTAAAAAGATATTAACGACGAACAAATCTGCTCTTTATAGCCGCATCATGTTAATAAGAAGTAAATATACTCTCCCAAAAAAGAAACGCATATAGGAATTGCATTGCATTGCATGTGAATTGTGTATTCTGTGACACTACACGCCGAAATTGAAAATCATGCTGTTACATACGGGTATTTTACGGATGGTGGGTTTTGTTGACATGTTCAAAACATAAACACCATAGGACTCATAAACAGAGCAAAACCTTTTGTAAAATGAATCACGTTTGGATTCAATGCTACATGAAATTGCTATTTTCATGATGCATCATGTCCATCCACTGGAATATATTAAAAAAGGGTTTAGAGTGACTGAGCACTGAATGCAATGAGGATTTAATAAATATATAGAACTCCCATGACGTCATACTGGTGCATTTGGATGCTTTGCATTGAACGAGAAGATGTCAGAGAAGCAACTCCCATGCTCTCATGACCTCTTCTCGTTCAATACAAAACATCCAAATACACTAGTATGACGTTCTATATTAATTATATACCCTCTTATCTTGCATTTTTATCTGTTACTTATTAAAACAAATCATAGCGTAGCGGTAGGGGTTCAATACGGAACCTGGGCTGCAATACGGAATTTGACCTCGTCATCCGCATTGCACCCCTGTATACCTATCTTAAGTCTACATGAGCATATAATAAACATGAGTACTGGAGCTTTGTGTGTTTGGAGGAGTAGGTAGGGATGGTCAAACCCATTTGACGAAACCTGTTTTGAAATACGAATATTAAGCTGGGCAAAACTAGCCCAGTGATGAGCGACATTATAATCAAGGTCGGCTTCAACTAACCACAGCAACATAATATGTGAGTGAGGGAGTGAGTTTTGTTCAACACCACTTTGAAAGACATTCTTACATCACTGAACATCAGCATAACGTTGACTTAAAGGAAATCAATGCCAGACACTGCCGTAACGATGGTAACCAACCAGCAATATAAGGGTGCTAAAACAGAGATGTATCTGGGTGTACCAAACACACAAAACCATTGCATCCTGGAACACGTAAGGGACAGAACTCCCAACAGCAAAGATCCATAGTTTTTGAATACTATGGCAACTCGTGCCCCTGATGTCGACATGATGTCATGTTAGGTTACTGTGGATCGACCACCATGCCTCTAAAACGTTACACCAATGTTTGGCACATTGAAATACAATACAAGGAAGACTGACTTGTTTGAGTGGCATTTTAGAAGTTGAGACGTACAATATAGAACAAGTTTTTTATGGATAACAACTTCTTTATTTCGTGAGTGCGACGTTTCGATACAGATTCTTGTACCGTTGTCAAGCAAGAGTGAAACGTCGCACTCACGAAATAAAGAAGTTGTTATCCATAAAAAAGTTGTTCTATATTAAGGAAGACTGACGTTCCGACACTCGAACATTGTATCTATTGCTTGATCCGAGCTGTACCCAGCTGTTATAATCAAAAGCGATAAATCCTTTCCACACCCACAATAAAACTCACCCGAAAGTGGAATCGTAAGCAGATATCATGACGTTATGAATTACTGTCAACAAGTGATGATACCAAGTGTTCACGAAACGGTGACCTGCTCCAACGACTGCACCCGTCATAAACATATACAAAGGGATATTGGCAATTGTGGTTAGTCAGTTTATTAAGCTCAAACACACACATATTACAAACATAAGATATTATCATCATGCATGTTGTTACTATATATTGTCACATAAAGCAGTGCAACATGTTAGACAGTACAGAAGTGAAACGAATAATACAGAGTCTAAGTTTACTGAGACTACACATAAAAGATGTGTGTATTGATATATATGTGTGTATTGTACATATATAATATATATGTGTGTGTATGTATGTTTGTGTGTGTGTGTGTGTGTGAGAGAGAGAGAGAGAGAGAGAGAGGGAGAAATTGGGATAATAGGAACCGTTCCCTACATGCTGGTGTCTGTCCTGAAACAACTTAATCCTTTTATCCAAATTGGTAAACCAAATTAGCAATAGATATACACATACATACCGACGTATTGTCTATTATTAAACTGCAACATATGCTATATTTGGAATTACATGTTCTTACTAAAGTATAGATTCTAGTACTTTTCGAATCCACTGACTCGAATCCACACACTCAGAGTCAGTCACCTAATCGTCAGCACACAAAGTCAGCCGCCTAACCTGCTCAGCCACTTCTACAAAAATTGAAGTCCGACAACTGGTAGTCTTGACTTTGTGTAATCATATTATTAAGCTGGCATAACACAACTGGCCAGATGTATAAGAAATGAAAATGCGAGGTTGTCAACAGTCTAACACGATTGTAATAGACCAAAGTCAACAGATATTCATCTCTGAAACTAACTTTAAAACATTAAGTCATGTCCACTGAAATTTTTATCATGTGAGAACAACATGTTACGAAATTGAAGTATACATTTGCAAAAGCCCTATTCTACTAAGGACGCATCTTATTAAATCACGTCTTACTGGCTTGTAACAAAAATATATGTGTGTCCATATAAAGAAAATCAGGTCGTAATTGGAAAACTACATTAAAACTGTAACGGCTATATTTGTGAAAAAGAAATAAATTGCCCACACAGCAATATTTCCTTAGTACACTTTCTACTTTTAACACGCTGAGTTCCTAGTACTGTCTTGTGGGGATACATCTCACAGTCAATGACACAGGACTCCAGTAAGCAAGGCCTATATCCTGATGCTTTCATCACCTGTTGACCTGAGATAAACACACGTACTAATGACCAGATCTGCTTTTTATAATTATGCATGTGAAGATCATCATAAATATGTGTAATATATATACATTTCTCTGGATACATTAGCAAATCAATGCTGAAAATATCTCAGCAATGCTTGATGAATGATGCTAAGCATTGAAGATTACACAATCTTCTTATAGAGCATATGAATGATGCTAAACATTGTTAATGATTACAAAATCTTCTTATAGAGATCCATAATATACTTTGGGGTCACAATCAGTTTAAATCTACACTGCTGAACATATTGTTATAAGTGTGTGAATAAAATCAACATAAATTCTTTTTATGTACATCAGTAAATATAATACAACATATCCTAAAATGCATCAAGGTATTTGTCAGGAACTTGCAGAGACGCAAATGTGGAATGATTTGTACAAATATAATGAATTTGAATTACAGATTTGTATGACATCAAATACCCAATTTAAAATACTGGACATAAACTAAGATACTCTGACATGTATGTCTACGAAAAACAACGAAAGTATGTTGTATGAAGAATCAGTGTCCTAATCAAACATGACTTTCCCCAAATATTTACAAGGTTAGAGATTCCAATTACATTCCCTCATACACGGGCTTTATACCGCTCATGTTCCCTAGAGAGGTTGCTCAGGAACATCAAGGTTTCACAATCCTTGCTGTAAACCGTCCTTATGTGCTTATAAAGATACCAGTGGGTGAACTGTATGTTAAAAAACATACAGATTATGTAAGTTCGGATCACATTCCCATGGACTTCCTCCGAGCTTACATAATATGTATGTTTGAGCCGAACTTCTTAAAGCGTCATCTTCGTCATACTCCAACATGGCTGATGGTGGCCTAATTTGTTTGAGTATGACGTAGATATATATTAACATTTATCTTACCTTCATGTAAAAGACTTTAGTTTCATTGGTCAATGACGCTTTAACAAGTTTCCGTGCCACCCTTCCCAGGAGGATGACATATTATGCACCCCTCCCAGGAGGGTGACAACTGGAAAAAAATATTACCCGCTGCCACGGTAACCGCCAGATTTCCTCCGAGAAGCTGTGTTATTCTAATACATCTGGCAATCGTATGACGTCATAATATGACGCATGCAGTGTCCCGAGTTCGAAAACCGTTCGATTAGATGTTTGTGAGTTCACTATGTACAGATTATTTGACCGACTTTCACTGCTTTATTTAAACTATTATATACATTGAATCGCTTGCACACTCAACTTAAACATAATTAACCATTTTTTATACAGTCAGATTCAGGTCGTAGACATTTACCACATTTACCGCAAATTTCGGCACATCTAGAGGACTAAACTCTGCTCAGTGATTTGGCCACCATTGCCATGTTGGATTATGACGTAGATATATATTTACATGTATATACAATTACACATACAAATACACAGAGGACAATAGATTCGTGACTGGATATTCAGATGAAAGTATAACTGGGTGAACAATATTGATAAATCTCGCCCTCTGAGCAAACTAACTACATGCACATTTAAGAAAAGGAGCTTATATGAACAATAAGGTTTGCACCTACAGCTTGGGTACCTTTCCATCTCTAATCTCCCGTCAATACTCGCAACATCACAAAGAAACTGACATATGCAAGTGAAGTAGAAAACTGTTCCATATTCACAACACGTGTCGTTGATATGAACTTTACACAACCCTCTTCATTTCAAGTCACATTATGTCGAAACAGTCACTTTGTCTTCAGAATCTTTTGTGGTGTCTTCTGACCCACTCTGCTGAGACATCGGGGGCAGTCACGAATATGACGAATATTGGAGCCATACCGACATTCTCCTCTTGAATAGACATGCCCTGTAAATGCAAGAGTAGTCACTCAATAATTAAATGTGAGTCCAATCATACGATTGCATGAAAACATCTCCCTTTGTAGAACAGCGGCAACACAGTGGCATTTAAGAAACAATATATCCAATAGAAAGCCTTTCGTCCTGAGAAGCTATGTGACCTAGTTGATGTTTCCCGAACAACTTCATGATATCAGACATGAATGTTCAATTTTCATCGGCCTTACATCATTAGCTTGAATACTATTGTTTGTGGTTTTCCAAACGAAGAAACAAGAACTTATTTAAACTATGATTGGTGGACACCAAAGACTGACTGACTGAGTTTGGTTTTACGCCGCTTTTAGCAATATTCCAGCAACATCACGGCGGGGGACACCAGAAATAGGCTTCACACATAGTACCCATGTGGGGATTCGAATGGGTCGGCGTCATACCTTTAACATCTTTCGCCCCGGACAGGCTCAGGGTGACCCATCTTTGTAGATCTATACAATAAAGACCAAACATCATCCATGTTCTTAAACTCATCTGTTCAAAATGCAGATGTTCAGGCACATAATAAAAGCTGGGTATGCAACCTAATCTCGTATGTAATAACGCAAATTAAATTAAATGTACGGATAAGTGTTTACAGAAGTATCAGGGTTTAATTAACAGAAAATCAGCCGTTATTAATTAAACCAAGTAATGTTAATCATCTCGTTTTTAAAGTCTCAAACAACATATTTACCATGGCGACAGGACAACCAGTGACCAGATGCAATTCCAGTTGTTGGTGTAATCATCACCTTTGCATTGTCAATCTCCTCTGAGAACTTGATGTTGAGAGTACCCCAAAGTCTGTCAAATATTCTTTCAACCCTGATTTGTTTTTCAGCTGAGTAAGATTTGCCAGAAACAAGGATGTCTTTCAGAACCAGCATGTAACCCTGTATGTCACTTTCTTTAGATTTGGCGCCAGAAGAAATTCTAAGTCCAGCATGTGAATAATCATTTTGTGTCTAAGCAGTTCATTCTGAGCGTCTGATTCGTCTTGTCTGCTGAAGGCTTGTCTTCGTATCATCAGCCATGTGCGGAATAGTTTTGTTTCTTTAGTGGCCAAATCAATATGTCGAGCGATGCCTTCTATACCAACAAAACGGGTCATATTCATCGGTAATCTTTGAAAGCTCATCCAGGAGGGTAAACTGGTTCTGTAGTGCTGTGAGACCTGCCACAGTGTTGGTAAATCCTTGGCGCAGCATCATTTCTTTTGTATTTCCCTCGCATTCATCATCCTCCATCACTTCAATCATCATCCTTTCTTCTGTGTCCAGAACCGTCTCTGCCTGTTCATTGCACTGCTTCCTTACAACTTCCAGTTTTCTGAGAATGGATTTGATCACATTTCCATACCTCATGTTGTATCTGATTATTGTTTTACAGTGTGGACATTTCTTCAGTTGGATTTCGTCTGATTTGGATGCCATGTGCCTATCGAGGCTTGTAACCTCCACAATATGCCCACAGTCTTCCAGGAAAACGAATCTTGCATTCGGCTTTCCACTCACATTACTTACTAGAGCAGCGTTGCAAAACCTGCACTGCATTGGGCATGGTTCGCCACACAAGCCAATACATTGATGTTCACAGGGCAGTTTCTTCTTGCATGGTTCATTGCAGGGTGGTCTGTCACAAGGCTCATCGCAGAGCAAAGTGCATTTAAAATGTTCACATTTCCATTCACAAGGTGCTATGCATGGGTCACAAATTTCACCACAAAATTTAGTGCACCTTTCGTGGGGACAGCGGTTTTCACATGCCATCCTACAGGGAGGACAATGTGAACACTTGGCGCCACACTCATGGCCACAGATCAGTATTTCCTTGCACATCTTCTGGCATGGTACATGAAGCCTTCCTTCGTGACACCTGTTGCAGTTACCATCACAAATGTGTCCACAGTCAAGCTTCTCGCCGCATCTGACCCAACACTCTACCGTGTCTTTGTTAATGCACAAGACCTCTTCCACATGTCCACATCTGAATGTCTTCTTAATTGTTGCTCTGCATTGATGTGCTTTCCCACATGCTTCTCCACATCTGTGCCCACAGTCAAGATCCGTTTCGCAATTGCCCCGACATGAGAAGTCGTGTGGATCCTGGAAACATGGAACGATCTGTTCATGGCCACAAGACGGAATAATCTTTTGAACAGGCACGACACATGGTCCACACTTTTCGTGACACGGTTGTGGACATGGATGACCTTTGTTGCAAAGTTTCTCACAATCATTCTTACACGAGAATGTCTCCGGATCCTGGAAACATGGGACGATCTGTTCATGGCCACAAGACGGAATGATCTTTTCAACAGGCACGACACATGGTCCACACTTCTCGTGACACGGTTGTTGACATGGATGACCATTTCTACATGTTTTCTCACAATTATTCTTACACGAGAACGTGATCGGATCCTGGGAACATGGGACCATCTGCTCATGGCCACAAGACGGGATGATCTTTAGAACAGGCTCGGCACAAGGTTCACAATTTTCGTGGCACGGTCGAGGACATGTATGACCTTTGCTGCAAAGTTTCTCACAATCATTCATACAGGAGAATGTCTTCGGATTCTGGAAACATGGGACGATCTGCTCATGGCCACAAGACGGGATGATCTTTTGAACAGGCACGACACATGGTCCACATTTCTCGTGACACAGTCGTGGACATGGATGACCTTTACTGCAAAGTATCTGAGTGCAAGACCTCATACAAAGGTATTCCTTGTGTTCAGGGTCATAGGGATGGCAATATTTGGAACAAACATGGCCACATTTGAGTTTGAATGCACACGGTTTTAGACAACCTCCATCAGGAGCCTTTTCAAAATCATTTGGACTTTCAATGTTGATTCCGGTTCCACTCTGATGGTTTTGACAATACAAATGCAAGGTGGGTCCTACCTGCTTCTTTTTCTTCAAATCTTCCAGGATATCTCTCCAGAGTAAGCTCTGCATAGCGAGAAGCTCAAAGTTACCTATAACAAAGAGCCCAATTTTTGCGCGTGACAAAGCTACACATATGCGGTTTTCGATTTTCAAAAATCCCACACTTCCTTCAGGATTGCTTCTGACAAGAGACAACAGGACTATATCATTTTCTTCACCTTGGTAGTTGTCAACAACTGTGAGTTTCACATCTGGGAAATTACCCTGCCTCATTAACTTCCTTATTTTGTGCTGTTGTCCTGCATATGTTGTGAGCACAGTGATTTTTTGAATGGTCATATCCTTGCTTTAACAGGTAACTACACAAAGCAACAATGTAGACTGCTTCATACTCATTGGAATGGCTAACCATCTGTTCATCAGTTTCCTCTTGATTTCTGTGTTGTATGAAGAACATGTTGGTAGAAATCCCCTTCACGTTTTCGTAATCAAACACAGATGGGTGATCCTCAAGGTTAGGATAAATATGGCGCAACAAAGACGATATCTCTGGCCTCATTCTATGCTGAAGAGTCAGAGTGTCACAGTGAATCCCATTTGTCACCATCCTCTCGAACAAGGACAAATCAAGGTGGTACCGTTTTGCCAAGTTGTAAACGGTTGGGTTTGGCTTCAGTTGTTTGTGGTCCCCGATGAGTATCAGGTGTTCGCACTTCTTGGTTAAAGTACTGATGATGTGTCCTTCAAGAACCTCAGCGGCTTCCTCTATCATGATGATGCTAGGCCCAATCTCGGCTAGCATTTGTCGATGCCGAGCTGCTGCTGTCGTTGTCATGCCAATCACTGTAGCATTTCCCAATAATATCCTGTCCTCGGTCTCTTGTAATCTCTTTAAGTCTGTCGAAACTTCGTTGTACAATTCTTCGTAGAGCCTTATTTTTCTTTCCAGCTGTTCGCGATGTTTGAAAATCCAGTATCTGTACAGCCGCCATCTGTCATGCATAGACAGACTCCATGGCTCACAAATTTGTTCTGCTTCATCTTCTGTCATTCGATCAGATGACCTAAGTTGTTCCAGCATGCGTCGTTTCACACTTTTTCTTTGCCATTTGGGAAACTGGAAGCCATAGAAATTCTCATTCTGGGCAGACGTATTTTGAGGTGTTGACATACCCAAAGTAACATTGTTGTCTTCTTCTTTTCTTCCCCAAACTCATATGTCTGAAAATACGCCTTGAGGCAAATATCCAGTGGCTTCAAGTTTTCCCACTCCAAGCCATTCTTGGCTGACACATCGAGGAAATTCCACCTCATGGCCAAGATGAAGCTCAAGCTCTGCAAGTTTGGTCTTCATCCCTTTCAGCAACTTGTCATAAGACATATGCATGTATGGACAAAGAGTGTCTTCATGTAATATTGTCTCTCTTGCATTCTCCAGTGTCACATGTGCGTCCTCCAGCATTTCTTGAAACCATTCAATGGCTTCTCTGTGTTCCCATCTGATATGCTTCATGAGTTTGCTTCGATTTCTCCACCTTAGAACGTTTAGTGAGTAGCCTTCAAGGCATTCTTTTGAAATCCTACTGCCAACTCTGATGACACCTTTGCTGTGAAAGCTAATGATTCCCTCAAGAAATTGATCCAAAGCATGATTTGTGTAACACACAATCAACATAGGCTTCTTCCATTGATGACTATTATGGAGCAGAGCTTTAGCAATCTTCAGACCGATAAACGTTTTGCCTGTTCCTGGTGGACCTTGTATGATTGAAAACTCTTTTGTCAAGGCGTTCCTCAAAGATTCGTACTGTGACGGATTCAAACCGAGAGTAGCTGCTGTAGGCCAATCTTCATCTTCCAAAATATTCACTGCTACAGTAGATTCATAAGCAAGGTCGTCCATATGTTCAGGCAAAGCTTTTTCTGTCAGTGATTGCAAGTCATAAACTGATGATCCGGAATATCTTGTTAGGTATCTTGGAGAGTCCTGACTGGTTTCACAGTGAATGATGTACTTTTCAAAAGGAAGTTCCCCTTCGTGAATCTCTTGCAAAGCTCTGAGCACATGGCGATAGGCTTCGAAGAAAGCTGTTGTTTCAATCATGGTATATTTCATGTCAGATCCTATTTCAAACTGACCAAATTCAATCGATACATCTACGATGCCTGATCTGAGACGTTTGGGGTCTCTGTCAGTGATCGTGGCCAGGATAAATGTGTCAAAGCCATCTGGCAGCAGGCACACTAACGAACCATAGATGAGACTCTTGGACTCCTCCCACACCATCTCCTGCAGACCACTTACATCAAAGTGCAGTCTGTGCAATATTCCACTGGTTGAACAAACTTTCCTACCGATTTGTACACCATGATATGCTCGGACGTAATTTATCCTCTGTCCTTGTTTCAACTTGGTGTTTTCAGCAACAGCTCCAATACCATCCCTCAATGGACCAACAAAATCTTCTTTGAGGAGTCGAAACTGGACATCTAGATAATGGTCAAGATTCTTGTAACCACCGATGGTTTTATTCTTTCTCAGGAATATGATCTCTTTACCATAGATATCACTGGCATTTGGCAGTATGGATAAAGCTCTAAAGTCATCAGGAGGTTCACCTTCTCTGTCCTCCTCTTTAACTGTCACTGATTTCTGAAGAACTGAATATTTCAGTTTTTGGAGTTCACTCAAATTAGAAACAATTTCGTCATCAACGATATTGGATTTTCTTTGCAGCTTTTGGGTTACCAATGTCAACTGTTCCTCCAAGCCAAGTACCTTTACTTTCATAAAGGCATGTGGCAGTCGAATGTACAATTCACAAAGAATGGTTATCAGATCCTTTAGGAAACATCGAGTCTTGTCTTCTTCTGTCAGATTTGTATCAAGTAACACCAAAATATGTGAAACATGTTCATAGAAGTTAGACTCTTGTACAGCTAGTAGCATTTTGCTGACATTGCTGGACTCAGTTTTGCATTGGATGCCCTGTGCTATGAGACTTACAAATGTATACACAGCATTGGGTGGAAGAGTATGTTGATCCATCAAACTATGTATTCTTGAATTCAGTGTGAACAGAATAGTAGAAGGATCCTTATTTTTCAGTTCTTCGAGCTGGGACAAAACCAGGCCACGGGAGTTTTCATATCTTTGTGTACCTGTTCCTTTCACAATTCTTCCATGCTGTCCTGTTTCTCTATCTGTGTGAACTTCCCGTTTGATATCTGCTCCCTCAGAACATCGATCTCTCCAGTTGCCTGTTCTTGTAGAATCAGTTGTGTATTGTCTTGCTTGTCCACCTGAGTGTACTTCTCGTGTTTTGAATCCTACATGCTGCTTGATATTTGGTCCCTCAGGACACCGATCACGCCAATTACTTGTTCTCGACGAATCAACTGAGCATTGTTGGCTGGTTCCATCTGAATTTACTTCTCGCGCTTTCAAGCATATATGCTGCTTGTTATTTGGTCCCTCAGAACCCCGATCTCTCCAGTTGCCTGTTCTTGTAGAATCAACTTGGCATTGTTGGCTGTTTCCATCTGAGTTTTTTCCGGGCTTTAAAGCCAACATGCTGCTTGATATCTGTTCCCTCAGGACACCGATCCCTCCAGTTGCCTGTTTTTGTAGAATCAGCTGGGCCTTGGTTTCGATCTGTGAGCCTGTCAAACTTTTTGAAACCTACATCTTGTTTAATATGGGAGGCCTGGGCGCCCGAACTCTCCAATTGTCTGTCCTGAAGGAATCGACTCCCTCTTGGCCTGTGTTTCTGTCTGAAGGAGCTTCCTTGAAACCTTCATTCTGATTGCTGTCTATACTACGAGAATCTCTGTCTCTCCAATTGCTCAGCCTCTTGTATACTATTCTCTCCACGCCTGTGTATTCATCTCCGTGCAATTTCAAGTCTTTGAAATCAGCATGACGTTGGATATCTGCTTCACCAGAACGCCGATCTTTCCAAATGTCTGTTCTGTCAAACTCTCTGATTCTTCCGTTCAAATCGCCTGCTTCTCTTCTGACACTTTGATCACGATCGTTTTTCTTTTCAATTGTTTCGCCGCCTTCTGTATCTGGTTGTGCGCGACACATCTAATTGTTAAAAAATAGAAAAATTGTGTAATGTATTTCAGCTATATTAGGACGGACTTAATTTTGACCAACAATCGACGGGTGTGAAGCGAAGTCACAGAGCTCAGAGCCCAAGGAATTTTTACGCTGCTTTTAGCAATATCCCAGCAATACCATGACGTGGGACACCAGAAAAGGGCTTCACACATCGTGCCCAAGTGGGGAATCGAACCTGGGCCTTCAGCATGACGCACGAACGTTTAAACCATTCCACAACTGGGTGTTTGATGCATGTTATAACACATTTTTCATGTGTTTTCGCACATTCAGCACAGGTATTCATTGCATGAAATCCAAACGCCCCAGTTGAGCTAAAATACCTATTTATACGTAAATACACGCATGACAACAGGTTTTACTTTTCAAATTGATGTCTGCAATACACAAATTCAGAACTGCTTTACAGGAGGCATTTTTTTATATTACCTTCCACAAAATGTAATATCCTCAGCCGTCCTTCCGTCTCCATCACCTCCCGTTCCTCCTGTGAACCTACAATACAAAATGATGTATAGTTGTATCACATAGTAATAAAACATGTATGTCATATTATACAAAGACAAATCGAGAAAACAAAGAATGACAACTATAAAACGAAACCACCTATTTTCCACATTTCAAACTATTAACTATACAACAAATCATAAACCTATCTTATCAATCAAGTTTTTAGCATCGACATCAGTTGAGCAGGACTCGACGACCTGTCCTTGCTTGCCCATTAATGCCGAGCGCCAGGATAAATAACATAAAGAAGATAACACTGCGATACACAGCGTCACACATTGACACGTGCTTGTCTAAATAGCATACATGTTGCATTGCTGTAAGTTTAGTATCGGGGTGACAACTTTACAAATACAAGTATGACATACTGGTATATGGTTATAATTTGAAATACAGTCCTGGTTACGAAATTGTTTCCTTTCTATTTCATACATTTTTAAACGAAACGAAATTTTTACAATTCGAAACAGAGGACAACAACAGCTTTGGCCGCCAAATCTGAAATACAGCTGATGATTTTAGAGCTTTATCCATAATGCCAAATACCAATGACATATATGCTAAAGGGCATATTCCTGAGAAAGAATAAAACCATCGGTGGTTACCAGAATCTTGACCATTATCTTGATGTCCAGTTTCGACCCCTCAAAGAAGAGGACAACAACAGCTTCGACCACCATCATTTACTTAAGTAAGCAAGTGTTTAGAAGTTCCTTTGCCCTGTACCCGTGAAGATCCGGGTTAGGATTGATCTTCAGCAACCCATGCATGTCGTTAAATGCGACTATCAGAATCGGGTGGTCAGGCTCGCTGACTTGGTAGACACATATCATAGCATCCCATTTGCGTAGATCGATACTCGTGATGTTAATCCCTGGATTATTTGCAAACCACCGACATATAGGTAGAATATTGTTGAGTGTGGCGTTAAACGACAAACAAACAAAACGCGTTTCCTGCTAACAGGATCCTGTCAGTTGATCAGTTAGTGATAAGGAAACCTGACAAAATCTGACATAAGTCAAAGTTCAGAAAATGGAAACTCAAACCACGCAAAACTTATGTCCAACTCTCTGTGGGAGACATTATTTTATATCAAATCAAGTTATTAGATTTAGTCGAGATATCTGACTAAATCAAACAGATATTACATCGCTGTAATAATGACTTTTGGTCTCTGAAACTGGTCTATACGGAGGAAATCACTTGAGTGTCACAGAAAGAAACACGATGAAATTATATTTATTTTACATCATTCACAAAGATCTATTATTCACCAACTAGCCTACATACATATGATTCATATACTAGCCACATAAAGAAACTGTGCATTGTCAAAATATTATCCCAGTTGATTGGTACGATAACCATGTCAAAGTTACATATAAACTTTAATGGAGGGATCATGAGACTATAACAAGTCGGGAGATTTTCAATTGAAAAGTCAATCACAAAGACGTCACGAGTCCACAAGCGGGACAGGGGTCAAACGACAATGTCACAAGCTCAATAACGGGTATGTCTACTATCGGCATTGAGAACAGCAGTGCATCGACGACGCATAGAGCCTATCAAACGTGCAAGGAAGGCTTGTGGGATGTAACGCCAGATTCTCTCAGGTTCTGTTGCAAGGTCAAGGACGTTATCTGGCGGATTAGGAAGACGGCGTAGACGCTGATCCATCTCGTCCCAAACATGCTCTGTCGGGGAGAGATCCGGTGAATTTGCAGGCCAAGGCAGTAAGTCAACGTTGTGGTGTTGCAAGAAATCCATAGCAACCCTTGCCGTATGAGGGCGGGCATTGTCCTGTTGGAATGTTAACCCAGGGCCATGACGTTGCAGAAAAGGAATTGCCACAGGTCGAAGAATCTGATCCCTGTAGCCCACACCAGTTAAGATGCCCTGAACAATCACCAAAGGAGTTCTTTGGCGTGCTGTTATTCCACCCCTAATCATCACGGAACCACCACTAAAGCGATTCCTCTCCAAGACACAGGCCTGTGCATAACGTTCTCCTACGCGTATATAGGCACTTTGACGTCCATCACTATGGGAAATGTTCAACCTGGACTCATCTGTAAAAACAACATTTCTCCACCAAAACAAGGGTCTGCGGACATGATTTCGGCACCACATTCGGCGAGCTTGTCGATGACGTTGTGTCAGGATAGGCTGTATGGCGGGACGTCGTGGTCTGATCCCATGATGACGTAAACGTTGTCGAACTGTGTTGGGGTGGATACGGCGAAGTCCTGGGATGGTTCGGGCAGTCATCACTGCAATCTGAAACCTGTGGCGCCGATGGGTCACTCTTATCCATCTGTCCTGTCTTGGCGTTGTTACACGTGGACGTCCAGAACGTGGCCGATCGATGACGTCATTTGTGTTCTGCGTCTCACCAGTGCAGAAATGGTGTTCCGGTGGCAGTGGAAATGTGCAGCCACTTGTCGTTGAGACATTCCCCCACGGACCATCCCAATGGCCTCATGACGTTGTGCAGACGTGAGCCTTGGCATGCTATGCGTTTCAATAGCCGTTTAAGTTGTTGAACGATCGCAAGGGCAGGGGTTGAGCTTTCCAAAGTGACAGTATTGTGTGGCATTCATTTGCTCTGTTTCTCTTTCCCGGAATGCACGTGCAACAACGTATTGCACGTCTCCAGGACGAACCCACTGACGTCACGGAACGTTGCACGTGCCTGCATGTTGGATACATGTCACTAATCTCTGAGTTTAAATCCTTATGTGTCTACACAGGTTTGATAAATTTAGATTTTAATTTTTTGTATGCACAGTTTCTTTATGTGCCTAGTACATTTTGATCAATACAATGCACCGTTCACGCAACCCATACATAATTTACAATGCTCTCACTATGGCGACGTTATCAAAGGACATACCCTATTCATGGCAAAGTAATCGACACCATGACACTGTGGGTTGTTTTTCAGTTAAATACCGTTGTGTCGAGCTTCGATATGCCGAACTGAATTGCGAACGATTTGTTCCCTTCCTATGCATTCTATATTCATAGTTTAGGTTATGTCGAACCGTGGATAAATCGACGTAGTTACGTTGTTCGTGGCGGGGGCTGACTGTAGTAGCAACTGCACTATTCCAAAGATTCAAAATAATGTAGTTACTCGACGTATTTGCGTAGCTCCTTATGATGTTTGGCTGTAGTAGTGAGTGAGTATGGTTTTACGCCGCTTTTAGCAATATTCCAGCAATATCACGGCGGGGGACACCAGAAATGGGCGTCACATATTGTACCTATCTGGGGAATCGAACCCGGGTCTTCAGCGTGACGAGCGGACGCTTTAACCACTAGGCTACCCACCTACGATTTGGCTGTAGTAGCAAATACACTAGTTCATAGATTCAAAATCAGACATGCTCGTACTGATTAACTGTTTATATTAAATGTCACTTGCAGTGACACAAGCCTTGTTATTTAGAAACTAGCACTTGCAAATACAAGTGACATACATAGTTTAGCGTGCAACCAGTCTACATACCTGCAGCACGAAATGTTCCAGTCTGTTGCTCATATCAACTCACATCTGGTCATATGTAAGGTTTGGTGAGTCTTTGTTATCGGGAGTAAATTTCCCGGAATTCGTCTGACGTCATCCCACTATCCAGGAATTACAGCTACTTTCTGTTTCAGTTCAGCAATCTGTCTATCTTTCATAATGCATGGTGCTTCCAAAAATAGGAACAGAAACTGCAGCCTGTTTCATAGTACTTCATGTGAGTGTCGCGCGAGACAAAAGTGGATCAAAATAGCCGATTATATCCATCATCTTTCTGCCTATAATTATGTGTGAAATGGTGTGAAGGGAACAGGTTACTTGCTTATACTAATACTGAGTGAGTGAGTGAGTGAGTGAGTGAGTGAGTGAGTGAGTGAGTGAGTGAGTGAGTGAGTGAGTGAGTGAGTGAGTGAGTGAGTGAGTGAGTGAGTGAGTGAGTGAGTGAGTGAGTGAGTGAGTGAGTGAGTGAGTGAGTGAGTGAGTGAGTGAAGTTTCCACCGTGTTGGCCATATAGCGATTCACGGACATAGCGAGAGTAACGGTGCCATTGAAAGATAAATGATAAGCATCATCCAAAGTAATTCATTTAAATTTTCAGCAACATCCAATGTCTTTGTCGAAAGTGAGTGAGTTTAGTTTTACGCCGCTTTTTATCTATATTCCAGCAATATCACGGAGGGGGGAATCAGAAATGGGTTTCGTACATTGTACCCATGTGGGGAATCGAACCCGCGTCTTCAGCGTGACGAGCGAGTGATTTAACCAATAGGTGATCCTGCCGTCTCCTTTGTAATAAAAGATACAGCTCAAACAGTGAGTGGATTTTGGTTTTACGCTGTTTTAGCAATATTCACGCAACATCACGGCGGGGGACACCAAAAATGGGCTTTACGCATTGTACCCATGTGGAGGATAGAACTCGTGGCTATTGCCTGACGAGCGAGCGCTTTACCCACTAGGATACCCCACCGCCTCTACAGCTAAACAGCTTCAAAGGAGAAGATGATAGTGGTGCCAACTGATTCTGAAGTCATGGCACCCGACAACGGTACAATGTGAATGGATTCACTGTAAGCCGAACAGTTACCTGTGATCATGAGCCATATAAGCAAAGACAGCCTGCTTTCATGCCCTATGTGATTCAATCGTAGCCAGGTAATACAATAAATACGTATTGAAGATATCTAAGAGTGGGACTGAAATCGAATCGAATGTGAATCAAGATCAAGTCTGACTTTATTTCGGTATTTTCATTTGGGTAATTATACTAGGTTAGTGAGTGGTTTCATTTTACGGATCTTCGAAAAAAATTTCTGTATAAGAATCTTCAATTACAACGACAAATATTTACATAATAAAAAAATGGGAATGAACAGTTATTTCGATTGACACGTGTGTAACATACAACTGTCACTTCAAATTGTTTCTTCAGTTACAATAAAACAAATAAAATAAAACGCTTTGAGGAAGTAGGCCCCAGAACATATAAAACTCGGAATTATCCCATACCGAATATAGTTTAGTTTGCTTTTTACTGACCAGTAAAACCGCCTCTAACCCGTTATATAATTATTCGATAAACAACCACCAGTCCTTTTAGACACTATGGTTAAATATCAACATTCTGTTTGTCTCGAAATACGGATAAATCGACACATTCCGACGATTTCTATTATTAATAGTGTGACTGTACACAGAAGTTAAGTTTTTGCACATGTACATGTATGCTACTAATCGGATGTGTTTTATAAGTTTTTTAATCGGAATAAACGTTTAACTTCGGGGTTAAAAAAGTTGTACCTAATATACCTATGAAATCATTTGTTTAAAAACATAAGTAAATTTCCATATCTTTTACAAGAAGTGAAAGGGTTGTATCAAATGAATTGTCGCCACAAGTATTTATAGTTATGTAATATTTTCTGTCTTTCACTCGCTCGCCTCTCTCTCTGTCGTACTCTCTCTGTCTCTCTCTCTCCTCTCTCTCTCTCTCTCTCTCTCTACTCTACTATACAAGCAGACACGTCTAGCATACAATATGTCAGTTAAATTCAAATGTATATTTACAAGACAGTAACAGGCAAATATTTCCTAAGAGGAAGGATTATAACCTTATCGTCATTCCCTATTATATACCGCTTCCACTGTGTTGACGCGGCAGATAGGTGTTTATGTTGTCCTCAAGTCCCCTTGTAGAAACAATCGCCTACATAGGCATACAAGTGGCTTACTGGTGGTTAAAGGCGTTAGCATAGCAGTTGTACATAGTCATATCATTTGAAATTCTGACAACAGTACATAATTACATGACCACAAAATCTCCCCCTCCCCCCCTCTCTCTCTCTCTCTCTCTCTCTCTCTCTCTCTCTCTCTCTCTCTCTCTCTCTCTCTCTCTCTCTCTCTCTCTCTCTCTCTCTCTCTCTCTCTCTCTCTCTCTCTCTCTCCTCTCTCTCTCCCTCTCCCTCTCCCTCTACTCTGCTCTATACAAGTAGACACGTCTTCTATACAAGAAGACACGTCTAGCATAACAGACAATATGTCAGTGAAGTTCAAATTATTAACATGTTCATTGTCAAGTACACATTTTATGGTGAACCTAAATTTTAAAAATGCTTAAGACCACACCATTCAATGCATGTTTATCATCACCGGGGTTTTAATCGTAGAAATCGTGTTGTTTTAAGTTTGGCTAAATTTGCTGATAAGGGATGATGTAAATCCACCTAGGGTCCATGCAGGTAGCAAAGGTACTGTCAGTCCCCATGATCCCTAGTATGGCGATCTATAGCCTGGTTCTATTTGCACTGTTACATATGATGATATATTTTATGGTTACATAATACTTTTAAAACAACATCTGTGATACTCTAGTTATTTGACAGTCCTTTGATGACTGGATGTTATAATAGCATTATGTATTTACTGCATATGCAAAACGTTTGAAGTTACGATATTGCTGAAATACTGCCGCTGTGACTCTCACTCAAATTTGATACAAAGATATGTATGGAAGCGTATTAGTACCATAGATTATTCTTTCATCTACACAGCAGAAACGTTCAATACAAAACCCGTACACACCAATTTGGATTAAACAATTTGAACCGTTCGTAAAGGTGTGTCATCTCTATGAAAGTGATCTGGTTTGGTATAACCAACCACTAAAAAGGACATCAGCAGGACACATATGCAGCACAAGGTAATGGCACGAGTCTTCACAAAAATAGGTGACCATGATGGTAAGTTCACTTGATTTATTTGCAACTAATCTGATGATTACAGATTGATAAAAGCACATAAATATTTCAAACTAACAATTGACGAACTGTCGACCATTCACAAAGTACAGTTTCTCACAAACTCGTAACTACGTCTGTAAACAGAATGAATCAGAAAGGGTTAAACAGGAGACATCTTGGGACAGGAAGAAAAAAACTCGTTAAATTTGTTTCTCTTGACAAAAGTATTCTAAAAGTCAAAACATGTTTATCATCTTGGTTTTGATGTGTGTAAAATTGACTTGATTACTACCATTACACAGAGCTGTATTAAACAACACTGCTGTCCATACATGGGTTTTTCCTGTGAGTAGGTTTTCATTTGTGTAGGTTTCCCAAGTCGTAGAAAAAACAAACATCGTTACTATGCCTATCAATGTAATGGTTAAATGCTACTTTAGGCAAAACTAACACGACAGTCTTTCTTCAACCTGTTTTCTAAGTCATTACAACAATACTGAGGATCTTTTAAACACAGCCAAGTATATCAGTACACTGCATGATAAATTGCTTATGAGAGCACTAGCTAAATTATACAATGGTGCCGTTGTATAATGTCAATGGTCGACAATAAAACAATATTCATAAAATGAGATCATATTAATGATTTGTTTCATACATTCCTATAACTACTCATTGAATGCACTAACACACATCAGATTTACAGGGACATTGGAACACTTTTGTAAGTGTAAGCAGCACATAAAAATACCATACATATTAAAGCACAAACAAGGACATATATATTTGCGTTTGTTCGAGAGCAATATAAAAGTCACATCATTTTAACTATTTGTTTTATAAATTCTAATAACATACTCATTGAATGCATTGACACACTTCAAACATACAGGCATGTGGGTAAACATATTTGAAAGTGTACATAGAACATCTTACATAAAACATACATATTAAGGCATAAAACAAACACTGCACACATTTTCAAAAGATCACAATCAAAGACACTGCCAATTTCTTCCTACGATCCAATAATTTAGATGATAGTTTTGTATTGTATATACACGAAAATTCAGTAACAGTGAATCATATTCTCAGAGGAGGAATATTCATTGTTGCTTTTCTTCATTTTGTTTTCATGTAGTCCACTCGTCCGACAATAACATTCATCACTCTGAAGCACAATGTTCATCACAGTATTAACGAAGCACAGGTTCACACATTGTTCATAACGTTATTCACAACATAGTTAATAGTGTAGTAAGATCTTTTGTAATAAGATCCATTCGTTATGTCTGGTTAGCATTCTTGAATTATTGTCACTATCCAATGCATGCATTAGAGCGCACAATCAGCATAGGCATGCAATGCATAACGAACAGCCTCGTTATGTTGACGCTTATTGCTTTCTCATTTGAGTCATCATAAGCATTCGCCGTTCTTTCCTGTCACCAATGGCCTTGCAGTCTGGACATACAAGCTGTTCTCCAGTCGAATACACATGACCTAAAAGAGACATGAAATTAGCTAACATAAATCACGAAATTTCACATATGTCTTAAATGCAGTTATGTGAATGTGGGTACCAGTATATACATGTCAACATAGTCTTCTATACAGTTCTGAAATTCTTAAAATCCAAAGATGTACCAATATTGTAATGTTGATACCTTACAAAATTTTTTACAAAGTAACTTATAAAGTGAGTATAAGTTCATTATGCCCCAGTGTGTGAATAAAGGTCGATAAAGGTAGTACGCACCTCTCCTGCAGGAGAACCACTTTCCAGAAGCTGGTCCTATATTGCCAACCAGCTTCACCTTCTGTTGTACCTTATCAGTGGGCACGGTATCCCCCAGTATGTTAAATAGAGTTCTAACTCTGGTCTGCTTCTCCTCTGTGTATGGCTTTCCTGACAACAGAACGTCTTTCAGCATTGGCAAATAGATTCGCATCAGTGTAGTCTGTCTTTCATGGCCACATCTAAGATATACCAAAACTGCTCTGTGTCTGAGGAGTTCATTCTTGGCATCGTATTGCTCTTGCTCACTGAAGACTTGTCTTGGAGTTTTCAGCCATTTGTAGAGCAAATCTACCTCCTCTGAGCTTGAGGGATCGTCATTCACAAATGTGGTCACTGTATATTTTTTGTATTCAGCAGATACCTTTTTCAATGCATCTAGGAGGTGAAACTGGTTTTCCAGCGCAGAGAGTCCGGCCACTGTGTTGGTGTAACCTCGGTGGAACATGGTTGTCTTCATGCCATTCTCTTCCTGTTCTTCCTCATACCTCACTTCCATCATAAGTCTTTGTTTCGTTGTGTGGAACCTTGTCTTTTTCTCATTGCAGAGCTTTTTAACGACTTCAATATTCTTCACATTCTTCTTGACCACAGACCCATATCTCACATTGTGCCTGATCACTGTCTTACAATGTGGGCAGACTTTCAGTTTGATCTCCTCTGAGTTTTGGTTCATATAGTGGTCAAGTACTGACACTTCTACAATGTGACCACAGTCCTCAAGGAATACAAATCGTGCACCAGGCGTTGGATTTACTTTCATGATTTCATCTTTGTGGCAAATGCCGCATTGTTTTGGGCATGGTTCTCCACACAGACCTATGCATGGGTGTTTACAAGGTAGCTTCCTCTTGCATGGTTCATTGCAGGGTGGTCTGTCACAAGGCTCGCAGCAGGGAAGTGTACATCTGTGATGTTCACATTCCCATACGCATGGCTGACTGCACGGATCACAGGGCTCCCCACAATATTTCGTGCATTTTCTGTGCTGACAGCGATTTTGACATGCTTTTCTGCATGGATTACATTCAGAACATCCAGATACACAGACATGTCCACAGATCAGAGTATCTTTACACATCTTGCGACATGGTATGTGCAGCCTTCCTTCATGACATCGTGTACAGTCACCTTCACATTTATGCCCACATTTCAGAAGTTCAGAACATTTGGCTTCGCATTGTGCTGATGCTTTCCTCGTACAAAGGACGTCGCCTGTGTGCCCGCATCTAAATGTTTTTCACGACTGCTGTACACCCATGTTTCATGGAACAGGTGTTTCCACATGTGTGTCCACACTCAAGGGCTGTGTTACATTCGGCCTGGCAAGAAAATGTGCTGGGCTCTTTGAAGCATGGAACCATCTGTTTGTGTTGACATTTTGGAATAATCTTTTCAACACGTATCATGCATTTTCCACATTCTTCATGGCAACGCTGGGGACACTGGTGACCATTGCTGCAGTGTTTTGGTGCATTGCTTCCTGCAAATATAATCTTTGTGCTCAGGGTCATAAGGATGACACAGCAATGTGCACACGTGTCCACATTCAAGTCTGAAGACACATGGCTTCAGACAGCCCCCCTTCAGGGGCTTTCTTGAAATCATCTGGGCTTTGAACACTGATTCCTGTTTCTGTGGGGTGGTTTTGGCAATAAAGGTTCAATGTTGGACCCGTTTTACCGTTCTTCTTCAGATCTGTCAAGATATCCTTCCATAATAAACTCTGCTGGGAAAGAAGATTAAAGTTGCCAATGACAAAGAGTCCAATTTTAGCTCTTGACAGAGCTACACATATGCGGTTCTCTATTTTCAAAAACCCAACGCTTCCTTCAGCATTGCTTCTGACAAGAGATAACAGGATAACGTCGTTCTCTTCTCCTTGGTAATTGTCAACAACTGTCAGTCTCATTCCTTGGAAGTCCTGTTTTGGCATCATCTTCTTCAGTTTAAGCAGCTGACCTGAATAGGTTGTGAGGACAGTGATTCGTGATTTGTCATATCCCTGCTTCAGGAGATAACTGCAGAGGGCAACTATATATGTTGCCTCATATGTGTTAGAATGACTCATCATATCTGTATCATGCTCCTCTTGGTTGTTGTGATCTATGAAGAACATGTTGGCAGATATTCCCTTCACTTTCTCGTAGCGAAGTACAGATGGGTGATCCTGAAGTTTTGGATATATGTGACGCATCACAGTGGATATTTCTGGCCTCATCCTGTGCTGAAGGGCGAGAGTATCACAATGGATTCCATTATCAATCATTCTTTCGAACAATGACAAATCTAGGTTAAACTTTTTGGCCAGATTATACACTGTTGGGTTAGGTTTCAGTTGCTTGTGATCTCCAATGAGTATCAGTTGTTCACACTTCTTGCTTAAAGTGCTGATGATGTGTCCTTCAAGAACCTCAGCTGCTTCTTCTACTACAATGATACGTGGACCAATTTCTGCAAGGGCTTGTTGATAACGTGCTGCTGCAGTAGTTGTCATGCCAATAACTGTAGCTTCTCGTAGTATCTGCATGTCTTCATTCATTTGCAGCTCTTTGTATTCTGCCACAACCTCCCGGTAGCTCTGCTCTTTTGCGTGTATATCCTTCTGTAACTTTTCACAAAATTTGTACACCCAGTGTCTGTAAAGCCTCCATCTGTCCTCCATGGTCAGCATCCATGGGTCTCTAACACGAAGTGCTTCCATTTCCCACATTCTCTGTGTGGATTTTAGCTGCTTCAACATTCGACGCTTAATGTTTTTTCTTTCCTTTCTTGTGTATTGAAATCCTGTTGCTGTTCCTACCGGCATTTGGTTTTTGTCAAACGAGGCAACATCTAAAGCCACATATTTATCTCTTTGATTCTGGAGACCTCTGATCTTCTTTTGTTTAATTTCAAACTCATTGGTGGGGAAGTCATCTGTATCCATGTCATGAACCCGGCGCTGTGCTTGGACAATCCCTGCCTCTTCTTGAACGTCAATCTCCTCAACTTCTTCATCATATTCCTGTTCAAATGCGTCTTGCCTCTGATCTCCAAAAGTTGCAATTGTAGCCTCCATGCTGCCAACTCCAAGCCATTCTACTATGAAGGACATTGGAAATGGCAACTTGTGATGGTATTCAGTTTCTTGTTGTCTGTGCATTCTTCTCATCGTTGCTAATATTGTGTCATAATGACTTTTCATATATGGCCTCAATACATCTTCATGCAAAACTGTCTTTTCGGCATCCTCTAATTTCATTCCAACTTCTTCAATCTGATACTGAAGTTCAAGCATTCTGTTTTTTGTCTCCCATCGCCTTTTACCAACATTCTTCATATCTCGATCCTTGTCCCTGTCGTTTCTCATCTTTTGTCTATTAGCCCTCAACGAGTAACGTTCAAGTTGCTCATTTGAAATTCTGCTGCCTACTCTGATGACACTGCCCTTGTAGAAACTAATTATTCCCTCTAGAAACTGATCTAAGGCATGGTTTGTGTAACACACGACCAACATAGGTGTGAGTTGCTGCCTTTTCCACATCTGGTCATTATGAAGAAGAGCTTTGACAATTTTCAACCCAACATAAGTCTTTCCAGTGCCAGGTGGACCTTGTATGATTGAAAACTCCTTTGTCAAAGCTGTTTTCAGGGCCTGGAACTGTGAATTATCAACATGGAGTGTCTCTGGAGAGGGCCAGTCCCTATTTTCCAAGACATGAACACTTTTGCCACATCTCGAATCATGACTGAAGAAATAGCTTACTTCACGCCCTTGAGAAAGTAGGTGTTTGTCTTCCCGCAAATCAATTTTGTCATCAATCAGTGGGCGCAGATCAAACTTTGGTGATTTTCCTTCAATTGACACTGCCTCCTTGAGATACTTTGGAGGACTGACAGTGTTTTTGCATGCAACAATGTACTTTTCAAATGGTAGGTCTCCCTCCTTTATCTTTTGTAAACCTCGTAGCACATGACGATAAGCTTCAAAGAAAGCTGTTGTCTCCACCATGACAAACTTTGTGTCAAAGTGCCTCTTGTCAAGATCTTCAGACTCTTCAAAAAGTACATCTACACACCCTTCTCTCAGTAGCTTAGGATCTCGCTCAGTGATGGTTGCAAACAAGAGAGTCTTAAAATTATCCTTTGATAGACAAAGTAAGGATCCATAAATGAGTCTCTTCGAATTTTCCCACCTAACACGTTGAAGATTGCTCACATCAAAAGATATTCTGTGAAGTAGACCATTGTTGGAGCACAAAGTCCTAACAATGTGCACATCATGATACACTCTGATATCCTTCAAACGCTGTCCTCGCTTACCAGGAGCTTCTGCAACAAGGTAGGCTTCTATGCCTTCTCTCAGGGGACAAATAAAATCCTCCCTCAGAAGTCGGAATTGTACATCGAGATAATGGTCCAGATCCCTGTAGCCGCCAACTGATTTGTTTTTTCTGAGGAATGGTTTTTCACTTGGATGAATATCATCAGCATTTGGAAAAATAGATACATGTCTGAAATCATCAGGTGGGCCACCCTCTTTGAGCTCATCCCTCTCTGCCTGCTTGCTCCTTGATTGGTCAAGCACAGTAGCCTTTAGTTCCTGGAGTGCGGAAATGTTTGACAGAATGTCCCGCGGAATGTTGTCAGATGTCCTTTGCATTTTGTGAATTTCATTTGTCAAGAGATGCTCCAAACCGAGAACCTTCATTTCCATGGCAGAGTGAGGTAGCCGAATATAAAGTTCCTTCATAAATATTGCCAGGTCTCCAAGAAAGTTTCTTCTTTCTTCTTCAGTTAATGACAACCCGCGAATACTACTTCCCAAGACACCCGATACATGTTCATAAAATTGAGACTGTCGAATAGTAAGTAGAATTCTGTTGAAACTTTCAGGAGCAGTTGTGCAACGACATGCTTTGGCTATAACACTCACAAAGGTGTACACCTCACGTTGATTAAGAGATTTTTGATTCAAGAAAAGGCCAATTCCTGACTCCAATCCCAGCGTCATTACAATGGTGGAAGGGTCTTTTTCCCTGAGTTCTTCAAGTTGGGTTAAATTCAGTCCCTCTCTTCTGCCTCCTCGTCCTCTTCCTCTATAACCTCTGCTATGATGTCCTCTCGCTCCATCTCCACAGATTCCTCTTCCTCTGTATCCCCCTCTGTGATGCCCTCGCTCTCCTTCTACATTTGTTCCTCTTCCTCTAAAACCTCCACTACTGTGACCTGTGCCTCTGTCATCATAGTATCTACCTCTTCCTCGACCTCTGGATCCACCTCTTCCTTCTCCCCATCTTAGTTCACCGCTGATTGATCTGTCTGTCGACCATGCTCTGACTCCCCTTTCTTCTCCAGATCTTTCGTGGTCGCCACCATCATCATCCCACCTCCGCCCTGACCCTCCTGTACGATCGTACCGACGTGTCTGTTCTGTGTTGTCTTCATGTTCGTAGTGATGACTTCTGGCAGATATTCTGAAAGATCATATTTGTATCTGAATTTTGTCCATTTCACATTCGTTACAGATAAACATTCTTAATATGTAATGGCAGCATATTACATGTTTATGGAAATATTTTAACCCATTTGAAATCAAGATTGTATTACGGCAATAAGCATCAAGATTTCATTGAATGTCATTCAATGTCTTGAATGTTTGTGGTTACAAAGTTACGAATGAAAATGAAATCTTTCTACAAATAAATATCTTGAATCGTGAATTAAATCTTACTCTGAGTTGAACAGAAACCCCGGTGTTGAGGAACGTCTGGACATAGCTTTGGGTTATACCATCTCCCTAGAAAATAAAGAGCAATCTACACTATAGGTATTCCTTGAATGCGTAAAAATAAATATATCAGGAGGGTTAACATACACAATCATGTTTAATAATCTTCTTCAATATTCTAATAATCACCAGAAAAACAATATATTAGTATAGACTAACGGCAACACAAACTTTACCCATTTGCAATAGCAAAAAAAAATCAAAACCAATGAGTTCGAACTTCAAACTGAAAAACTGTAAAACATATCATCCTACGGTGTCCTCTCACTTAGCCAGATTCTGTCAAAACAGGTCTCTCACATAGCCGGAGTTCTATATTCTTCACGCTACTCCACATTTCCTTTTGTCAGGAGAGAGTTGGGGTTGAGGGGGTGGCCGGTAGGGGTTGCGGCTCGTTCAGACGGGGTACATAAATGATATGGTGGCATGTGAGGCACTCACACAGACAGAAAGGACGTCACTGGTATGCCATGTTACCTGTGCAAAGGGGCGGGTGCTGGGTGTGATACGGACGGGAGCCACCTGTGCTTGGCAGACTTCTATTGTGAAAATACACCACGCACAGAAAATCGGCATGCATGTATTATACATACACACGTCCTGACTATTCAAAGAAATATCTGCTTTCGTGAAAACAGTGAGTGAGTGAGTAAGGGTTTACGTCGCTTTTAGCAATATTCCAGCAATATAGCCGCGGAGGACAGAAACTGACTTCACACACAGTACCCATGCGGGGAATCGAACCGGGTCTTCAGCGTGACGAGCGGACGCTTTAACCATTAGGTTACCCCACCGCCCCTCCGTGAATACAACACACCACAGCCAGATCAATGCCAAAAGAATACTGTTTCCCCACTATAACATGCTATTTTTATAGTCACCATCATCAGAAAATAAACAGACTAGAAGGACCTATCCAAGGGTATGCCTTTGAACGTATGAGAAAAAAGGTCATGGACCAATTTCCTAGAAAATATAAAACGTCAGTGCAAAAGAAAAGCCATCTTATCAGCGGCGTTCATTGCGCGCAAAACGCAGAACAGCAATAAAGTTCATATTGTCCAAGCTTATATGTATATGTCGACCGTGGAACTAGCACGGAATTAAGACAAAAATATGTCCAAACGCCTGTAGTTGGATATACAATACACAAATTACAATTACAGAGACGTAAGTCGAACTGTGATTCCAACCTAACTATGAAGAGACAAGTCCAGCAAGAGGGTGTATCCTACTTGTGGCTGTAAATACTGGTGCAGTAGGAATACCACCTTGCCTGACAGTATAGATGTAAAGATATATACTGTATAGAGAGGGTTGACAGACAAAGAGACGCTAATTCAGATAAAGAAGTAGAGGGTAATGTCCTAGTAACTCTCCATTCCTTAAAAATAATGGAGCCGAGGCCCCGGAGGGGCCGAGGCACATTATTTTTAAGGAATGGAGAGTTACGAGGATATTACCCTACTTAAAGGTCACATGCAACGTAAAACACAACTTTGCAGATTCTGATACCTTTCGGTATGGACTTACCGAAACAAAGCGTCAAAAATGCAAATTCAACTTATAAAGTTGAAAAATAACGCGATGAAAAAAAACGCACGAAATCGGAGTTCAAACGTTTCACTAATTTTCCCCAGACTTTTCTGGGGAAAACGGGTTTCAACAGCTGGGCTGCGCTCATAGCACGTGCGCAGTGAAATAGGTTCGCGCAACTTGGAAGCGGGTTGTCCGGTGAATACTCGGTGAAGGCTTTGGTGTGAGCTATTTTTCTAATGTCTTGTTGATATCTCGCAGGCGCGAGCTTTTTATATGTTATGACAGTAAATTAACTGTTTATATAATTTCACCACATGTTCTTCTTACCGAGTCACTTTCTCAGTTCGATACTTAAAAGCAACGTCATTATTTAGCGTTGACAGAATTTCTAACTGTGATATAGATATGTCGTTGTCACAGACAAAATTCAATGTCTTGTTTTATTGACATCTGTGTGTCTGCCTGCCTGTCTGCTAATGACAATATTCAATACACATCTGCTATCACTGACCACATGCAATTTGAACTTAACACCAATCAGGCTATACACCATAAACAAAATGCATTGATTTATGGCCCGAGTTCGGCCTCTGTCACATTATGTAATTACACAGACAGGCAGGTGTGATAGTTGAACACATGACATGTTATGATGTCTGTTGATTGCAAAATGTTATACACAAAAAATGAGCATGTATTTACAAAAACCCAACATCTCTACATATACACACACAATAAGCCGTGAGGGCATATGCAAATGAACCAGCCGTTACACTTGAGTGCACACCCACCCGCTCTGACTGGGTTCGGTATCCCGGCTGCTTCGTTTCTTGGGAAGTAAACCGAAGTACACAATATTGCACTTTTGATTTGCGATTGTACGCTTATAATTTTGTTTATATGTTTTTTTATAACCAGCAATGTATATTATATGTCACGAATAAGTGATAATTGTGTTTTAATTATGTTTGATTTTTTGGTTGCATGTGACCTTTAAATTACATTCGAAGTATTGGGAATATTTCTGTTGTCAAAATGACAAAATGAAGGTTTTATTTTGAAACTGGTACACATCGCTCCATTCCTGAAAAGTAATGGAGCGAACAGACAATAGAATGACGTCACAAATGTAATTTAAGCAATGGCCTTGCCTCGGACTTACTGGTATGACGACAAACAACTCCCAGTGAATAGCCATTAAAGTTATAAATGCCATTATTACCCTAAAGATAAATTTGTCGAATTCTGATTGGTCAATAGCCAAAGCATACGAAACCATGTATGCCACTCTCCTACCCAGAGTTCCATGCGGCAAGCCAGCATAGTACCTCTGCCACAGGCCAGAAAAATGTGACGATTCGTCACATCTTGCACCGTCCATTCAATATAATGTACAGATTTCTTTTACTCTTTTATTTTTGACGAGTCTACACATCTAACTAAACATCTTTAATAGAATGAATTAGTTTCACTGAGAAAATATCCAAAAACATGTAACACTATTTCGATTTGCGTAGCGATCCTTTCTTTACATAGGTTGTACGGCTCCGTGCTGTCATCGAAGCCGACGGAGAGCAAACGATGCAGCCAGTTTGATATCTAAATATGTACTGTCATAGACCTTACTGTCGCAGTTGTGGAAGAATATATATGTAACAATGTAAAACATTATGAAAAGAGCGCCGAAAAGCTTTCGTGAGTCCAGTCAATTCTTATTATGAATATGCGCGTTTGATTACAAACAAGAGAAAAGTCCGGTCACGTGATATGCAAATTAGCCTGTGGCAGTGATGTTATATTAAGTCATCGCTGTGCCGGAGTGTGCATGTATGCGGATTTTGCAGAGTGCACGGAAGTACATCCCATCAAATCTATCAAGTGACACACTACGCGAGTTGTACAAATGACCTTGACCTTAGATAAGATAAGATAAGATAAGATATTTATTGCATAGCATTCCATGAAGAAACAGTGGCAATATTCTATAAGCTACAAATATTTACACAGTAGGTACAAGAAATATAGATACATTTCACACCTAAATGATGTACATTATAACAATTTTTTTAGAAATCATGTGGTATAATGACATGGAAATAATATATAAGGAGACTATGGTAAGATATAACATTCATTTAAAGTTGTAAAGATATGGTGACATATTTTGGAAATTAATTCAGGACTTCTGTTCGTGAAAATTATTAAGAATTGTTCTTTTTTTTTTTGAGAGTGTAGTAAATTCTTGGTCATAATATAGCATTGTGTGTATAAGTGATTCCCTTTCTTCGTTATACTTGGTACATGATATTATATGGTGTTGCTCATCGTCTAAGACACTGCACATTTCACAGAGACGTTGTTCTAGATTGAATGTAACTGGCTAACTGCTGATCGCTTCGAAATGTTAGGGTTGACGTATACAATTATTAGTATAAACAGAGTAATAAACTGGTTGCCATAATTTCCAATTTGTTTGTGCCAATAAAAAATATATATAATATAATGTTTCTGTATTTCATTTGTCGTTTAACAAAATACAAACTCAAATTCGATCATTTGATGATAAACTAAGCCATCACGAGTGATGTCCCTTTATACCGTTGTTGACTGTCCGATCAAACATACAAGTTTATTGTCCTTTTTTGTTATTTTCTACTGAATGTAATATTTTTAAAGATAAGCTAAATAAATAGATCTTAGGAGTAATAAATTCGTTACATGGTGTTTTGAAAGGGTGTACGGGACTGTAAGACCCAAGTAAATACGGATTTACAAGGGTCTTGCAATCCTGTACACCCTTTCAAATCACTGTGTAACTAACATATGTACACTGCTGATCCACCGTTCACGGCTGCTACACATGGATTACAGCATGTGATGTAGTCCAGCTTACCCTCAAGAGATGTACGAATTATGCATTTCTAAAAACATCGGAGAAGAATAGCATTATATTTGTCATTGCAAAGCACTAGATACTGTGAGGAAACAATATTTACCCACCGATCTAACCTCTTTTCCCAATGAAACAAAGTTTACGAAAATATTATCTGCAAAAACATCTTGAATTTGAATTTGTATTTTTATATATGTTTAGAATATATGCGCTAGTACCACCAAAGTGGTTTATGAGAATAAAGAAATAATTTGAAAATCCGCCATGAAACCAGGCACAAGACTAGCCTGAGCTTATGTGAAATGAACCATGAAATTCTATGTTCAGGTTGATAGTGTACATATATTTTGTAGACTACCTGCAATGTGTCCGATTAGTCTTGTCCGCGGAGAGTAGACTACCTGCAATGTGTCCGATTAGTCTTGTCCACGGAGAGTGGCCCCGTCAACCACCCCGCTCTCCTTATAGTTGGAATATTGCTGAATGAGACGTTAAACGACTAAGAAGTCCCCTATCGCAACTGCACTTCCTGTTTCCGAGAACTGGCGACGTTACTGGGAAATACAGCTGATGTAATGTTACTAGTAAAATGTGCACGGGTGCCTACTTTCGGTTTGGTTTTGCTTTTGTACAGCTTTAATAGTCAGGGTTTCGTTGTGTTCTTTGACATGTGTCAGTGAAGTATGCGTGCGGAGAATTTTATGATGCGTAGGACTGGTTAGGGTAGACCCTGTAGGAGGCGATACAATCGATCTCAAGACTCGTCCAGGTATGAGAACAACGTTTCGAGTTACAGGGGTACATCTGACGCCATGCTATTACAACACCTTCGCTCAATCGTTTTACACAGCCGTGTGCGATTTTTAAGTGGGAGTTCATTACTGAAGGACACAGTACAACACACATTAAACATCGCTATACCACTCAGCACACACTCCACCTCACTATACCACACAACACTCAATATACCACAAAAAACACAACACCTCAATATACCACACAAAAACACTTCATATACCCACAATATACTACAACAAACACACAACACACCCAACACCACACAATATACCACACAACACTCACTATGTAACACAACAAACACTTCACCTCAATATACCTAACAGCACACACTACACCTCACTATACCAAACAACACACTACACTTCACTATACCACACAACACTCACTATATTACACAACAAACACTTCACCTCAATATACAACACAACACACGCTACACCTCACTATACCACACAACACTCACTATATAACATAACAAACACTTCACCTCAATATACCGAGCAACACACACTACACCTCAATATACCACACAACACACACTACACCTCACTATACCACACAACACTCACTATATAACACAATAAACATTTCACCTCAATATACCACACAACACACACTACACCTCATTATACCATACAACACTCACTATATCACACAACAAACACTACACCTCACTATACCACACAGCACTAACTATACCACACAACGCACACTTCACTTCACTATACCACACAACACACAATAGACCTCACTATACCACACAACACTCACTATATACCACAACAAACACTTCACCTCACTATACCACACAACAAACACTTCACCTCAATATACCACACAACACACACTACACCTAACTATACCACACAACACTCACTATATACCACAACAAACACTTCACCTCAATATACCACACAACAAACACTTCACCTCAATATACCACACAACACACACTACACCTAACTATACCACACAACACTCACTATATACCACAACAAACACTTCACCTCAATATACCACACAACACACACCACACCTCACTATACCACACAACACACACTACACCTCACTATACCACACAACACTCACGATATAACACAACAAACACTTCACCTCCAAATACCACACAACAAACACTTCACCTCACTATACCACAGAACACTCACTATACCACACAACAAACACTTCACCTCACTATACCACACACTACACCTCACTATACCACACAGCACACACTACACCTCAATATACCACACAACACACACTACACCTCACTATACCACACAACAAACACTACACCTCACTGTACCACACAACACACACTACACCTCACTATACCACACAACCACTATACCACACAACACACACCACACAACAAACACATCACCTCTAATATACCATACAACACACAATAGACCTCACTATACCACACAACACTCACTATATACCACAACAAACACTTCACCCTCACTATACCACATAACACAACACTTCACCTCAATATACCACACAACACACACTACACCTAACTATACCACACAACACTAACTATATACCACAACAAACACTTCACCTCAATATACACACACAACAATCACTTCCACCTCAATATACCACACACACACACACTACACCTAACTATACCACACAACACTCATGATATAACACAACAAACACTTCACCTCAATATACCACACAACACACACCACACCTCACTATACCACACAACACACACTACACCTCACTATACCACACAACACTCACGATATAACACAACAAACACTTCACCTCCAAATACACACAACACACACTACACCTCAATATACCACACAACACACACTACACCTCACTATACCACACAACACTCACTATATAACACAACAAACACTTCACCTCTAAAATACCACACTACTCACACTACACCTCGACTATACCACACAACACACACACTACACCTCACCATACCCTACAACACTTACTATATAACACAACAAACACTTCACCTCACTATACCACAGAACACTCACTATACCACACAACAAACACTTCACCTCACTATACCACACACTACACCTCACTATACCACACAGCACACACTACACCTCAATATACCACACAACACACACTACACCTCACTATACCACACAACAAACACTACACCTCACTGTACCACACAACACACACTACACCTCACTATACCACACAACACACACTACACTCAATATACCACACAACACTCACGATATAACACAACAAACACCTCACCTCAATATACCACACAACACACACAACACCTCAATATACCACACAACAAACACTACACCTCACTATACCACACAACACTCACTATATACCACAACGAACACTTCACCTCAATAATCCACACAACACACACTACACCTCAATATACCACACAACACACACTACACCTCACTATACCACACAACACACTATACTTCACTATACCACACAACACTCACTATATAACACAACAAACACTTCACCTCAATATACCACACAACACACACAACACCTCAATATACCACACAATACACACTACACCTTACTATACCACACAACACACACTACACTTCACTATACCACACAAAGCACGAAGCCGCTACACACGTAGCGTTGCTCCAAGACTGTATACTGAATGCTAAGCCCATGGATGTAAACTATCCATTATTGCCTTCGAGACTTGTGCAATTCTACAACACAAGCTACACCTTACTAACACAAGACTACGCTATACAGCACAATACAATGTACACAACACAACATCTCTAGCCATACAACAGTCACAACACCCACAAGACTCCACTACCTCGCAGCACACAAGCATGTATCACATGCACGTTGTATCAGTCTTTATGTAACACTGAAAGGCCACAGGCCTGCGGTACAATAAATATTCATGTAGGGGTATTAGTACATTCTTTCTGAGAATAAAAGCTTTGTAAATATATAGACAAACTTTCTGAATGTGTTTCACTGGAATTATTCATCAATAATAAATCATAAAATTACGAGTTTCAGGATGTACATATGATATATCTTAATGTATCTATTTCTTAACGATAATCGTAAACGCATAACAGATATACGCGGCAACCAATGTGATGGAATACGTGCAGTCTGTGACCGGAGCCCACACAATGACACTCCAGGCCTATACAAACCTGTCATCTATTTCCGACTCTCTATGTCAAGTCGTGTCAAAATGACCTGGTATACGTTGTGGTTAGGCGTGTGTTTCAGCTTGGGTCTCTGCCAGGCAACGCTTACTAATTGGTGTTTGTTTGTCCACACATCATCGAAATTTAATTTATTTAAATATTCATAGTATTCGTTTATTCATCCATCTGTTTAAGCTTCAGTAAAAAGCCTGAGATTTGTTGCAAAATGTCGGATTTTTGCATTATTTCGTAATGATCAATTCAAGGATGAACGAGTATCTCATTTATTCAGTCCCATTCATTCGTTCCTTCATTCATTCATGTAAAAGCTATAGCTACATGTATATGGGGTCCCATTCATTCATTCGTTCGTTCATTCATTTAATGACTATAGCTATATGGTGTAGCCTAGCCTTGATCCAAGGCTGTACTGAAAGGTTAAGCTCGTGGATATATTGTTATTCTATCTTTTAGAGAGAGAATTCTAGTTAAGCCGACAGTACAATCTAAGGACCTTATAGTGCGTTTGGCTCAAAAGCGGACCGATGAATTGCAATCTAACTCGAAAACTAATAAACATATAATACTCAATGAAACACTGATCCTAATCAAAACATCAGACCAACTCTGTCATTTGTTTGCAGAATTTATGTCCTAAAATTTAAAATGTTGTTTAACAAACAATCATTAAAATATTGACACAGTTCACTATATCTTACGAGGGAGGAGTGCAGAGAAAGGGACAACCAGGTGTTAGAGAAGCACGTGCACAAGTGCCGACAAAGTTATTGATTCATTAACCTGTGCTGTGCCGTCTCCATCCTTTCTCGCACACCTGGCTGTCCCTTTCTCTACACTCCTCCCTCGTAAGAAATAGTGAACTGTGTCAATATTTTAATGATAGTTTGTTAAACAACTTTTTTATTTTTAGGACATAAATTCTGCAAAAACCTCACAGAGTTGGTCTGACGTTTTGATTATGATCAGTGTTTCATTGAGTATTTTATGTTTATTAGTTTTCGAGTTAGATTGCAATTCATCGGTCCGCTTTTGAGCCAAACGGACTATAGTCTCGTAGAGGGACAGTGTGTTAATTTTAATCTATGGCCTTAGAGACTTAGTCTTGTGAAAGTCTGGGGGTGGCCCAGCCTGTCCTATCATGTATATATGTGTGAATGACTGAGTATGGTTTTACGCCGCTTTTAGCAATATTCCAGCAATATCACAGCGGGGAACACCAGAAATGGGCTTCACACATTGTACCGATCATAGCTGTAACCCCTCACGTCAGAACACAATGTTAACCTATTTCATTGCAACATCGTGGTATAAGTGTGTAATCTCTGCTGAGATAGGCTGACCTTACATAAGTAAGAGAAACACATCTTTCCACGGGAGCCTGAAGACCAAACTAAGCCGCGGTGAAGGGGAGATAATTCAGCAATTACGTGTTCTGAACTCGTCAGCAACGAGGTCCGTGAGGCACTTTCTTTGAGTTGGTGGTATCAAATATGAGCGGCTTCGTCGCAGGGGCGGATACAGCTTTTTGAGAAAGGGGGGGTGCACACTATTGAGAAAAGGGAGGGTGCACACTTCATTTTCACCAGAGTTTCAATGGTCATTAAATAAACTGTCAGGACAAAAGGGGGTGGGTGGGTGCGCACCCCTGCAACCCCCCCACCCCCCTGGATCCGCCTATGCGTCGATATAGGCAAAGAGTCATAAAATGACAATGAGTACATGGGCGAGCTGAAGTAAATAATCAGCATGATGTACACTTAATAAATGTTCATGTACTGAAAATGATCACTATAATATATCCCCACTCGCGAGATGTCGTCACTGAAATATCACTGTAATATCTGCACACTCGAGCGATGTTGTCTCTTAAAGAATCAATAAACATGTACGAATGCTCCAGCTCCTAACTCTGGTCTGAAAGACGTGCTCAAAACTTGAAAAAGAAATACGAGATTCAAGTACAGTGGTAATGCCATGCAAGAAGCTATCAATGTCCGCTGTGCAGACAGAATGTATAATTAATGAACCAGACCGTTAACTAACGGCATGGTTATGGGCAATTACTTATGCAAATGCGACCCTTTTATGACACCCCCAGCCTGGTGATATCCACAGCCCCCCTCCCCCACCCCCTCCCCATCCCACGCTTCCTTCAACTGTCAGGTCAATATACACCATGGGATATTGTCATATGTCATGTTATCCGGTCGGAGGAGAATGTGTTTCAGTAGTTTTCGTGACAAAATCTATTTCCTGCCAAAGCATATTAAATACAATTCTTCCTGTGCAGAACTGCTCTGTGCCTCTCGATCGCTGACTTGGTTGACACATGTCATCGTATCCCATCTGGGTAGATCGAATCTCATGATGTCAGTCACTGGTTTGTCTGGACCAGACTCGATTATTTCCAGACCGCCTTCATGTTGCTGGAAAATGCTGAGTGCGACGTTGAAAAAAACCAAACACAGCTTCCGGATTTATGCCGAATTATTTATTTCGATCATTAACTTACTACAAATAGTTCTTTAAAAACATCCAGACCCGCACCCTTCAAACACATACCCTCATCTGCAAATCTGTATAATCGATACAGTTATATAAAGGAATGAACTATCTATACACTCTTGTAATAAACTGAAGATTATTTTACGTTTGATATTTTCTTAAGGTACGATTCAATATTTGGTTGATCAAAATATTTTTATGGGAAATTATTGTCTGCAAATATCACACACGTCGTTGATGTGTGATCGCTCTTTTTCATAAAAGCCTGAGTATAAAGTTGCGTTTCTTACGCATGCCACTATATATTAGCTGCAAAAATACGTTTTAGACAAGCATGGCAAGGCTCATGCTCCACGTGTGTCTGTTTACAAACTGATTTATTAATAGATCCAGGGTTGTGATTGGTCAATAGCTTAACCTCCTTCCTGGATGCGGTAGTTCTATGCTCGATTGGGGCCAGCGAAGTGAATGAGAAGCAGTATTACGCCGGTGGTTGTGTTTGCATGTAGAGCTACACAACGACCTACAGCAGTCACACTTCTATCTGCTGTGAGAGTTGACAGTTATCCTGAAAGACACGAGGATTTTGGACATATTTATCATCACGTTATTTACATTTTGCTTGGGAATCACAATGTGCATGCGCAAAGGACCCTTCGCACGTTTTGACCACTGCAGCCCGTGAGACATCGGACGACTCTAGTATAACGGTAATATATAGTCTTTGGTTATTCCGTTGTCGCCGACAAAAGACGCTCGTGTGTGTCGTCAAGAAATCTATTTGTGGTTGAAATTCTTTAAATTGGAACCTGGAAAATCGTCTCTATCAACATTTTTGCCATTCCGGAAAATTGCCAAGGAATTTTGCGAAGACGCTGTGACAGGCAATACAACTGAGTGTGAAATGTTCCCTTTTTTCTGACCGAATTTCAAATATTCGCACTCTGTTCGTGATGTGAGAAAAGTCACATCCTTGAGTGCTTAGAATTCCAATCAGCTTACTGAAACCGGAGGCTTGGCAGTTAGACAGCGGAGGAAAACATCTAAGAAACGAAGTTTACGAATTAAACCCTCAGAAGAAGCATGTCCAAATTATCAGGTTTGTCGTGTGTGGGTATATTCTGGGCAGTTCTGTCACTTCTGGCCACAGTGGCTGCAAGTGTTGGATTCTACATGCCATACTGGCTGCATGGAGCTTTCAGTGATTCCACGCCCATTTATTTTGGAGTATTTCGAAGATGCAACTATCCCAAACTGGACGATGGTGGTCACCTTGTGATCGTCCGCGAGTGTGGCAGATACACAACTTTCTGGGATATACCGAGTGTGTTTTGGCAGATCGCCACCGTGTCGGTAGGCGTGGGGTGCGGTCTGGGGCTCCTGGTCTCCATGACCGGGGTGATGTCGGTGTGTGTCAGGGACGTCATCACCCCCGTGGTCGGCAAGGTGGCGTCGGCGATGCAGCTTTGTGCAGGTGAGAGATGTTGCCTGTTAACGTGATTACTCATATCTTATTCATTGAATGATAATGGTATGTCTAAAAGCCTTTCCGTGATTGGAGCGTTGCTGATAGTGTCACTATATCCGAAGGAATACATTGATGATGATGAGATGATGATGATGATGAGACATGTTGCCTGTTAACGTGATTACTCATATCTTATTCATTGAATGATAATGGTATGTCTAAAAGCCCTTCGGTGATCGGAGCGTTGCTGATAGTGTCACTATATGCGAAGGAATACATTGATGATGATGATATGATGATGACGACGATGATGATGATGATATCATCTCATAATTATTCAGTATTTCATGTTTACTTTTATTGATGAATCCAAAACCAGCTTATTACCATCAAGGGCAGATCCAGGATTTTGGAGAAGGGGGTGCACATAAACCATAAGTCCAAAGGTTAGGGGGAAAATGCTCCTCAGGGAAAATTAGTTGGGGGTGGGGGGTTGCAGACCCGCACCCCCTCCCCCCTCTGGATCCGCCCCTGACCAGTTTAATTAAATCAGGGAGAATAGAAGACACTGTAGATTATCCCTGATTAAATTAATCATTGTTATCATCAAGATAAATATGGTTGTTTTCAGGTTTGTGCTTTTCTTTCAGTGTCATAATAATGTTCAATTTTATAATACTATAGCACTAAGGGACCGTTCATAATTTATGGCTAGGGGGGGGGGTGATGATGATTTTTATGGAGAAGCATGTACAATGTGAATGACCCCCCCTAAAATTTATGTACAAAATAAGTGACCCCCCTGCATGTCATGTACAAAATCAATGACCCCCCTCCCCTACCCATAATTTCTAAGCATAATTTTAAACATTTTTATGAACAAAATTGATGACCCCCCAAGTACGTGTGTACAAAATTGATGACCCCCTAGCTCGCAGAACAAAATGGGTGACACCCCCTTAAAAATCATCATCATCACACACCCCACACCCCAGCCATGAATTATGAACGGTCCCTAAACATACAGTTTAGTTCATGCCTGTGGGTTCACATGCTTTGTTAAATGACACAATTTCAACATCTGTTCAACTATGTTTCAATGAATGTATAGAGATATATCCTCATGGTGTAATAATCCAGTGCAACATTGTGTTTGTTGATCCACCCTTCCCCATGGAATATAAGCATATCTCAACACAATCCATTACCAGCCTTACAGAATATAACAGATAACTGTAATTTAGGATAAACTGTTAAATAGTTAATCCCTCACACTGATAAGCCCTGTAGCCACAAGCCATTCTCCCAACAGATAATTAAGCTTATTTCACAACACAACCTTACCCTTCAGCTTAATGCAGTCTTTGTAGTCTGGGGTAACTAGCATAGTAGACACATCAAACAGTTTAATTAAGCTGAGGTGTAATTAAAGAGTCTGTCAGCCCCTAGCCACCCCACCCCCTCGTGGACAGTACCTTACCTAACACAGCAGAGATGCTGCACAAAACAATTATGGTTGCAGAGACTGATGTCTCTTCATTAGGCTGCCTTGTATCCACAGAGTGCCGATTGTAAACAAAGCTAAGACATTGTCAATTTGCATGGAGCCGTGACTCACAAAGACAGAGGCTGACATATGGCCTTGTCTTGAAATAGGCGATCAAGGACCCTGTACATGTGTTGTAGTAATACTGTCAATTTCAGGCTTCATTCAGTTGTGAAATTAACAACACTGAAATTGATTTGTTATGAATATATTTTGATGTTGATGTATATATGTAAGGCTGTAATTAATTACATTTGTGTAATTATATATATGTTTAAAATATTTATTTTATTTTATTAACAATAAATTTTATTGTGTAGAAGGTTGTTAATTTAAGAGAGTACAAATTTACTTTGTAGTAAATATATGATGAATATGAACACTTTCAAATTTTCTATCAATGTTTGTAAATTAATTCAAGTCAAACACTACTTGTCTTAAATTTTCCAATTAAGATCCAGTTTGTTAAATCAAGAAGCTGATCTGCCATGACTCATTTCATTTTGATTGAAATTGATGTTATTAGAATTGACCACTAAACAAATTTCTTATTGATTTCGTAACCTAGCAACCAAATAAATTATCCATGGAGTGCAAGGCTTTGTTTTTTGCACTAGTCTTGAATTTCAATTTCTTCTAGCACCATTTCCAGGAAGACGACTAAAATAGAAAAAAGGTCATTGAGTCAGAGGGAAAGGAATAAGCTTTTTGAGAACATTGAATCATGAATTATGAATTAGATTCTGAAAACTGGTTCAGCTCGCTCCTAGAAATTGGGAAGGTAACATGGTTAGTATGTATTGTAGGTAGCATGGTTATGATTTAACATGCAGCTACTGCTTATTCACCCTTCTCATACACTTCTCCATCTTTTTCTAAAATTAAATACAAATAATAGATAGGAAAAATATAATGTTTAAAAAAGTTCAGATTTTGTAGTGACTGTTGTGATAACGAATATCTTATCATAATTACGCAAATATTAATCGTGACAAATATGACAATGCTAATATGTTAGGTGAATATTTTTGTCACAAATGTTTATATTGTTGATAAAAAATGTTTGTCAATGACTTTGTAGTTCACTGTTTTCATATCTTTTTCTGGATATGTTTCATAATTGTGGATCATGTCAATCATGAATTGCTACAGATTTTGAAATATTTCAATGAAATATTTTTAAATATAAGATATTATAAATTATGATAAATTATGTACCAGCAGCAATTATATATTGGAGTAAACATAGGCATGGTCCATGGCCAGCTGTTAGGCTAACTATTATCCGGTAATCTGTCCTTGATTTTGACAGCTGTCACACACTGATCTTTCAATCAACTGATTATGTACATAACATAATGTATTCCTGAATACAGTCACTCACCTGCAGGTGCTTGTTATGTAATAGATGTCAATGACTGGTTGTTATATGCTGCCACTCACTGATGACCCAGTCATGAAATGTACATGGTATGAGGTGAAAGTTACATAAATATAGGATATGCTCAGCCCAAAACATGAAAAAATAATACAAAACAAAACATAAAAACAAACAAAAATGTAAACACCAAACCATCCAATAGTTCACCCACCTACAACTTCTGGCAAATTTCCAAATTCAAAATTCATACAAATTTAATTATGCAACACTAAGTCTGTCTTCAGGTTGCCATATCTTTAGATCAAACACTAAATGGCCTGGCGGGCCGTGTGCGAAATAGACATTATGTGAGAAAGCACATGTTAATCTCAAAATCGCCATCATCATCAGCATCAGCACAAAACATGTTAATTTACATATTAAAATTTAATGATTATAAGATTATGAAATATGAATGTCTAATACTTAATAAATAGTGTCGAATACATTATACCAGGTATGCATCGCATGTATATATTTTAAGTAATAATTGACTTTTATAAAAAAGGGTAACATCTCAAATAGACATGGGTCTTTACACATATATCAGGTGTGAAATCTTTATAACAAACAGTCCCTAATTTCAGGTGAAGAAATAAAGTTAATTTCTAAAAATATATGTTGTCTCCAATAATGTCCAGACGAGTACACATTGTTGAGGAAATTGTGTATATATCACGTCTATATATCCTGTCAAATGTCACTAAATATGACTAGGTCGTGCTATCGACATGATCTATACACCAGGAGTTGTACACTGGATCTTGTATCACCAGCAATTGACAATGTCCTGGTCTTATCACCGGTCTATCTTGTCAGGTCGGGGTGGATGGGTGTCATCAATGAACCAGTTCATGCAGTGACACTGAAATATAGCCGAAATTGATTCGAAATATACGACACAGGAACTCAATGTTTCACAAGCTAAGCTTCTACCTGCATATATTATCATGTCATTAATATCCCTGGTCTATTGATTGCTATGTCGATATTAACATTGCAATGGCAACACAGCCTTGAAGATACGTGGGTGTGGCTGATAGATGTCAAAGTGTCACAACTGATATTGACATGAAATAGACATGATATTTACCAAATACATCCCAGACAATGTGCAATAAGGACTTATCATAAGCTTCTTATTATCAATATCCCTTCCTCTGGGGATTAGTGTGAGATCTTTGTAGATGAAAGTTTCCTTTAGTGATTCCAAGAATTTGAAACATGCAACTGAAATCCATGTGAGACAGAATTCTGACAATCCGTGACATGTTGAGATAGATAACCTTGTGAGGCTTAGAGGCCAGTTCAGGGCCAGTAAGCAGGGCTGTCCTTCTCTATATAGACTGACTCAAGTGGAAATAGATCACACCAGCTGATCTGAAGCAAAGCATCACTAGGACACATGTCAATGTGCTGGGTTGTCAATTTTCTAGCTGATGTGATGTTTGCAATGTGAAATATGTACACTGTCTGTCACCCTTCACCTGTCATACACTGAAATACACACACCACAAATACACAATGTATATGCCACAGGCTAGAGCTTTTGTTGCAGTAAATGAAATTGATATGATGGTTTTCAAAATATGCTCATTATTTCTATCTGTGATGCTTGTTCTAACTAAACATTGTCTGCAGTTATATAATTTCGAATGACTCAAAGCTGCTAAAGCGAAGCCCAAGTTCTAGTAAAACATCTTTTTGTAAGACCATCAAAACACTGTTGTGGCAATCATTGTTTAAGTAAAATCTTGGTCCTTGCATAATGCTGATTTAGTCCCAACTGTTGGTAGGGTCAAAGTGTGGATAAGTGGTCTCTTCGACTGTTTGATTGTCTCACAGCCTCTGAACCACATCATTTTTGGTACTGCCAAGTAGGGGTGGGTACTGCAGAGAATTGTCATATTGCGATATATTGCGATGCGGAAGCATGTATTGCGATATGCATTGCAATATATGGCAAAGATTATTTTTTTAACAAAAACTACTTATAATTGAGTTAATGCTTCATTATAAAGCAAAAACACAACAAAATCA